ATATGGCCAGCCCACTGCCACTTCAGCTTGCAAATCCGGTGGGCTATGTCGATAACTCTTGTTCTCTGACGGATTACCTCATTTCTGATGCGATCCTTCAGAGAAACGCCGAGCATAGCCTTTTCCATAGCGCGCTGAGCGACTTTGAATCTGTGGACCAGCCGTACCGCCAGTGCCCACGTCTCGGCTCCGTATGTCATCACAGGTAGGACGCACTGATCAGAAGACTTTCGTCTTTAGGCACTGTGGGATCGGCGATGTCAGGATTTGACGTAGCTACCCAAATGCTGCCCAACCTAGCTGAATTCTGCTATTCACCTCGTCCTCAAAGTTGTTTCTACCTAACTGCAATGTCTGCCCGAGGTACACATATTTTTGAACAACTTCGAGAACGGCACCATGTATTGCAATCGGTTCCGGTAGAACATGTTCATTGAACATGACCTTGGTTTTATCCAAGTTCAACCGTAGGCCGGTGCGTAAAGAAGAGTCAGCCAGGTCATTCAGCATATTTGTAGGTCCTGCAGGGTTTCTGCCATGATGACGATGTCGTCTGCAAATCGCAAGTGAGAGATTCGTTCGCCATTTATGTTGATGCCACGTCCTTTTCAGTTCAGCGTCTTGAACATATCTTCCATTGCATTAGTGAACAATTTCGGGGAAATAACGTCCCCTTGTCTCACTCCACTATGCAACGGTATAGGACTTGTTTGCTGATTCTGTACTTGGACAGACATGGTGGCGGCTTCGTTGAGACATCTAATCACGTGGATGTATCGCCAGTCGACTTGGCAACGCTGCAGAGACTCCAGGACAGACAGACAAATGCTAGGCACAGCAATCTCGATTTCGCCAATACTGACTTCTGGCAGGTCTACGGTGAAGTGGCGTATTAACGTGACTCTAGAATCCTCATTTCCGGGATCAGGTCGAGATGCATGTGATGCGTCCAACTGGCCGCAGAGGTCTTCCACTTCCGAAAGGACTGCCGGCTTTGAAGCAGCAACTTCCCACTTGCTGTGGTCAACTTCGTCAGATGGCTTCTTCCAATTCTCTCTCGATCGAGAGAGTATTGGAGCACTGGAGGTCAAGTCGTACGTGCTCACTGATCTTTTGGTTTAGAGTCCGCTTTGCCGACGAAGTGACGGGTGGATTTTCACGTCGTGCCTTCATTAGCCCTAAAGTCTCTTCCGAAAGCTTTGACTTCCTGCCCTTACGCTGCGTTGCACATAATCTTGTACCCTCATCCTTGAGGATCCCAACCACATTTTCGAGGTTCTGGTTTACGTCTGATGTGGTTTCCACGGCAGCAAAACGGTTCTCCTGATTTGACTGCAACGCTTCAGATCCTGTTATAGTTTGGAGCCTGGATTTCATCAAACGGACGCGCTCGGCCTTAAAGTTGATATTCAGAGAGCCCCGGACGAGTCGGTGATCACTACCGGTATTAAACCTGTTGATCATGGAGATGACCCTGAATATGTACCTCTTGTTCGTCATGATGAAATCGATCTCATTTTTAGTCATAGTGTCGGGGCTTTGCCACGTCCACTTCCTTTGGGGCTGTTTCTTGAAAAAAGAATTCATCAAGTAAAGCCCCACCCGATCGAGGAAGTTGACGAGCATTTGCCCCCTATGATTTCTGCTTCCAAACCCATGGAATCCTACTACCGATTCGCTGCAATTCTGTACTCCCACTTTAGCATTAAAGTCCCCCATAACAACGTTGTAGTGGGTCTTAGTTGTAGAGTGGGGAGCCCTCGATATATCATCGTGTTCGATATAGATATTGTCACAAACGCTCTCGAAACGGAACCGCGAATGTGCTAGAGATCGAATTTGCCAGAGCACCGCGGGTCGCGACAGAGGTCGAGTAATGCGGCTCATTCTGAAATGAGCCTTATGCAGTGCGGCGTAAGGGTGAAAGTGCAAACACATCTGCACTTGTTTACAAGTTATGCGTGTTACTTGCATAGGTATAAGTAGGTATTTCGTACTCGCGGGTGCTAGGTAATTCTCAATTTAACAGGTACTTTCTAGAATGCGTCGATCGGCGTATATAAGCGCGATTGGCGCCGCGCAGAGACAGTTGAGTTTCAACAGCGATTTCGGAGCGAATCCAAAGGCGATCAAAGTGCAACAAAAGTGTTCAAGTGCGATAGTTTAGTGACTTGTATAGTGAAATACAGTGTTTAGTGAGTGTTTTGTAATTAACATTGTGTGTTAATTACGCGAACGGTGTGGTGAATAAAGAACTGTCAAGCGTGAACTGGCATATAAATTCGAACCCCATCCCGACACGTAACAATATGTTTAACCTCCACTTCGTCGTTCGAGTGTGTTGAGGTCGGTCGGATCGGTGCGTACACTTGCACCACCTTGAGGCTATACCTCTCGGTGAGCTTTATAATAAGGTACACTACCCTGTTCGACACGCTGGATATTTCCACAACGTTATCGGCAAGAGACTTATTTACCAAAAACCCAACGCCACCTTGGGACTGTTGGTCTCCCCTGCGGAAGTACATTAGTTGGCCCGATTCGAGGGTTATGGTGTCCTCCCCCTCTCTTCCGACTTCACTTAACCCTAAAATGTGCCACCTAATCGTCCCAAGTTCCACCACGAGTTGCGCCAGATGCGAGTCAAGCCGTAGCGTGCGTCACTTGTACGTCGCCAGGGTCAGTCTATTGTGATGGCTCCCGTAGCCCGGAGATTCTTGGCACCCCCCGCCCCGCCGTTACCGTGGTCGCCACCGTGACAAGGAATAGCGGGGCCGCCGAGAACTGGGGGCCGTGGCTTGTGTTTTTTAAGCATTTGAGGTATTGCCCATAATCGCCACGCTGGGCAGGCGGGTTGGCGATCGCAGAACGTAGGTTAATTCACTGATGACGCTGCTGCCCGTCACAAGTGAGATTTACTTCCCCTACGTCGTTAGATAGTTATACCGCCATCGGTCAGTTTGCCAGAGCCTCGTCTATTGGTCAACAGTGTGCACCACGTAAAGGAGAGGTTGTCTTGGGTTCTTGCAGGTGTATTTCGAACCCCTTACTCCCCGCGTTACCTTATTTAGTGTTAATCTGGGTTTCATTTCTCCACACTCAGTAAAGCTTGACTGACCTTTGACCATGATCTTTTTCGCAAATTGTTAACACAGGTTATCCACTTACTTGAACCAGTTATCAACCTTTTTAAAAATGGTTCGCTTTTATAACGTTTCAGTAAAAAATTAGTAGGTACACGATTCATAAAAATTTTCTTCAGTAACTTCCTGTGGCTCCAGAATACCGAGCTTTTTTGTATTACTAAAACTTTATCAAATACATAGATCAAAATTGTTTACGGTGAATTCCCAAATTCTCAGCTACAAGTAACGACTAAGTAACATGCCGCTCTTGCTCCGCCTCTTTGAAATAGCTTCTTTATTATATGCAACAGAGCGATCAGAACAAACTGCATCTTCGACGTCGAAATTCCCGTAGTGAAAAAGCTTGAACCAATTTCGAGCTACTCTTTCTAAAAAGTAGGAAAAACTGGTTCGAAGATGGTATCACATTTTTCACTTTTTTGGAATGAAACAAATATATTATTATTTTGGTGGACATAGTGAATAATAGTGCGTTTTGAAGTTTTTTTCTTTTTGAACTGCCATCTTTTAAGAGGTTTTTTGGTTTTTTATAACCAGCTAAATAAAAACTGTACAACCAAAAGACGTAATATTATACTTGATACATACAAAATAGAAATCGACTTTTTCCCCGACCTATTTTGTTGGACAGACTCTAAAAACGAAGCAAACAAGTAAACAACAAGTTGTGGTATTATACATAACGTACCCCGAACTTCGTCGAGAAGATACTTAGTAAGAGCTAAATAACATTGAGATATACACACAATACTGCATTATTTTTCCTTTGACTGAATTTTGATGTCATTTCAACTGTGTTAATAATCCTGACGAACTGATCTACAAACTTCTCCAAACCATAAGTAATAAAGAAGTCATGGCAAAGTCAGATCTATCAATCACCTTTTTACCTACTTCAAAAAGGAGGAGGTTCTCAATTAGACAGGTAGGTATGTTTTTTATGTTTGTACCTACACCGATTACGCCATGCAGGGTTGCCAACCGTACGAGAATTCCTGCACAAATACGAGATTTCTGGTCTTCTGTACGAGGTACAAGAACACTACTCATTTGTACGAGATTTTGTCATATAAATTTATAACATGATTTTTACTGGAAAAACATGCGTTTACAGTCTATGGGGCTAGTGCTGACCAGTTGAACACTATAAATTTAAATATTTTGATTAGATGTCATTGTCATGATACTTTGTGTAAGGCTTTTTATGGAGTTTTATTTTTATTTGGAAGTCGGGCGGGGTCAAATTGAAACACATAAACAGATTAGAAAAAAAAATATCTACTCCAAGTTTCAATCTTGGCACCGCCCTATTTTCAAACATTTCGTGTAAACCGGATACTATTTTTTAACTATTTAGTTCCATTTTTGATATTGAAGTCGGTTTTTAATTTTATTCATTATTTTTAACTCCGTAATTAGCATTAGGTTTACACAAATTACGTATATTTTCGTTTAATACAGAAAAATATTATTATTTACCAAATTAATAGATAGCAAAGATAGCAAAACATTAATATGATCAAAAAACCTATATTTAAATTGAAAACACTGAGAAGTACCTAAAAATAAAACTTATTTAATATAAAAGGTACTTAAACAAAGATAAAAACAAACATACGTAACGTAGAATTTCAAATAAACGCTTAATCTATGTATGTATGTCATTCAGTTGAAGTAAGTATTAACTATTAAATTATTTAAAAATATTTATTCTTTTTATATTGTTGCAGTAAATATTCGAAAGAAACTACAGCCAATGTTATAATTTAAATTCAACTGGGGTCCTTTATTTAATCAAAGCGTTACTAAATAGTCTAAAAGAATGTCAATAAAAAATAAACAAAATGAACTTACCCGCCACAAATTAAAATAAAGAAAAATAAACATTTGTATTCCATTTTGAAATTATCACTTTTTTAAAGTATAATAATACTATTAATTAATTAAATTATCTATATCACTTTCAATATCACTAAAATTAATAAAAATTTGGTAAAGTTAACTAAATTATGCTAAAGTTCTGCACATGGCTACCAGGTTGCTCAGGAAATGGTCATTGAGGGTATAGTGATTGTCGGAGGTCGCGTCGGCGCAGCAGTTTGACTGGCGAGCGAGTGTCGTACTCGGCTGTCTACCGCGCACTATACATGGAATATCTACTATAACTGGCTAACCATTATCCTCCAGTACGGTGTGACTCCGCTGCAATATTCTCAATGACGACAACACTTTCATTGATAAGAGACACGACAAACCATTTGTGCTTGCGGTACTTTACCTACCACAAGTAATGTTAAGAAATCGAAAGGATCTACTACTAGGAAGTTCTAATTGATGTCAAAATAATTTAATCCTGGCAAAATTTGGTTACGTGAAAATGTATCCGTGAATGATACAGGGCATTAAGCTGAGACCGGGGTTTACACGTATATTATTTACCTTGAAAATATACAAATATATTACTTCATTTTATATTCATATTCCCCATTTCTTTTAAAGTTTATTTGCACAGCATTAGGTGTACCTGTTTTTAGGACCAATAAATGTTTATTTGTTTCTATAATCAGTATATTTAACGTATACATAGTAAGTTTCAAAATGTTAATAAAATTTTCAATACAGCCTGCAATGGCTGAAACTGTTTAAATTCAATATTCTCTGACTAAGTTTTATTAGTTTTTAGTTTTAACTTTCACTTAAATTTTTAGTTATTGAGTTTAACCTATATGTGCTATATTTATCCTTTAGTATATATCCTTAGTAGTTAGGTAGTTTTAGAAATGCATGTTGTGCTTGCATCTAGTAGGTTGCAAAGTATGTAGTTGATGATTTTTTTTGTATGCATATATTTACATGGAAATTCTTTGTAACCAGTTTTGTGAGCCAAATAAAAAAAATGGCTGAAAAATTAATTATCTTAATCTTGCTCAGCTATGCCAAAAAAACTTTGAAATTTTGAATAATTATCCAAAAGAAACATAGAAGATAACTATGCTCTTTCCAATAAAATATTAACAAAAAATAATTTCAATGAGAAGGTATCTTAAGCGTTATATAAAAAGGAGCAGAATTCCTAAAACTATTTAAAACTATCATAATTTTAGATTACTTTATAATAACGCCGTTATCATTTTAATTTGTACATAATACATTTCTGTAATTGGCTTCAAGATTGTATTATTTTATATTTTATTGTATTCAATGCACTTAAATCGCTGTAGAAACTTGGTGAAAGATAAATAAATAAATACCCTTCAACCTAAGACAAACAATACTGGAATAGCCAGTTATCTACGACATTAATCTCAACTGTGTCTTGCAATTTCGTTCGACACGCAAACTTTAGCAACTTAACATCTTGGAAGATAATAAAAACTAAACCAGTTCATCGAACGTAACCTAAATACTTAAATCTAATTAAAATTGTCATTGACATAATTTTGTCGAAGTAAATGGTTATGTATGAAAATAATACGTCATCTATCTGCGGTATTTTGGATACATAAAATATTCTTGCTGAGTTGAAACTCAGCAAATACTGAAGTATTTGTTGTAAGTATGTAGTTAGAAGAGAAATATTATTAGGTATATTTTTAAATGACACAAGCATTAAACTACTTTTTGTTACACTGGTTTCGATATGTCCCTACAATCTTATTTAAAAGCTTTGTAATATCGCTACTTATTTACTTTTTTTAAAGTTATGTTTTTAAATATGAGAATATTTTCCGTAAATAGATTCTAGATAGAACTACCAAAAGTTGTCATAGTACTATTTGCTTTTAAGTTTCTGTATTTTTTTATAATAATTTAATAAGAATTGAATCCTTTATTTTTTTGGATCCGAGATGATCAGCTGCAACAATATTACGAGTATAAATAGTTGTTTTGTTTTGTCAAACAATTTTGATAGCATTTAAAAAGTTTACATTAAAAAAGCATATATTTACTTATTATTTTTTCGTATAACCTTTAATAATATTGAAATGGTATTATACATTTACGTAAATAAATACACCCAAGAGATCATTAACGTGGAAATTCCATTGACGTTTCTATACAACATATATCGAAGACAAAATATTGAAGTTAGTTATTTTGTAAGCACTTATTTGAATACCATCCTTTTCTACTAATATTATAAATTTGAAAGTTTATATATTTATTATGTTTGTACAAAACGTTCGGTTAAACGTTACGTTAATTTAAATGAAATCTGGCACACATGTTGCTTATAATCAGGAAAGAAGCATAGGATATTTTTTATACCGGAAAAAATTAAGGCTCCTGTGGGATTCTATAAAAACTAAAGTTAATGCGGCGAGGTCCCGGACGGGTGTTATTAATATTATAAAATAAATAGCTATTTAACGTGAAAAATCTTCAGAAAGTACTTAAAGATACTTTGTATTAGCACCTTTGTTAATAAATAACAACAAGTAGGTAGTGAATAAGATATTTTCAAATAAAAACAAAATTCTAAATGAACTTTAAATAACCTTAGATTGTTACAATGTGAAACTTCGGTATTAAAGTGACCTTTTTAGTTATATTTTTATGGATTATACTTACCTGTAAAAAGTTGCAACCGAAGTGATAAATTTGTTGCCAATTTATAAAATTAAAAAAAATTGGGACCTCAAGGTGACATCATTGTGAAAAAATACTAAGCTTAATATATGTGGTAAGTAGTTCTTGTAAATTGTAATTCTTCTAAATGTAATTTTCAAGTGAAACTTCTTGAGGCACGCCTGACTTGGGGAGTAAGCTGGCGAATGCGTTACGCGTTACGAAAAGTGCGTTCGGGCGAAGCGAACGGGAGTTAAGTGGGGGATATAAGCAAGAGAAGCAGATTAGTTAGGTGCACTAGTATATAAAAGTAATATAATAAAATATTTATTACACTTTTGAAAAAATCAAACAAAGAATCCCAAGTCAACAGCAGGGGATACCATAACACAGCCATCACCATACCAGATAAAAAATTTAAAATGACAGTTTGTGAGTTAGAAAAAGACTGTACAATTCATGTTTTAAGTATGTGTATAGTACTATCTTGATTTAATAAAATAAAATAAGCCTTTACTGCTGTTAAACTTTGAAACATTTTCTTAATCTAATTAACTGTATATATATTTGTTTCTATTCTAAATTAACAGCGTTCGGGTCATTATTTTCTGACACAGCTTGTCTTTCGACATAGGCCTCCTCTAAAGATTTCCATTTTCCTCTATCTTTTGAAACTCTGATCCATTCTGAACCAGCCACCTTTTTTAAATCATCTTCCCATCTTTTCGTTTGCCCACCTTTGTTTCTTTTACCGTCCTTTGGATATCTTGATTTAATTAGTGAAGAAGTTAATAGTTTGCGTTAACACTCACGACCATCGCATCAGGCACAATTACGAGTAGAGCAGCTAAGACGCTTTCATTCTTACATGAACGTAGTTAATAAAAAGTAACCACAAACACAAAAGTTTGATAATAATGATAAATAAATTATTAAATATCCAGTTAAAATATTAGTTTTTCGGTATCTAGATAGTTTAAGGTTTTCAGCCAGCTACTAACATGTTCCTAACTACTTTTATTTAAATTGAAAGAAACCTTTTAATTTTACTATACAAAAATGTTCCTAGGAAGCAATAAATGGGAAATTCTGGTATGGAAGATGGAGTTTTCGGGTTGGCAGACTTTGCTATTCCTGCGCTTGTTTTTCATTAAATTAGGATCTTAGTTAATTTCGGTGTGCTTTTTAAGTACCTGTTTGTAAGATAAAAGTTTGTCGAAACGTTAGTAAGTCCCATTGTTTGTAAAGGTTAACTGTTGGGTATCTATAAGGAAGACCAAAGACCAGACTTTTGAGTAGGTACTGCTCTTTCAGCTTTTTCGACTTCAATGAGTTGAGTTTTAGCTGTTCCACCCTAATAAGTGATACAATAGGCGATTAGTGACTGACATAATGCAAAATACACCATTTTTCATTCATTCATTCAGGGTGAGGATGGCTGGTGTGGCAGATAGAACTGCTGTATCAGCTATCGCGTCTGGATTTCACCTTCACTTAACATCAGGTGGGGTGGAGTCATTTGTCGGACCTATCTATAATAAAAAAAAACTTATTTTTTGTCTATTAGCTACGTGTCTAAAGTGTACTGAGAGTTTGATCCATAGTGACTCCTAGATATTTGATTGTCTCGTTTCTAGTCCTATATCTATCGGACCAAGTTGAGAGGGGCAGGAGCATTCGGAAACCGTTACATTTTTGCAAGAGAGACTATGTGCTGTTATTTGGAAGGTAATGGGTGGAATAAGATTTTTCCTGTGTGCAAAGGTCATGTACTTGGTTTTTATTGATATTTAGCCTGAACAAATTCGCCATTTACTTACCTCATAAAATCCCTTTTTGGCGTTATAAAAGACATCACTCCAGCTTTTGCCACTAAAAAATAGAGCCGTGTCATCAGCGAATGTAATTACTTTACCATCATAATCATCATCTTCATCTTATAAAGGCCAGAAAGAGCGAAGGGGAGACTATGCTTCCCTGTGGGACGCCGTAATGGACCACGAGCTGGTCACTCAGAATATTGCCAATTTTAACTTTCCGAATTCTTCGGCTTAGGTACGATTTAAAGAGCTTTAATGGGAGGGCCTCTTACACCGAGTTTACATAATTTTGCCAAGAGGATGGGCACGGAAACGGTGTCGAAAGCTTTGGCTATATCCAGGAATACCGTAATGCACTTTTTGTTTTGGTCTGTGTTTGTTACGATTAAGCTGGTGAGTTCATGGAAAGCATCTGCCAGACCGAAAACCGAACTGTGGCATCAGATAAAAGTTTGTTGCTCTCGAGTAAGTTAGTCAAATGGCTGTTTTAAAGGTATCCCAGGTAGGGAATTGAGCCCGGGTTTACTCAGTCCGAAAAAAAACGTTTTTCCCCGGTTTTCCAGAGAGCAAAAAATTTGTTATGTATCAGACACTTTGAATGCAATAAAAAAGGGAATAAAACACGTTTTAATAAATTATTACCATATTGCGTTTTGATTATGAAATTAGTTTTATGCAACTATTACTTACTATAATTCCTTAAGTTATAAATTATAGATCACCGGGGCATAACCGGGATAAATTTTATTAATTATTGGTAAATATAGTCTTACACATGCAATTCCAAAACAACCTTATGACGTTTCTGGGTTTTCTAAATAAACTTTCCTTAAGGAGTTTTAATCCGTTAATACCATACACGTGTGGCGTTTAAATTAAGCAATTTATTCACAACAAATTTCCGTATGCCATTTTTCCTTAACGTATGAAGCTAATATGCAATCAATGACGTTGGTTAATAAGTTATTATTAAAGTAATTTGTAATTCGTGTCTTTCTTTAAATGGAATTCATAAAACTTATACACCTATTCAAATAAAATTTTGCAAAAAGAATAAATCCCCTTTCAAATAAATAAATATCAAGTTATAATTATAAAGAAAAATAATTAAATAATGATACATAGATATGTTTATGTTAGTAGAAAGAGGAGGGTAGGAATAATTCTCACTATCAACTATTGCTTTATACCCATTTTTTTAAACGAATTTACTGAAGTTTTTTGTTTAGTAGAAATATTTAAACAGCCATGACTTAGATACAAATTCTCGTATAAATACAATCGTGTCCCCGTACAGGGATTCGAACGCAGGAACTCAATATAATTTTAATTCAAAAGTATAAGAATAAACACTTTCTTCTGTAAAAGTAAGTAAATAGTGAGGAGCTCAATGGCACGAGTGGTTAGCGCGTTCGACTCGTTGAAGTAAAGCAACTTTTGGAGTGGTCGATCATTGGATGGGCGACCCAAAATTTACTATCTCGAACTCCTCCGTGCTTCGGAAGACACATTAAGACAGTCCCGGCTGCGTCTGCAGTTGTTAGCATCTACCAATCCGCACTGGGCCCGCGTTGTGCATGGCCCAATCTCCCTATACCATCCTTGAGGAAGGCCTGTGCCCCAGCAGTGGAGACATTATTAGGCTGATGATGATGATGTCTATTAAAGTTGTTGATTTGGTTACTAATGTCGTGTTTTCTTAGTTCTTGAATATTCTACAAGATATAGGCACTAAGTATATACATATAACTAGTCAGGTCATAAATTCTGTCACATGTTTAATATAAAATAATTGAAACAAGTTTATTCATTATGTAACCATTTATATACCAAAATGAACTTAACAAAACATTCTTTTCATTCTTATGACAATAAAGTTTATTCAAACTGACCTCCGTGATTTTTAATACAGGCCTTCAATCTGCGCGGACAGACGTCTATCGCAGCACGAACGAGGTCCATGTCAATATCGGCGGCTGCCTTAATCAAGGATGTCTTGAGCACTTAGATTAAAACAAAAAGGGTAGATACGGCACTAGCCTCACAAAAGTGATCCGCACCAATTGTGGTCCACGACCCTAATCGCTTTAGTCACAACTTGACATGCAAACGACGTACATGTGAACGTCAATAAGAAATATTGCTAATATTTTGTGTTTATATGATAAAACAATTCCTAAATGTGTTTTTAAAAAGTGCTCAAATTGCTCAAGAACTAAAAATAAAACCCACGGCATCACTTTTCATTCGTAAGTACTATAAAATATATTTTTTCATAAAAATTGTTGTTTGTTTTGAATCTTATTCGGTAGTGGCGTCGAGTACTGGTCGCCTGATTGGTCGGTAATGCAGTGACGCGGATCTCGCCGTCCGTTCGCGCTGCCGTGGGATCATTTTTTTTTGTTTCCTCCCAGGCGGGGGAGAGGGTGAGAAATCCTCATGGATACCCTACAGCCGGCTGTAAGGTTATGTCAGACTCTTACTGACTAAAAAACACCCTTTAAGCATGCTTATGGCCAGAAGGGCCTTACAAGCTTCATCTGAAGCGATCATCCCCCGAGAGGGGGATGATGCGGGGCGCCGTGGGATCAGTCTTACTGACTAAAAAACACCCTTTAATCATGCTTATGGCCAGAAGGGCCTTACAAGCTTCATCTGAAGCGATCATCCCCCGAGAGGGGGATGATGCGAGGCGCCGTGGGAGCAGTTTTTGTTTGATGCAAGTATGAGCGTACCGTATCTACCCTTTTTGTTTTAATCTAAGCTTGAGCACGCCTTTTCCTCCAAGTGTTGCCATATCTTGTAATCTAACGGACTCTAATCTGGACTGGAGGAGGGCCAGTCTTCGTGCCGGATGAAGTCGATTCACGCGCCGCTAGCCAGTCTTGTGTGCTCTTCGGTCTATGAGCTGGCGCCGAATCTCGTTGGAATACCCAGTGCCTGTTATTGAACATGGTATGAGAAACAGGTTCCACAAGGTTCGTCAGGACTGTATTTTGATACACAACTGCATTCGTTTTTACACCTTTCTCACAAAATTGTACCTCTGTTCAGCCCCAATAAGAAACTCCCAACCATACCATGAGCGAGGATGCAAAATGACCTCGTTGGACACGCGGAATACGGTTGCTCGTTTCTTCACTACTGTGTGCGTACACCTTATCATTTTGTTTGTTGTAGGTTGTAGCTCTCTTCTACGGTTAAATTTTTTCCATCCGAAAAAATAATTTCCCGGTATTTTTTTCCCGCGTATCGATTCAACAAAGCGCGGCATCTTTTCAGTCTCAGGTCCATTTCGAACGATCAGACGAGCATTCAAACGATGTCCTGTTTTTCTTCGATATGCCCGAAGCCCTAAATCTTCCTTTAACACCCTTTTCACCGTGGTTCTGCTTAACCCCATCTGAAGGGCCAACAGTTTCTGCTTACGTTTAGGATTTCTTTGAATTCGCGCCTTCACAGCTTTTATCACTGCTGGAGTCCTAACGGTCTTCTTTAAGCGTCCATTCTATATTTAAAAATGAGTAAAATTCTAAAAAGTATACATTTTTATTTTCATGAACAATTCGAAATTCAAATTCAATAAACTTTTTTGTGGCCAGCATTCTAAAAGAAAAGTTTTTACTGTGTGACAATACTTATGACGTGACTGTGTATATATATTAGTTACACAAGAAATTAAGAAAATAAATAATCATTTTCTGATAACCGACGACTACCAATGCAACGACAACGCTTCTGCCTTCTTCTCCATAAGTCCAGGGCACAGATGATTATGATCGATTCTCGGTAAGTTCTTTTAGGTAGGTATTTGTGTGAATGTGACTGTTGACCAGCCAATCGGAGGATAAATACGTACTACATACCCTCATGGCGATTTTAGTGCTACCAGCGCCCTAGGCAAGATTTCTGCGGTGCCCCCTAATACATTTTATATATATATTTATGCACACTATATACATGTATGTACATAAACATATTTCATTTACTAACTATAAGAGAAGGAGAGAAAGAAAATGTGCGCGCGCACTGCTTTCTCTTGCTTATATCCCCCACTCAACTCCCGTTCACCTTGCCCGAACACACTTTTCGTAACGCGTAACGCATTCGCCAGCTTACGCCCCAAGGTAAGAATGCGTAAAGAAGTTTCACTTCAATAAAATTTTCTACCCACTAAAAACCCAACAGTGCTTCCTCGCCTGCCGGAACGGGTTTCGTGGGATCGTGGTGACTCGCCACGTTGCCGGGCCCGCACCTACTTATGCCAATCCTGGGCTTCTCCGTTCACAGCGTCACCTGACTGACTAATCAGGACCTTGTCCGAGCAGCAAGCTAGTTGATCTGCTCCCGTACCTACCAGTTACACCAATTCCCCGATCTACACCTCACCCTCCAATCATAACTGCAGGATCGAGTGATGAGTCGCCGCTTGTTACGCCTGGTTTCCTACCTCCTCGGGATGGAGCCACGGAGCAACTCCTCCCTGGTTAAACGGAATTTCCCTCAACGACCTCATCTTCCAACCCGTATTCCAGTGTAAATATTGCATCGGGTGCCCGAATTCGAGTAATATATTTCGTGTAACCAAATACGGGCTAACGACCAAGTGTAATTGAGCCATTACCGCGATTAAAGGTCATTTGAAAAGCCAAACCAAAAAAAGTTGCACCTGGAGTGTAGATACGGTACGAGAACCGGGGCGTAGACACGGAACGTAACCGTTCTGTCTGCTGTCTATTGTCCATTTTGTTTAGTGTTGCAGAGCTATCGATAGTATGTATATCGATAGGCCAATCGAAAATATCGATATTATACATACTATCAACATTACCGATAGCAAAAATAATTTGACAATCCGACTTTTATCCGACGGATAAAAAAAACTAAATCATTAATTCCATTTTCAAGTGCCACGAAAACGTCACAGGATTGTCATTAAACCGTCAAACGATACAATTTAATAACACTTTGACCAGAGGTTTCTAGCGTGTGGCATCATTTTAGTCTTTGTCATTAACAGGTGGTTTCGGTCACGTGACCATAGTACAAAAATCATTTCCATTTAATGATTTTTTAGAAAAGTTATTAATTGTTTGTTTTCTCAGAATAGTTAAATCGCTGCTGATATTCATATTAAATAGAGATGCCAACAATCAGGACTTTATTTTTCCCACTGGTGTTGATTCTGGCATAGTTTTCTAAATTTAACAACAATCTCTCTTTTATTCTGTATGGAAAGTGACAAAGATACACTGTTGTAAAATTTAAGATTAGGTTTAGAAAATCATGTCAGAATCGTCACTGATCTTAAATAATCCTAATGCCTAATTACCAATTACTTTAGATAATATCGATAAATTTACCAATTTATCGATATTATCTATAGTCCAATCTATTGCGCACCACTAACTAATATCTTTTCTGTCAAAGTTCAAACCAAAATGTAATGTCAAGTGCTAAATCTTGTATTATTCTTTTTTGCAAGTGTTAAAAATAAAATATCTTGTTGAGCTAGTTGTTAACTACTAATATAATCAAAGTTTTTACATATTTTACTATGTGTGACAAGAAAAAAGAATGATCGTAGTTGCATAAGTCGCGAAAAATCTGTATCGATTTGTGTATTTCGGAGATCTCGTTGTATTCATTTTTGAATTGTGTGTAAAACAATGGGCGTTTTAATTTTCGTCTGTCTTTTCTTAAAAGCTATATCATCTTGTCAAGCTTCTGGCACAGATATAGCTTTAGACGCAAAAGCCACATTATTACATCGTATCGACAGTTTAAATTTATTAATTTACACCTGTCTTCTTACTCTTACGGTCCTAACTATTTGGGTGTTTAAACATCGACGTGTTAGCTGGCTTCATGAAACTGGTTTGGCTGTAATTTATGGTAAGTTTATCCATATAATTGGTCTCTTATTTCAGACTAAACTTCTGTATTATCATGAGCGACACAAGCTTATTATTACTAATGGAGACCTTGAATATCTGTCTTCTATTGCATTATTACTTCTAGAATTGTTAGCGTACATGGATAATTTTTAGGATAAATTAATTTATGATGAATTAATGACCTTACCTTCTTCTAGAATATAATATCTGAAATATGTTGTATTAAATAGAATATATATCTGAAATATGTTGTCTAAAAAACTTATGTTCCCCTGTGAAATGTCTTTATGTATAAGTTTAAGACTTAAATAAAATTCTGTGTTTCCTAAACTATCAGTAAATATAGAATATACCTACTATTTTCTTAGGCAGATTCAGCTGTCACTTTTGTATCAACAATTAAATATTTGCCTAAGGTACTAGAAGTAGGACAATATGGATAAAAGCTCTATGTTATAAATTTACTAATGTTTTGTGCAATTTATCAATAAAAGACACACTTAGGGGCTAAAATTCTATAGAAAGTGTCAACAGTGTTTAAGGTTCATCCTTAAACAATCGAATAATTGCTTGACTTTTCCGAGTGTGCTTATAACTCAGTTAAAAATAGCTAATAATAAAGCTAAATAAATATAGCTAATCGGTCATAACTCAGTTAAATGTATTCACAAACTTCATTCATGGTATATTTGTAATTCTTTCAGGTCTAATAGTTGGAGCCATTATTCGTTATGCAGGCAGCACAAATCAAATCACACACATTGATGTGCACCCAGCACCTGATACTAATTATAACTTGTCAGTGCCGCCTGATGTGTTGCGTTTCTACTTTCCGGATAAAATAAAAATATCAGGTGGAGGTAATTATAAAGTTGTTTCATCATATTCAATCAGTAATATACTAGCATAGGCTAGGCTAATTGGTGTGAGTGTTGGAAATATTTATTTATTTGTTAACAATTAATATTGTTTGTTCTGTACCAATGTTTTTTACACAATGCCATGTTAGCAAGGAAGGACTTTACATAAATTCACAGGGTCAGTTAAGGAAGGCATTTATATTTGGTCAATCATGTGCAACTAAATTATCTCATTTTTAGGCTACTTAATTTGTAGAATAAAAGACTGTCTGGTTATTGTAAACCAATAGCAATTAAACATGCAAAAACAATCTTTATTATTGACAACTACTACATAAATATTATAGTAAAATATTTTTTTAATGACATTTATATAATGCACTTTTTGTATTTTTCGCAGATGCTCCAGTACCAAATAAGACATATGCATACAGTTTCCGAGGAGAAATTGTGAATATCGAACAAAATGAGATAGATCTGAAAGCAACATTTGATCCTGAAATATTTTTCAATATTATTCTCCCTCCTATTATTTTCCATGCTGGGTATTGTCTCAAAAGGGTAAGTGATTGTAGCAACCAAAATTACATAGAGTAACAGTTAGAGGAAAAAATCTGAGTTCAGTTTAAAGGACATGGCACTTTTCATAGAAAAAATGCTAAACTTGTATACAGTTGAATTTGGTCTCAAAATAAAGCCAAAATTATTTGCTACATTAAACTACTTTTCCTTATTTTTAGTGAATTGTGGAAAGAAGTTATTTAGTGATTAATATTTTTTGATATGGAAACCCTAAATCTTCAAGGGACAGAATTTTACTTCAAAATATTACTCAAGTGACTGTAAAAACCATGATTACTTTGCTTTTTCTAAATAAAAAACCAAATGTCAATGGCAATCCTAAAATACAACCAAAAAAATCATTCGCATTTCGCATCCGCTCCCGCGTATGTGATTGTGAATGTCCTCTGCTGTGATTGCCAATGTCCTCTGCTGTGATTGCCTTTTTATCCGTTATTTCTCTTGACGACCTGGCTACATATAGAGGTTATATTGACAAACCTACGTATTTGACATTGACAGCTAGCTGCTGATGACAAATATTGCCAGACTACGTTACCCAATTATGAAACACAGATAAAAAAATAAAAAAGTATACAACTTTGGCACATAATGCCGGGTGTCCTTTAGTTTAAAGGCTTGACTCGTCCAGCCTGCTACCTGGGAGGAATTGATGTTTTTCTAGCAAACAATGTTAAATTATACACTTTTGGACACATTTATCAGCTCACCTAGCATTTTAAGTTTTGAGGGTCCCCAGCTAAAAATAAATATTATATTGAGCAAAAAGGTAATCATCTTTTCAAGATTTTTTTTATTATTGCTCAACCAATAATATGTTATTGTGCTACAAACATTTGAAACTTTTAATAAGTGGGCTGATAGATGAGTCAAAGACAATTTTGAGCTTGTCTAAAGGAAATTGCTCAGCTTCCATACATGTTTGGCCTAAAGACCAATAATCATGAAAAATTGTTTCCTAGATTCGAAATTATATATAAACTAGCAAACCAGTGAACCAAATGTTCACCAAAAAAAAAATGTATTTAATTAATTGAGAACTTCGGAGATTTTGTGTGGTTTCGTTTGAAATAGCAATCACGTGATTTCTCTCGAAAACCGGAAGTGCTACGTTACTCACATCCGGTTTGTAGTCTTATCAGACTATTCTCAACTTATAACTTAAACATTCTCTTTATCTATCTCTTACGGTTTGGCCGCTGAAACAGCACCACAGACGGACGGACGGACTTGTCTAATAGATAACAGATTACTGTAGAAATGAATATTATTGACGGACACCCCTGAGAACTTCTATAAACCATATACACTGAACATATTAAAATAATAAAAAACAAATAAGTTATATAGTAAACTAGGGAAATCAAGCCAAGTACTGAAATTATGGATTAGATTCAGGTATATAGAGCATGTAGATTAACAGATAGTTGCCTGTTTTTAAAGTTAATGCATAAGAGTAACTTTTAAAATCAGGTGTCATTTCCGGTTATAATAAGGTACTCTGTGACAAAAACTGTGTGATGATTGTGAATGAGCCACAGATTAGAGAGAATTTTTAAACTCTCGTTAACCAAAGAAAGCTAGAAGAGATTTAGGTTCTATAGCCATATATTCAGTATCTTCATTATTTTTGTTATGTTTTTAAGATAACCATATTTTAGATTTTTAGTCTATCACACCTTATAATTTTATTTATTTATTAATTTATAGTCAGGGAACGTAGGCCCATAGATACAGATTATAATGTGTTTATGGAGGTGTTTGGCGAAAAATGTGTGGCAATAGACTTTATGATGTCGCCTACCATCTATAATAATTGTCTGAGCACATTTGCATCTAGTGAAAATGATAATATAGTTGTGGATATTAATACCACAGTGTAATAAAAAAAATGATTTATTTTATCGATCTTTACAAAATAGATTTGTTTTTAGGTTATAAAAACAATTTCGATCAGTCTTTGGCTGAATGTTACTACACCCATAGCCATTAAAAATGATTCGTATGTTTTCTAAACCGGTAAAATTAAAAGTCCTTTTTAAAGTAAATATATTATACAAAGGTGTCCGTTGAAATCTAATGACTGTAAATTAAATTATAAATTACGCCAAGAATTACCGTGTATGTCAATATTTTTTGTGTATTTAGGCCAATTTGAGCAATCTCCTTTAGGGTCCTTTTGGTATAATGGGTTGTATTTATATTACAGAAATATTTCTTTCGGAACTTGGGAGCAATATTAACATTTGCAATGGTTGGAACTGCTCTCTCAGCCTTGGTCATTGGTGCTCTGATGTATGGCTGCGTTCAGCTAATGCCAGCTTCATTAGCTGCTAGCTTTACATTCTTAGACACACTCTACTTTGGTGCATTAATCTCGCCAACCGATCCCTTAACTGTATTAGCTATATTTTCACAATTAAAGGTAAGCTTATAGAGTTGAACATATACTTACCTGCTGAATTGACTATCATTACCATTGTTATGTAATTAGATTACAAACCACATATACAGTGCAACCTCGATAGAACAAATCGGAAGGAAACAAGTAAATATTTGTTATATCAAGTAATTCTTTAAACTGAGGTTTGTTTTAATCAGGTAAGGTTGGTCTAACCTTTCTTATAAAGAGGTAAAAAATAGTTTCCTGGCGTGACATGAATCAAGTACTATGGGATTAAGGGCCATATATTGATGTAAACGTTATAAAGACGTTTTTGGTTGACAAATTTATTTAATTGAAGGTTTTCACTCCTTTTTTGATAGTTGAAAATTTGTTATAAAGAGGTTGTTCGCAAAAAATATTCGCAATGTAAAGGTATATTTTACATTAACTCTTATGGAAGATTCAAGGCGATTAAAAATAATTTGTTAAATCAAGGAAGTCCTTATATTGAGTTACATTATATTAAGGTTACACTGTATTTACTCTTTAAGATACCAGATTAGGAAACATCAAACCCTTAGCACATTAGGTAACAATTTGTATTTCTTATGTTGGTATAATTTTTTAGTTTTGTATTTACTCAAATGAGTATTTGGATGATTTTACAATTTTTTCCATTTTTTTTATTTTGAAAGGGTTTACTATTTTTCTAACACACAACTATCTACTCTTGCAGAGCCTATGCAGAGAGAATAAAGCCGAATTTACATTACGAAATTAGTGGCATGAAAGTAGTTACGTTAAGTTACGTTATATTAAGGCGCTGTAGGCAGTCAAGTCATCATTTTTGATGCTGATATATAGAATAACTATATAGAAACGTGAATCATGATTATTGAAAAATTTCTCGATAGATTTTGTCTTTGAAAAATGTTCGATTTTTTACTTATGAATCAAATAACTTAAAAACTAATATAACTATAAACACGAAACTTGCTTTGTTAGATAGCTTTTTTATAAATCTGTCTTTGAAAAATGTTCGATTTTTTACTTATGAATCAAATACCTTAAAAACTAATATAACTATAAAAAATGGGTGCGTGTACTTATGTAGGCGCGTGAAAAGTTATCCTTCTTTGGCATCGTTTAAAATTAGTTTTTAATTGCATGCAAATAATTAATTACAATAAATTAATAAAAAGTCTGGAAAAGGACACAGTCAATAAAGTTCAGTTTTAATTTGAAAAAATAAATAAATAATCAAAATATTCAATTAAAATCGCTACTGAATATAATTTATTAGAACATATGTGATTTGCACTTGTATGAAACTCAAACACGTATTCCGAATATACAAACTAGAAACATGTGGATAAATATTATAAATATGAATACCTATAACTGTTACTTTATTACAAAAAATTAAGATGTGGTTTTTGGTTCTACTACACCAATGGTCAAGAGATGGCGCTGTAGTCTCCTGAATCGCGCTTTGGTTCCGTTGTTCCAGATTAATAAATACTTTTGATAGGCCTTCACAATGCAGTCGTTAGCACCCACTAAATAGAGATTCTATTTTGTTGGTAGATTTTCTTAATGTGCGGTAAACACAAAAGTAACAGGAACAGCATGAAGTTGGTCATTGGGACCAACTTCATGCTGTTAATTTTTTGTGTTACAGTGATGCGCGCGCATCTTAAAATTTCACTCTCGTCATTTTTTCATAACGCGCCTAAAGAAGTATAACTTCAACAAGAAACTTGCTTTGTTAGATAACTTTTTTATAAATCTGAGTTTCTGGTTATTGAAATATCGGTTTTTAAATAGAGGTTTAGTGTTTAGTTTTTTTTAATTTTGGAATTCAAAAGGAATTTCACAACGAAATTCCTGGGTCCTCGTTTTCTATTTTAACAAATGTCCCAAACCCAATCGTATCAGATGCAAGAACTGATCCCAGATCTAATTACGATGACTAATCCTAAGAGTGTTAGGAGAGTGTAGCGGAAGAGAGAGGCGCTTAAGGGAAAGAAAAGAAAGTATAAATTTTGGAAAATAGTAAAGAAATAGAACTCTAAGACTAAGAGAAAGATAGAAATATGGTAAATATCACAGTAATTCATTTTGTACAACGCCTAACACAAGAGAAGAGAGAGAGTAACTTAAAAACTAAAGAGTCAACCGAAACCGCACTCGCGAAGTAACGTACGCGCACTAGCGATAACGCACTTGGCAATGCGGCCTAGCCCGCACGCACTCACGTCAAGGGTCGTTTCGGCACTACGCGCACTACAGAGATAATGCGTTCAGGAGAGCCGGCGCGCAGAGGAATAGCGGCGCGCCCAGGAGTAGCGATACGCCCAAGAGGCATCGCACAGCAGGAGTGGAGGGGCGCTCAGAGGCGGTGTCGCGCTCACGATCAGCGGCGCACCAGCCAAGCCAAGGTGACGGCATATGCCGTAGGAGAATCGGAGATCGGAGGCACAGATTGATTTGATTATCGCCGACTGAGCTATTTGTTGTACGATCAAAGTACCGAGGATATTTTTTCTGTTATTTTGCCAACTTGTTAGTTTTTATTTTGGTCGTTTACATCTAAACAATGATTTGTATGATGATAATTTCTATGTATGTCTTATTAAAACAGGAATTCATAATTTTTTGAGCAATTCTTTAAAATTCGTCACTGCGTGTCTAATTTTCGTCACGTCCAATGTATATCTCTTCGGATTTATACCAAAACAAAATAAAATAAGTGTCAAATGTACATTGTGACAGAAGTTATACATAGAACACTTAGAACAGTCTCACGAGAAATTGTTGATGAATTTAAAATCACGTAACTGCTTTCATGTCACTAATTTCGTAATGTAAATTAGGCTTTATGTATATGTGTAATGTGACTATACATTTAATTTCAATGACTTTGTAGTAGTAACCTCACAAATGTGTTTGTGCTGTTGTCAAAACTTAATCTTAATTCGTAATTAAAGGCTTGTATATAATAAACTAATCAAATAATTAATTATTTAATTTTATCTTACAGGTAGATGTTAATCTATATGCTATGATATTTGGTGAGAGTGTTCTTAATGATGCTGTGGCTTTAGTACTCAGCGGGTAATTATATTATTTACTTTTAGTGATTATTATTAGTTCATAATACTAAGCGCAAGACAAAGACAATTATTTACAACAAAATTATTCACATGTTTCTGTAAATGTGACGTTATAATCTAAAATTAATATTACGATTGTAAATTGTAAGCTAATCAATGAGGAAACTAACATAGTAACTACACAGTGTTATGTAACAACGTTTACTAAATAAGTTACCCATATCAGTAACTTATATGTTTACTATAATAAAAAAATGCAGTTACGCAGTTAACAATTCTGTTTGTTCTCAGAGCTATACAAAATTATGAGAAGAGATACTCTAACGATGGTGGCTTCGAGATCACTGCATTCCTTGGGGCCATAGGAGACTTCATTGGCATATTCAGTCTTTCATTACTTGTTGGTGCTTTTATAGGATGCCTGACTGCATTGATATCCTTTTCAATATAATAAATTTTGCGTTAAAACTATAGAATAACAGGAAACTCTTGTTTATACATTAAAGCATTATAAGCGCAGACATAGACTGAATCCTCGATCTAGGTCTGTGATTACAGACATGTTAAATTAATATACACACCTTGTAAATGTGTATTTAATTTTATTATAGTCTAGAACTATAATAAAATTAAATACACATTTACAAGGATATAATACACACACAGTTATACATCTTGATGTATAACTGTGTGTGTATATTACCCTTAGTAGTGGTTAATGTTGTTTTTAGGGTTCTGTACCTCAAAGGAAAAAACGGAATCCTTATCTGATTACTTTATTGTCCCTCTGTTTATCAATATCGTTTATCGCGGAAATCCGTGGAGATATCGAGTTAAAATTTAAACCGCGGGGCCTTTTGCACAACACTTTTTTTAAACGCGCCGTCAACGCGGGTTTTAGAAGCGTGTGTCGACGGCGCGCTTTATCCTTCAGAGCAGGTTGTTGTACCAAGGGTACTAAGTGGTTAATGTTGTTTTTAAGGTTCAGTACCTCAAAGGAAAAAAACGTTACCCTTGATATCTATGAGAACTTTATTGTCCGTCTGTCTATCAAGATCCTTTATCGCGGAAACCCGTGGAGGTATCGAGTTAGAATTTAAACCGTAGGACCTATGCACAACACTTTTTTTAAACGCGCCGTCGACGCGGGTTTTAGAAGCGTGTGTCGACGGCACGCTTTTATTCTACAGAGCAGGTTGTTGTACCAAGGGTAATAAGTGGTTAATGTTATTTTTAGGGTTCAGTATCTCAAAGGAAAAAACGTTATCATTGATATCGATGAGAACTTTATTGCCCGTCTGTCTATCAAGATCCTTTATCGCGGAAACCCGTGGGGATATCGAGTTAAAATTTAAACCATAGAGCCTATGCACAACACGTTTTTTAAACGCGCCGTCGACACGAGTTTTAGAAGCGTGTGTCGACGGCGCAGTTTAAGTATCGATACAAACGCGCGTAAGCATCGCACATGTATCGCTACACACACGCGTCTGTATCGATTCAAACGCATGTTTAAATTTATACAAGTGTACAAAGATCTATGGGCTGCGTCTGACTCGCGTGCGTATCGCGTCTGTATCGCTAAAAACGTGGTATGCACAGGCTCTAAAAAAGGGCACAAAGTTTTTCTTTCTCGTATGAATATGATTATTTTCGTATCGAAATTTATTTCTATACAAGAAAGATTTACATTTCCTTGACTGCATAGTTTACATGACCAAGTTCACACATGTGCGAGATTGGCCACTTCTGGAGTCGGCGCTTTTTGTGCTGACGTCATACGCTGCGTTCCTCATAGCTGAAGTGTGCGAATTGACTGGTATGCACTTTATCTTTCTTTATTTCCACAAACAATAAGCTACAATTTCTAACAAATTACTTCTACACCAAAGGAAAATCGTATCAAGTGCACTTAAACATTCCATTTTAAAATAAAGTCACATAAATAAAATAAATATTAGAGGCTGCTACTTTTTTTAGAACTATAAAGAAGTTGAACTATAATGTCATATTTTTGTATTCAATTTCAATATACCCTGACTCCGATCATGCTTGGTATTGTGAACGAATCTTCAGTGGATGTTTTGTGCTTTCAAACACCTTCAGCTTTTTAATAAAAAAAAAGTGATTAATATATGATAATGTGTAATTAAATGACTTCTATTTCTGAAGTCATATCAATAGGCGAAGTTTCTAATCACCAAATTAATGCGTTTTTTGTTTTCCCTCTTTTTTTTTAAGCGGATGTGCTGTCGTATTTTTTTCTGGCCGTCGTTGGAATCTGTACCCTTAGCACGAACCAATATCGAATTCATAACGGACGTAACGAGAACTAGAAATCAATACACATTTGACAATGACATTTCGCTTTCACAAACTGTTAGAATTCGATATTGGTCGTCCTAAGAGTACAGTTTTATGTTCACCCTCGACTCGATAGCATGATAAAAAATAGTAATCGTGAGATCTATTAACAAAACTAAATATAAGCAACAGTGATATATAAAACATTCGTTACAGGTGTGGTGGCTGTGCTTTTCTGTGGCATTTGTCAAGCGCATTACACATACAACAACCTGTCCTCGGATTCACGCAACCGGACCAAACAACTATTTGAACTGCTCAACTTCTTGGCTGAAAACTTCATATTCACATACATTGGTGTGTCTATGTTCACGTTCCCGAAACATCACTTCGATCCGTGGTTCATTATCGCTGGTTTCGTATCCTTTTCAAATAAAGCACAAGTTTTAAGACTACATCAGGTTACCTGCGTCGCCACATTGGAATAGGTCTAATGTGGCGACAAAATAGTCTGTTCCAAAACAATTTGGACTAAAAGTAAACAAACACTTTACCTCTCAATTCCCACGCAATGACTTACTAAATGGATTTCTCAACACATTCACTTGCATTTCTAGGGATTTAACTTATTAATTCACCATCTTTTATAGCACAAATTTCTTTAATAATATATGAGAATTTTAAAATAAAAACGAGTCGAAAAGTAAGTTTGTTTTGACAGATGATAATTGACTGTTGTCCATGGTTGAAAAGGGTTGCACCCAAATATCTATTCAAAATTATTTCAATAGACTTTTTTAGTAATCGAATAGTGAATCGATTATTTAATGGAATTGATAAGTAACATAATAAATAATACAGTTCAAGGAACGCATTTTTTGTTACCTAATGTAAAGTGGTGATAAAGTCAAAACCTTTTTGTTATTGCAAATATGAGCAATTTGTTATTATTGTTTAAGTTTTATTGTTATCTTAATTTCGCCAATTACTGATGGGTCTAGATTTTAATTATTTTTGACCTATTGTTTCCTGGATATTAAAATGTAAAAGTGGTGTAGTTTTTTTATTTACTTAAGCACAGTCGCATATATAATTGACAAATAAATGGACGGATAAGTACAGTTACGTTATGTAATTTGGGACACTTGAAATGTCGTTAGAATATTGACATTGTAATATTAAAAAATTATATGTAAAAATTCGAAATCTCCAGATTAGCATAGCATTCAAACGTCAAGTAGATTTTTTATACAAATTCAATGACAACATTGAATAACAAAAAGGTTCATTTAAGTATGTTTTATTACTATGAATATATGTATTATTCAGTTTGTCAAACAAGGAAATTATATCGACAACCCAAACAAAAAGTAATCATATTATTATGTTTTATTAATGTTGTTATCCTACTTTTCATAAACTTTTTTTTAAAACATACCTAAATAATAACGTCAGAAAGAAAAGTGGATATCTCGATTTCTTCTCTCTCGAGTATTTTATATTATTATGGCTACAGTTTTGTTTGTAAAACTATAAACGTTTGTATTTCTGGATCTCGTGCGGCAGGAATATTTGATAATTCATTAATGATATGCTAATTATCATAATCTTATTTTTTTAAAGATATTCGTAAATTGAATTAATTTGGTTCTATACACAACTCTATATACTGAAGAAGACTCTTCTTTTTTATCCGTAATCCAACATAATATGCATAATTTATTTGTTTGATCTAAAGTGATTTTTTTTATATAAAAATAAATAGAAATATTCACGTTTATTTAATAAAGGTAAAAGTTGATATTTGTTGAACGAAGTAACTAAAGTGAATGCATGACGTTCAATAGGATGATACTGCGAGCTTGTTAGCCGTCGAAACTAGATTTTCAATAAATCACGCATACCAATCGTTCAAAAAGAGTTTTATTAAGTAACGAAACATAGTTAACTGTATTGCCAAATACAGTTAACAGCTAAAGCTCTTTTTTGAGTTATGACGATAACAATTTATTAATGCTACTAATAAAGCCTTATAAGGGAAGGCCGGGGGTCATTCGCCTAACGGAAATGCTTTGGAAAACGCTAACGGTTACGATTTCATTTTGTTATTTCCGCCTGAGGTTTTGAATGAAAAAAATTGAATGCCTCGCGCCCTTTTTTTCTTTTGCATTGGTAATAGCAATATTAAAAGAAATAACGAAATGAAATCGAAAGCGCTAGCGTTTTCCGAAGAATTTCCGTTAGGCGAATGGCCCCCTGTGCCCCAGCAGTGGGGACATTAATAGGCTGAGGAAGAAGCCCTAAAAGATATTTAACAATTTCTAAGAATAAGATCATTCAATTGATTTTGATAAGGCTCTATGAAACCCCATCACTAAACTGTCTATGGTCAGACTTACCTACTTCTTTGTTTACGTTTAGTCTAAAATCATTTGGAACAGACTATAGATGCATTTTACAAAATACGTACTTGTAAAAGGCAAATTTGCTCTTTCATAGCGCTTACATTTTGCCAGGAATGAAGCAATTTGATTTGAAGGGCCTAAAAAGTAATGGTGGTATTTTTGTTACATTACTTAAGTAATAAATGCATAACGATGAGTAATATATGTAAAATGATGTCTTCAAACTTTATTACCGAAGTCTAAAAATATATATAAATTTTGTTCGAAACATATTTATGGAAAACCCTTATCTATTAATTTTAACAATAATCCATTTTCCTGGTTGGAATCCCGGTGGAGGAAAATGTTAGTATGATGAGTACGAGTATTTTTATATTAGTTATGGATAAATACACAATACGGTGGTGGTCCTTTAATTAGAAGTACTACCAACGGTACTTGACATTACGTAAGATACTTCACCGCAATCATTTTTATTTTGAAATTAAACAACAAAAAGGACAACAATAAGTTCAAAGATTTATCATTTAGTAGGCAAACAATATAAATAATATTACATAAGTGCAGTTCCAATATTACATTACGGACAAACATTTAAATCAGTTTTAAAATATGAACTATAATGATTTTTTAATTATTTCTTCATATTTCCAACAGCGAATTCATTTAGGTAATAATATTGACAAAATCTACTACATTTTTAATATAGTACCTTTATTAGTAAGGTGTATTTGCAATATTTGTTCTTGACTCGCGTAACAGATCACCTCTGCTCTCGGGCGTGCTGTCAATATCTACCCCCTCTCATTCCTCTTGAACCTGGGACGGAAACCGCCTATACCAATGAATTTCCAGCATATGCTATTTTTCTCTGGTGAGTTATGATATCTAGCTTTATATTACTATTTATTTGTTTAAAGTAGAGAGAAAAGGAAACCAAAGTCTTTAAATATACACACATCAAAAAATTATGCAACACCCATCATTTACAGAAACTGTATCTTTTGTGTTCTCGAAAATATAGTTTGCTGATTTTAAAAATATAAACTTTTCGAGTGTGTTTATAAATATATTATAATAGTAAAAATCGTTCAAAAGTTCCTAACCGTACAACATGTTGCTTAGACTTTATTGATGAGTAAATTATTCTTTATGTATTTGCTAGGACTCCGAGGTGCGATGTCATTCGCTCTGGCGATCAGAAACACCGTGTCTGAAGCGAGACAGGCGATGCTCACCACCACGTCGCTGATCGTCATCGCCACCGTGGTGCTGCAGGGCGGCGCCGCCACGCATGCGCTGGCCTACCTCCGCATACCGACCGGGTACGGCAATATGTGCCTATACTACTGTTACATTTGGGCGAGAATGGCGCACATTGGGTAACAATCGAGACAGGCGATGCTCACCACCACGTCGCTGATCGTCATCGCCGCCACGCATGCACTGGCCTACCTTCGAATACCGACCGGGTAGGGCAATATGTACCTAAACTACTGTTACATTTGGGCGAGAATGGCGCACATTGGGTAACAATCGAGACAGGCGATGCTCACCACCACGTCGCTGATCGTCATCGCCGCCACGCATGCACTGGCCTACCTTCGAATACCGACCGGGTAGGGCAATATGTACCTAAACTACTGTTACATTTGGGCGAGAATGGCGCACATCGGGTAACAAGCGAGACAGGCGACGCTCACCAGCACGTCGCTGATTGTCATCGCTGCCACGCATGCACTAGCCTACCTCCGAATACCGACCGGGTAGGGCAATATGTGCCTTAACGACTGCTGCATTAGGGCGAGGTTTGCGCGCGCCGGGTAGGAAGCGAGACAGGCGAGGCTCACCGCCGTTACTGCATTAGTATGGGGCATTATCACAACTACGCTGATCGTCATCGCTTACGAAATTCTGTTAGACTGTTTCAACAGTCTTCTTCTTTATAGCTTGTTATATTAATCATTAGTAGTTGCCCGCGACTTCATCTGCGTGGAAAAAATGGTTTCCCATACAAACCTCCATCCCCCTTTTCGCCCCCTTTAAGGATTTTATAAACACTATCCTATTTCCTTTTCCGGGTTACAAACTTTCTATATACTTACCAGTCTTACCAAATTTCGTCTTAATTGGTTAAACTGTTTAAGTGTGAAGAGGTAACAGTAAGAAGCACTTTCGAATTTGTAATATTAGTAAGGATGCAAACATGTGACATTTGATTACGTATTTTTTTATGTTTGACTTACAGTAAAAGGTGTTCTTTTGGTTCAATATAGACAACATTTCTCCATTAAGCCTTTTGTAACATCAAAGTATACATCTTTTAGCTGCTAGTGTATAAGTTCTTGATTGCGTTTGATTAAACGTAACATATTGCGAGATTTAAAGACACCAACGTGCGTGACACGTATAAGTAGCGTCAAACTTCTTGCGCAAAACCACAGACATACACGTGCGCAGTAGACGTTTTTATATTTAAAATCACTACTGCGCAGGATTTTTTGTCTATGGTTATGGCTCAAGAAGTTTGCCGGGTTTTTACGTGACTAATCTTAACTCAGCCAGAGAAACAGTGCCTTGAGAGACGAATGTTGCATATGATTTCTGGATTTCGCATCAGATTTTTCAATACGAGTTGTATAATCTTCTTTTACAGACAAGGTCAAAATGATGAGAACGAAGCTCTTCCATACCGCGACGTGAGAAGTGTAAGTAGTTTTTTTTTATTTAATGATGCCGGTTTACCGTGTATTCATTTACTATTTTGATCTGCGCACATTTTTTTACAAAAGCATTGCATTAGTAACTTTGGTAAATCAGGAGTCAACCCAGAGTGATTATCCGAAAATAAACATCTCATTTTTAACAGTTTTTACACTTTTGTGTGCTTGATTGCTTGGCTTTTATTTCTGCTGTCAATAAGTTGCTATCCCAACTGCTTTTTGGATACTGATTAGAATAAATAACATAACGTTCATATTACACTTTAGTTTACAAATGTTTGAACATTAGCTAATTAGATTTAAGACTGTTTTATACCCTCACGAAAAGAAAAGAGCGTTTCCAAAACTACTCGCTTTATTATTTTATAATAGGGGTGGGTCTTAGGTCAATCGACGTTTATTATTTAAACAGCACCCGCTAAATGTTGAATCAAATGCAAAGCAACACCAATATAGTTCACGCCAACAAAAAAAACAGAACCAAAATGACGACACGAGACATTCACTCTCTCTCGTGCTGGCACTTCACAAGGCTATTCGTATTTGCTATTTGTGAAACTGACAGCAGTCTCTCTTTTTGATGACCTCCGTAGCCGAGTTGTTTGTACTCCGGGATTCAAGGTATCGCCTGCGGTGCGAAGTTCGCTGGGACAGCTTGTTTCTATATAAATATACTGATATATTCCATAACACTAGCCTACAGTGCTTACTTTGGGGCTAGGCTAATTGGTGTGAGTGCTGGTAATATTTATTATTATTATTTTCATTCCCTTTACTTACTGCATGATATAAGTAGTTGTTAGTTTACAAATAACAATAGCCATGTGAAGTTGCATTTCACATTATTTTTGCCAGGAAGAGCGAGAGAAACAGAATGTCTTGCGACGCCATTTTGAATTCGCTTTTTTGTTGGCAAAAGTGATATGGCCCTTTTGGCTGGACGGTTAAATAGCTTCTGAATATGTCTTGTATATAGACGACACATTCGTTATTCGTAGTTAGTGCTCCCACACATTCCTGCGAATTAGCATCGCATCTCAAATATCTGCGAGCTCCCACGAATGCTCCGCAAGAACTTCCAATCTGATTCGCATCGCGCATTCCTGCGATATTACGTCACCCTTGGTGACACCATTTTAGTCCGCTCTGAGACTTCCCTTGTATGATCGTTTTTGTAGATATAATAAACTCAAAAACTTCTTCTGTCCTCAAACCATGGTATTTTCGAGTAAAATAGTTGCCATCAGCTTTCATCTTCTCCTTGCAACGGGCGTTTCCGCAACTCGACGTCCTTATGGCGCCTGTTTTGCGTGAGGACAGCCGGAATCACTCCAGCCAGCCTAGCCCCATCAGAAAAGCCCCCAGGACCTCTTGGAGGTTTCCCGGTAAGCCGAGGTGTTTTGCTTGGTATTCGGCCGCTCCGTTGAATTTCAGCAGAACGTTAGTAGCTGTTTTTTCTGTCTCCATGCATCCTCTGCATAGAGGGTTATCCGTGACACCTAAGTTAAAAAGACGTCTGTTAAAATGGGCATGTCCATTAATAGCACCTGTTACCATGCGCGTAGGATTGCTTAGCTGTTGAAGAGTCTTGGATAGGGCAGCGTTCACCCGTGGCAAAGCGAGCTTGGTCTGCTGCTGCAGATCGAGCCAGTGTTGCTGGTGTAGTGCGACTGTGTGCTCGCGAATTTTATTGACGAGACAGTTTACCGATACCGGAACGATTGGTTCGGGATCTGTTGGGGTCGTATCGGATCCCTTCCGGGTCTGCTTATCCGCAGCATCGTTTCCGCGTGATCGACTGATTCCCTTGATCCATTGAATAGTAATAGAATTGCTTGACCCTACCGTGTCTAAGGTTTGGTGGCACTGTTGTAGGGAGCTCGATTTGAGTAAAAAGGCATATAGAGCTTGTAGGACTGATTTGCTGTCGGACAGTATTCGTATTTCTTGTCCTGTTACCTTTCTGGAAATGATCGCTCTTACCGCCAGTATAATGACCATACATTCAGCTTGGAAAACGGGCTTAAGGAGAAGGCGATGTTTATATTGCGGTACTCAGAGAAAACTCCCGCGCCCGTGCTCGATAAGGTTTTAGAGCCGTCCGTGTAGATCATGAGAGCCTTTGTTGTGTATGTGTTACCTTTGGATCTTTGTCACCCAGTAGCTGTATTCTATACTTTTTGTCAAGGATGTATGATTTTGTCACATGCCGCTTTTATGAGCGGAATGTTTACCCATTCTTTCAGTATACCGTTGAGATGTCTTGCTCTTTTAAAACTTACCAGTCCAAACTTTTGTAGTCTCAACGCTGTTTTAGCCACTTCCTGTCTTATGTAGATGGGGAGCCGTGTGATGTTTAACTTAACTGCCAGTGCTGCGGTTGGAGCCGTACTCTGAACCCAGTCACCGAGCTGCATATCTACCGCTGAAAGCTTTGTAATTTATTGACACAAGTTGTTTGGATAGATCTCGGCCACCACATGATGGCGCCATAACTTACCATTGGTCGTATGACTGTGAAATATAACCATAGGAACAGTATTGGTGCAAGACCCCAACGCTTCCCTAACATTTGACGGCATTGCCAAAGTGTTACGCTGGCTGTCTTGATTTTGTGTTCCACATGGTTACCCCAGTTTAAATCAGCTTTCATAATCGTAATAAATGGATAAATCCAAAATCTACTTTTCCTTCTATGTCTATTTAACAATATAACAGCAGTGCAACAATCTTTTTGCTATCCATGTCACTATTATTAAAACACGCCCAATAAGACTGTCTACCGTTGATGGTATGGTCACCTTAACCAAAGCTTTGCCGCACGATATCGCATTGCAGCAATACGCAATTTTGTGTGGGTACACATTTAATTCCATATATTTCAGAGTAAGAGAGCAGTGCCTTATTTTTCTTATATGTAATTCAATCAAATAGATAAATTTTCTTGCGAGTATAAATTACCAATTCATAAATCGATCAAAGTTTTTGTATTTTTACTTTTTGTTTGTGCTTCAAAAAGTTATGCAGAATATTAGTCCTAGATGAACTTATAATTCTTTATTTATAAAACAAATTTAATTCCGCGAGCTTTCTTTAAATTATATATTAAGAAGTAATTAACAACAACATCATAAATCGATTAATGTATACCTAGTGTTCATAATTATGTTTAGTAATGTGCACTCCGGAACTCTTCTTGTGCAAGTACCATAGACAAGGAAGCCTGCGCAGTAGCAATTTCACATACTAAACCGGTTACTGCGCAAATTTATTTGTCTGTGGTTTTGTTCAAGAAGTTTGCCGCTACCTATACATCAAAGGAACATAATACAAAATGTCATGAATCATCTAATCGTAAAATTGTAACGTAATCTCAAAACAGATCACATAATATGAAATTGATTAATGTCAAATTGGAGATTTTTTTGTTACTAATTCTTATAATGAAACTTACTTTAGGTGTTTCATGCAAATGTCGCTATTTTAGACCCGTCTGGTAATTCAACAGCTACCAATGTAGTTATACATATCAGTTCACACGCACTATCAATTTATAGAAGTTTTTATAGTGCAATGCCCGTTTAATAAGTGTCACAGTGACTAAGGCACTCAAATCGTGCGTGCAGCGCTATGCATGTTAATTAATAAAATATTATTGTGGCAGCTATACCAGGCCACGGACTCCAGTCAACCGGTGCGTATATTGCTAGTGCGCTTTTCACTAATTGCTTTCTGGTGTACACATGCTTACTAACTATAATAGCACGATAGGGTACAGAAGGTACGTCATATTTTAAAATGTTGAAGCGACAGCATCTTGCTGTATCCATGCGACTAACTGGTTTATTAAAAATATTTAATAGAAGAATAGTCACTATGCCGTAAAGGATAAGGTTTATTCCGCTATAGTCAGATTGCTGAACAAAGTGGTATAAGCCGTCAAACTGACTGATTTCACAAAATATCTATAATTGCTTAACTCCTTTAAATGAACAATTTAGGAAATAATAAATATTGATTGCTTTCAATATTTCGTTCGTTGTGTGAAATAATCCTTCTGTACTTTAAATTCATATCATCTCATAATAACTAGTTGTACTAAACTGCTCGTAACTAAACCAGTAGTGTTTAATGTGCTTCTAACTTTCTACATACCATTGTCTTAACCTAGTGTAAAAATCTGTCATTTGTGTTAAGACTCGGATAAAGTATAACGAAAGGCATGTACTAATTCTGTTTTCATGTACAGTCCTCATTATCGAGGCGATTATTTAACTCTTGAATTATACTTGAAGTGCTGGCTGCTTATCCATTTATATAAAATGAACAATACATTTTTACAAATATTCTTGCATTATATTGAAATGTTTGTTGTTCAGCCTCCCGAAATGGGTTTCGGCCTCCGAAATTTGGACTCGACTCAACAAACCAGTTGTGACAGGGTAACAGTAAGAATGATATAATAAACCAATGCACGCAGCATTTTATTGCATCATTTTACTTTTAATAGGTTTTATGCACGTCCATTGAATGTTATAACAGCATTGGCTGATAGATTTGTCTTTAAATACTCTTTATTATAATAACCACAACTAATTGCGAAGAGTAAAACTAAAATAGTAATTTATTAGAGCATGACAGAGCAACTATTATTTTCCTTTTCTATTTATTATTAAATAGTGCACGTATATTTTACTTTTAATATAATTCTTTACACTAATTTTACATCCTATTAATATTTTAATGACCTTACATTGCACTTTAACATTTTTGCATGTGATTTCTATTTTAGTATGTTTGGTTTCCTTCTCAATATCTAGACTGGCCGCATGGTAGTTAAATGGGGAAATGGAGAGAAGCAAGTCACTATGCCTTGGCAACTTGATTATTTTTACGTATGTATCATAATTTCATTTGCTGTATACTGTAAACCTACACTCCAAGGAATAGCAAACAGAAGGCATAATAAATCATAGCATTGTTATTATAAATCTTAAATTATCAAAATCCCAATGATTATTAAGTATACCATTTGTTTGCTAGTACCGAGGATATTGTTTAAATTTTCTCGTAGTTAATTGTGAGTTTTGATGGAGCATGAATAATCTCAACGCATGACGATGTGTATACGAAATATTTTTATTCAGTTATTCCACTTGCATTGTAAGTAGTTTTTAATCTTAGTTATATATTAAAAAGCATTCCTTTTAATTTATAACTAAGGTTAGTGCGCCTACCTAAAAATGTATAGGCTAAACCTATAAGTAAGGTTATACAAGAACACCTGACTTACAGAATTTGATTGATTAGTTATAGAACAATGGATAATACTTCCAATGAGTGTTAAGGAAAGTTGGCGCCACTATAGGATGAGGTCTTTTACATGAAGTTTTTGGCGCGAATCATCAAGCAAGCATTTAAATTAATTCATAGACAATGGCGACTTATACAATTTGACGGATGATCGGATCTTACGTCCTAGTGCTACCATCTGGTGTCGGTCATTCCAGAAAACCCTCATTTTATTATCCAGGAAAGTTTTAGATGCAGATATTAGAAGTCTATAAACTGACCTATACAGTAAATTCCTCAATATTGTTTCTGAATAAAATCTATAGGCCAAATGTGTATATGATGTAACATTTTCCATAAAGCACACTGTAAGTATGTTTAGGATATACTGCTGTCAATGACTTTATAAAACGGTTATATTTTTAAAAAGGTTTTTTCCCCGCCGGACCACCTGTACCATTAGGCAGTACCCTGTCAGAAAGGGAAAGGGTCGGGTGTGTCAGGGAAATCAGGAGAAGGTCATGGAATCTAATGATAGGCTTTGTGAAAAAATTAAAATACAAAAGTTGAAATACGTTAATTATTTTGCTATTGTTTTTTTTATAGGAGTTGTTGGTTTCCCAGAAATCGAGATGCACCGTTTGTCCGCCTTAAAAGTTCACTCTCCTACCTTACCTCAAATTGCCCGTAAATAACTTTTGCTCTTTTTTTTATATGTTTTCTTCCTTTTGAAATGGGTTTCATTCGGCTTTGTGTATTTACATTGTTTACCAATTTCAAAGGCATCCCTAGCCTTGGTCTATCAGGTGATTTTTAGTTTAGTTACATTGATTGGAAATATAAATAAATATTCAGAACGTATGATGAATTTAATTATTATGCAAGTAACGTCAGGTGACATACTGGTATGTTTTTTCATGGTACTAAGCGCATAAATCAATCTCATTTGTACCCATCAATGGTACTGGTTAATGGTACAGATGGTTCGGCGGGGTTTATTTTTTCATGGTAATTATCATAAGATGGACAATCGCTATCACTTTAAATATAACTTTTATAGTTACACCATATTCACATTTGGCTTATAGATTTTGTCCAGAAACAATATTGAGGAATTTTTGAGCACGACTGTTGGTCGCTGTAGATGCTTCTACTTACACACGAGCATCCTCCCATAAGTGCCTTATCACACTGACGGATTGCAAACATTTTCCAAGCGGAGCGGGGCGTAGCGAAGACGTCGTACCATTCACACATAGTGGATTCCGAAACACTGCTGTTAGCTTAGTATCTTCGAAGACGCAAGAAACTTACACGAATACATCGGTGAATTTCACCGATACGGGAGGATCCGTTATCAAACCAGTCGACTGATAGAGGGCGACTATTGTGTGCTGTTTTGCAAAATAACCAAAAATAATCCGATACAATTCAGTTCCTACCATCAAATGGCAAGACCTACATTTTATGCGTTGTTACACTTGATTCAAACTAATATGACACCTGAAGAAAGGATTGTAAAGACTTGCATACGAGTTGTACATAATGGCGTCTACGGTACTATTCGCGGCGAAAACGTTGCGTGCGCTCCGAAAAAACGAACGCAACCCGTCAGCACGATAACATTGCAATTCATCCTTATCGTGTTCTATAGATAATGATAAGGAGCAGTCCAGTGCTGTCAAATTTAGGTTTAGGTTTGGAAAATAAGACCCATTTGTGTTTGTAATATACGAAGCCTCGTTAATAACAAACCTGCCCAACTGCAAGAAGTATTTTTTCACGACTTCCCAAAAAAAAGTGGCTTCTTTTTTCATATATTTGTGATCGTCGAACAGGAGAGAGGATCGGGTGAGGGCGTAAGCGGTGAGAAGGCAAGACTGGCCCGGCTATGGGGCGCTGTGGACTCACGCCTACTCAAGCCACTGCTAACACACGCGCGTCCACCCCTAACGGAAACGTTGCCGGCGTTCATGAGTCCGCTAGCTCGAATCCTGACTACCACACACCAGTACACTCAAGGAGTAAGCATCTATCACTTTTATTTTATAATAATATCGATAACCATTTATTTTCCCCTCACAAAAGGTGTAATAGAACAATAGGTCAAATAGATTTAATGAGCCCAACGGTCGATAACTACAATGTGATTTACACTTTATACACTACTAGCGGAAGTCAGCGACTTCGTCGGCGTAACTTTAGTTCTTTGAATACCCCACAGGAACCTACACATTTTCCGAGATAAAAAGTATCTTGTCTCAATCCAGGTCATAAACTATATGCATATCAAATTTCATCCAAATCCTTTCAGTAGTTTTTGTTTGATTAAGTAATAAACATACAAACTTTCACATAAGTGGGATAATAATGATAACCATTTATTTATCCCTTACAAAAGGTGTAAAAAAAAAATTGTATAACTAGTGTTGATAATAAAAATGATCCAAAACCGACGATGTGATTAACAATATTTTTTTTGTGTTAAACACTAACAAACATTTCACAACACAGGACCTGCTTCTGTTTTAAAGATGAATGGAAACAACAATCGGTTGGGGTATCGATAGCTTGATAAATAGTCACAATATCAATAAACTTATCGATTGTTTCGATAATATCAATAGTATTCGATACAATCGAAACTCAATAATATCCCTAGTATTCACAAAAGTTAGGAATCCAATATAAATCTTATTTCTTCTTATATTAAAAAACTTGGCGTGCATTTGGAGAGACCTATGTCCAGGAGTGAACTAAGATAGGCTGTTGATGATTAAAAAACTATCAAAATGACTATTAATAAATCCCAAATTATCTTTCTAGGATAGTAGTCTTCGAAGAGCTGACTCTGATTCCGACCTATGTATTGACGAACCACATCCAGTTCCAACTAGCATCGACCCACAGGTAATAATTTGATTTGAAAAATGGTTTCTTTACTTTTTTTAGTACAAATTAAAATATATGAACATATTTTTATTAATATTCTTGTTATTTAAAAATAATTTGATTTTGTTATTTAACTGATCTTGTTTTTTTATTCATGCTGGAAGATCTGCAGATTTTATATTTATTTTTTATTAAATATTCTTCAATTTATTTGTGTAATAATACCTATTTATATTTGTCTTCACTTTTGGTTGCAGCTATCAATTAATGTTCGGAACGGATATGGGCATGTTTAAGCTTATTAGGGTATAATGAAATTCGGCTGTGATAAAATTGATTCACGTAGGTAGATTAATTAATAGAAAAAAATATTCTTCATTATTGCACGCAGCAATTATGGCCTGGACTCGTCGACACAAGGATCTCTGTAGAAGGTATCACCGGCAGTAATATTTAGACTTTTCGGAACAACTTTATTTTGTATCAACTGAGTGCCACACATTAAGAGAGATACCTCAACTAGTAATTTCGTGAAGTAAACTGTCATTTTATCTACCCTATAAAAACAACATTCGGCAGAGTATTTTGCTATTGGGTGCAGAATTACATGCATAATAGCGGCCTGGTAACAGATACTGTAAATGTAAAAATCTTTGCTAGTAAATAGTCTAGTTGAGGTACTTCATAAGTTTTAGCTTTAGCATAACTAGATGTTCTGAAACGAACTAGTTTTCTTAAGTTGATGTATCAGATAATTTTATGCTAATATTAGTGTTTGCAGCATAACCATGTTTTATTTAAGGAGCTCCAAGTGTGTCATTTGGGTTGCATAGCATGCTATGCATACTTACGCGATATTCAAGGTATTAATTGTGCGATATTTTGCTCCTGATCCATTTCATTTCGTAGTCGGGAAAGAGCTTAGTTCTTAGAGCTTAAATTAAACAATTGATATCTATTTATATCGGCAACATTATATATTCGTATGCAACTCATTTTCAGGATCATTTTGCATACTTGTTATGTGTGTAATACAGCACTGGATGATATTAACATATTTTATGATAACCATCGAAAGGGTTAATCATAAGGATTATTTTTTGCTAAATAACAGCATTTTAAATGAAAGGAATGTCTCATTACGTGATAAAAATAATAAAGTGATACACAAACTGTAGAACGTAAAATCTTTTTGAACTCACAGTTACAATGCGATTGGCTGAAATTTGTAAAAATAATAATTTAAAAATAGACACATAAATTTTCAAGCGTCTGTTCTTTTGTCAATTTATTTTTTGTTTATTTGAGAAGCTTATTTAATGTACCACAATGACATATTATTAGCTTTGCGGTGGTACCGCGAATGATACCCTGATAGAGGTACGTACCTTCTCGGTATGTGTTTAAAAGGTTAGTGGATACTTTAAGAAATTTATGACGTTTTGATATGCACTTACAGAACCACAGCAGCGGATGATAAACGACAATGATGATGAACTCAACATTTCAACTTACTTTGAGGCGTATCCGATTTTATATTAGTTTGTGTTCAATAATTTTAAATAAAATGTTAAATTAAATTACTTTTCTTTCGTTTAAAATGCTATGTTTTTGAGCAAAAATTAATCTTTATGATTAACCCTTGCGATGGTTATCATAAAATATGTTGTATTTTTTTTTTAATTTCACGAGTTTGATTCCCTGTTGTAGCAGGCGATTTTTTAAAAATCTGTGAATGCAGTTCTAGTTATTATTAAAAATAAAATGATGTCTTCTTTCAGTAAAATATCCAAACTTCAATATTTAATATACTTTCCCTCCGTGTGAGGTAGCCGTGGGACGCCCTGTATATATGGTAATGTCAAGGTGCAATTGTAACAAACTTTCACATTTATAATTTTAGTAAGATTGTGTGTTTGTTACACGGTGAACGGATTTAGATGAAATCTGGTTCACATATAGTTTATGCCCTGGATTGAGACATAGGATACGTTTTATCCCGGAAAAAGGTTCAGGTGTCAGGTTCCTGATCAAAAAACTAAATATAACGCTGACGAAAGTCGCTGGCGGCCGTTAGTTATACTTAGTGTATTTCGTTCTTTTGATGACCTTCTTCAAACAACTAGGCTCGAATTCTCTTAGAAATGATCCATGGCAAGTTGAGGCTTTTAGCATTTTCTTAGCCTCCCAAAGACATCTCGAAACGTCAGCATGGTGCGATGGAAAATTGTTGGTTAAAACGCAAGGTAAATAAAGTTGAAAGAACTTTGCTAAATCTTGATTTAACTTAACTAGATTTATTAACATTGACGTTATTTTGTGAGTTAAATCATGTTTTAGTTAAATCGATATTTAGGAATTCTGCTGAAGGTGGGCCTTTAATCATATTGCACCTTATTCTAGTATCAAAATTTTATTGGCTTAATATTAAGTTTTTGTATAATACGTAGTTATCGCAATGCCATTGTCTAATTATCCGCGTTTCCGCAAAATCCCTAAGATTTTCGCGAAAATAAGATTTATTAAATTATCCTACGACATATAATAGACATCCTGGTTCGGGCGAGATCTTTTAAAACATTCTTTAGCGATTGAGTCTAGTTGTTTAAATTTAAGTGGTAAATTGTTTCATAGTCCTATTTTTTGTTGAATCAAAATCTATCTAAGACCTAGTCTGCATTGTGAATGTCTTTATATAAAATGTAATTTAATCTTTATGTAAACTCAAATCATAAGAAATTCTAACTGAATTAACCAAAATATTATGCATTTACATACATTGTCTAATTATCCGCGTTTCCGCAAAATCCCTAAGATTTTCGCGAAAATAAGATTTATTAAATTATCCTACGACATATAATAGACATCCTGGTTCGGGCGAGATCTTTTAAAACATTCTTTAGCGATTGAGTCTAGTTGTTTAAATTTAAGTGGTAAATTGTTTCATAGTCCTATTTTTTGTTGAATCAAAATCTATCTAAGACCTAGTCTGCATTGTGAATGTCTTTATATAAAATGTAATTTAATCTTTATGTAAACTCAAATCATAAGAAATTCTAACTGAATTAACCAAAATATTATGCCATTACAACCAGTATTGTCGCATAAATTATGCACCACTGGTGACGTCCGTTTCATAGCTTAGTAATAACTACTGAACTAGTACTAGTTAACAGTTACTGAAAGTAGGTCCTTCAGTTGAAAGACTTATACCCCAAAGTAAGTAACCACCGCGCTCAGATGTATTATCTACGCTACGGTGCGGCGAGCGTTATCCCATATATTATTGTCTCTGTGTGTCTAAAGATCTCTAATGATTTAGAGAATCGTTACATTTAAATAACCAATTTACAGTGTATTTACATTAACATCAATGATATTGATGGTAGTTTAGTAATACTGGTTAATTCTGTTACATTTTTGTTTAGAATTTGAACTATATCTTTAAATTATACTTAGTACAGCCAACACCATATCAGGTTATACGAAACTGATTTCGTCTATATTGTAAAATCCATTGGAGAAATTTGTGCGTCTGACTTTGTTCAAAATCAATTGCGGAATTGTGACACAAATAGTTTAGGTAGCAGCAAAGTTCTTGAGAAAACCCACAGAACAAATAAAGTTAAACAGTAGAAGTTTATATATATAAAAAAAAATGCTACTGCCCAGGCTCCTTTATCCATGGTTTATACTCAAGAAGTTTGTAAATGAGGTGTAAAACGTGATGTGCTATTGACTGTACATACGATCTTAATAAATTTGTATATACATACCTAATTGATGTTTAAAATTATTGTTCATGAGATGGACAAGTGCTTTATTTTTTTTGTGTTATTGCTCTAGATTTGACTTGAACAAATAACAATATAATAAAACTTCCTTAATTAAAATACATATCTAATATGTATTTTAATTAAGGAAGTTTTATTTCAACAAAATAATGGTTCTCAAATACAAAATTTTCGTGTAATATATTAAAACAATTAAATAAATGGCAATCCCAAGGGCCCTAGATTTTTTTGCAGTGTATTATTATATTACAATATCTACAATGTTATTTTTTTCATTAGTCTACTAAACATATGAAAGAGCCAGGCTAATACATATGAAGTTTTTGTGATTCTGTTAAGGCAAATAGGAACTTTAGGAGTAAATCACGATTAATAAAGGGCTCCAATGAGAAGAGATATGCATCTTTTCAGGAAACTTTTTTAGTTTTCCTTGATTTAAGATTATCATTATATTATATTGCAATTAATGCACTTGGTGCAGTTGTAAGTTTAAATGTAACATAGAGACAGTATTTTCTATTTCTACCCAGTGTTTGTCTTCAAATACATAAGTTTACATTAGAATAGGGTTGCCAACCGTCCTGTTTTCCCAGGACATGCCCTAGTTTTTGTAGTGTCCTGGGGCGTCCTGAATAGATTTTAAGCAGCGTCCTGGGTTTTTAAATTTATAAACTTCGTGCGTAGACCAGGGTCGATAATTTTTGAGACCAAAAAAAATTATAGTAGGATGAAACCCTACCCAAAGGTAGAGAATATAACAATAATGAAAGGAAAAATAAATTACGGGCGATCTGAGGTCGGGAAGGGGGAGGGGGTGAGTTTTTAAGGGTAAAAATGGTTAATCTAGATTTTCGGTAAAACTGCAAGTCCTATGAAAAAAAATTAAATGGCAAAGTTGTAGGTAATAAAAAGATCTACAACTTTTGTATCGACACTTTTTTCACATAACCTCAAAATTTATGTGAAAAATGCGAATAACCGAGTTTTTGGTTTTTGATTTTTATTTTTTGCAAAAAAAAATATTTTTTTCACGAAATTTGGTGAAAACTTACCTTTGTATGTCCCAAACATACAGTAATTTTTTTGATTTAAAACATTCATTTTTTCACCTTATTTTGACTTAATATCGAAAAAGCACCCTTATTTTCAATCGAAAATTCTCACGTCAAATTATCTGCTTTTTTAAAAAAGTTGGGGTGTTTTTTGTTTGTTGAAATCTCTACTTTCTGATGGTATAAAAAAATATATACACTACTATGATAAATGTTCTCAGAAAATGCAAATTAATAATGAAAAAAACTCCAATCCGAAAATCCTATTTATAATACCTACTTACAACAACTATTTTTGCATGTTTTATGGATTTGTAATTTTTCTGTTTATCAATATAACATGAAATCTTACGTTTTTCGAGTAATTAAAGTGTAAATTTTAATAAATAGTTCAAAATTATACATAATGATTCAAATCAATTTTTCGGATTGGAGTTTTTTTCATTATTAATTTGCAGTTTCTGAGAACATTTACCATAGTAGTGTATATATTTTTTATACCATCAGAAAGTAGAGATTTCAACAAACAAAAAACACCCCAACATTTTAAAAAAAGCAGATATTTTGACGTGAGAATTTTCGATTGAAAATAAGGGTGCTTTTTCGATATTAAGTCAAAATAAGGTGAAAAAATGAATGTTTTAAATCAAAAAAATTACTATATGTTTGGGACATACAAAGGTAAGTTTTCACCAAATTTCGTGAAAAAATAATTATTTTTGCAAAAAATAAAAATCAAAAACCAAAAACTCGGTTATTCGCATTTTTCACATAAATTTTGAGGTTATGTGAAAAAAGTGTCGATACAAAAGTTGTAGATCTTTTTATTACCTACAACTTTGCCATTTAACTTTTTTTCATAGGACTTGCAGTTTTACCGGAAATCGAGATTAACCATTTTTTACCCTTAGAAACTCACCCCCTCCCCCTTCCCGACCTCAGATCGCCCGTAATTTATTTTTCCTTTCATTTTTTTTATATTCTCTACCTTTTCTAATGGGTTTCATCCTACTATATTTTTTTTTCACTTTTCACCATTTTTAAAATTATCGACCCTGGTCTGGCGCCTCTTCTCAAATTTTTACGCTACATGTGATTATTTTAATTACTTTAATTTCATTTCGCCTGTTTTCACTAGATATTTATTTAACTATCGCAACTCTATTAATGCGTCCTGTTTAAAAAACGGAATTGTCCTGGTTTTTCCAACTTCAAATCCTGGTTTTTTAAATTTGAGGTTGGCAACCCTACATTAGAATAAGACTGTTTTAGTTTATGTCTTACTACTTAATGTCTTAAGATTGCAATTACTTTTAAAATTTACATTGTCAGGGTTTTGAAATTTATGAGTGTTATTGTCAAAATTATTGAAAGAAATAGCATTTTATTAAGATTCTTTGTCATGATTTCTGCTTTTTATTGCAAGTGAGATTTGTTATTGTAATAAAATTTAAACTGATCTTGTCTATATTTTAATGCATTAATTTTATTTTACTTAAATACTAATCAACTAATTGAGTTCTTAAGGAATCTATAATTTCTTGGGTTACCTTAAATTTTGATCCATGACCAGGAACGATCCAGTCTGCAATTTCAGCAACAGCCAATCTATTTTTCCTTTGTAATATTGGATTTTCACTGCCAGCTGACTTCCATATACTAGGTGTCTCAATATCTTCTGAGTTTTCAAAAAGATCTCCTGAAATTATTGTAAAGGAGAAATAGAAAAATATAAATAACCATTCTTCATAGTACAAGATCCAAAAACCGCCAAACATACTTATTGTCTCATGTACAAAATATGGATAATTGAGTAGTATTAGTGTGTACAATGAATGTATACATCTTGAGCTGTAGGGCTATTTTCAGGTATCTGTAGAATATAATTTTTGCTCTCGACATTTAATGTTACTACTGGCTTTAAATACTGCTAACAGAATGTGTCTGGCAGTATTAATTTAATTTTTTTTACAATATTCTCTACAACATACGTAGGTAAATTTTTACGTGCCTGTGCCACCTGATACCTGAAAATTGGCCCACAGCACAAGTTAGCAAGTATGTATACGTTCATTGTACACACTAATTCTACTCAATTATATTTTGTCCAAGAGGAAATAAGTAAGGTCTGGCAGCCTTGAGATCTTACTCTATTATACACGGAATAAACAAAAGACCAGGAACGTATTTAAAAATCAGGCGCCCAGTGCTACTTAAGATTTGCACTTAAATAATTATTTTCAATAAGGGCCGTTCTTTTTTGAACACTCGCTTACATTGCAAGCAATACAACCGAGGCCCAGGTACGAATTTTTGACAGCTCCGTAACGTATTGTAATCGTCAAATTTTGTATGGAAAAAGCTAGTTTGTTCTTACGTTGGATAGGGGCGCTGCTTAGTTTTCATAGAAATTCAAACTGACGATGTGATACATTGCGGGTCTGCGTTCATTCAATAGGATGGGCATTACGCTAGCCCCGTCGCTGTAGGCTTCGCTGCTTGGTGCTCTTACAACATTAATATGCACATTTGTTCTAATTATCGAAGCGTCGGTGTAATGCCGGCGCTGCACATGTCTTTTCGTATTTTCTATTTGAATTTAAATTTACCAGACTGAAGACCGACAACGGCACTGTCATATCTTCCAAAGATGAGATCTTGAGTGAGGTCGAGCTGTTCTATGGACAGTTGTACAAAACATCTCAAACTCCTGTTGTCGGCTTGGTCCAAGATCCACGATCCAAGCTAACCCGACACTATACTGAATACATCCCGGATGTCAGCCTGTACGAGATCAGAATGGCTCTCAAGCAGCTTAAAAACAGTAAAGCACCGGACGATGATGGAATCACTACGGAGCTTCTGAAGGCGGGCGGTAAGCCGGTCCTCGTGGCCCTTTAGAAGCTATTCAACTCTGTCATCCTCGGGGGCATTGTTCCAGAGGCGTGGACCAGGAGCGTGGTGGTGTTGTTCTACAAGAAAGGCGATAAAACCCGCTTGAAGAACTATCGACCCATCTCGCTCCTGAGCCACGTCTATAAGTTGTTTCGAGAGTCATTACAAATCGACTTTCGCGCTTGATCTACGACTTCCAGCCTCCCGAACAAGCCGGTTTCCGAAAGGGCTTTAGTACCATGGACCACCACATACGCTGCGTCAGATCATACAGAAGACCGAGGAGTATAATCGGCCTCTGTGTCTAGTGTATGTGGACTATGAGAAGGCCTTCGATTCGAGACTTGGGCGGTGCTGCAGTCCCTCCAGGGGTGCCAAATTGACTAACGATATATCGAAGTGTTGAAGTGTTTGTATAGAAACGCCACTATGTCAGTCCGAATCCAGGAGAGAAGTACGAAACCGATTCCATTGCAGAAGGGTGTCAGACAGGGGGACGTAATTTCTCCGAAACTGTTCACCGCTGCATTGGAAGACGTCTTCAAGCTTCTGGATTGGACCGGATGCGGCATCAACATCAACGGCGAATACATCACTCACCTTCGATTTGCAGACGATATCGTGGTTATGGCAGAATCCCTGGAGAACCTTGGCACAATGCTCAATGACGTCAGCAGAGTTTCCCAACGGGTTGGTTTAAGGATGAACATGGATAAAACCAAGGTCATGTTCAATGTCCATGTCACTCCAGCACCAGTATCTGTTGGGAATGCGATTCTCGAAGTTGTCGATCATTACGTCTACCTAGGACAAACAGTCCAGTTAGGCAAGTCCAACTTCGAGAAAGAGGTCAGCCGACGAATCCAACTCGGATGGGCAGCGTTCGGGAAGCTTAGGCACATCCTCAGGGCCAAAATTCCCCAGTGCCTGAAAAGAAGGGTTTATGACCAGTGTGTGTTACCAATGATAACTTATGGGACTGAGACGTGGTCTCTGAATGTCGGCCTCATAACAAAGCTCAGAGTCGCGCAACGTGCTATGGAGAGGGCTATGCTCGGTGTTTCCCTACGTGATAAGATCCGAAATTCCGTAGAAAGACCGGTGTGTACGACATAGCCCGAAGAGTTAGCACGCTGAAATGGCAATGGGCAGGCCACATCGCTCGAGGATCTGACAACCGTTGGGTAAGAACGGTCCTCGAGTGGCGACCACGTACCGGACGACGCAGCGTGGGGCGGCCCCCAACAAGGTGGACTGACGACATCGTCAAATGTGCTGGGAGCCGCTAGATGCGGATAGCGCAGGACCGCGCATTGTGGCATTCCATGGGGGAGGCCTATGTCCAGCAGTGGACGGAGAAAGGCTGATAGATGGATGGATGGATTTGAAAACATGATAAGTGTCTACTTCTCATTGCCTACATAAGGACTACCCCTTTTTTTAACCCAGAGAAATGCTTGATACATACCCGGCCACTAGGTAAGATGACGGAGTTATGTGGGACTCTCCCGCAAGCCTTCCCACTAAAACTCAGGGGTGTGCCCTCCTTGCCAGCAGTGATGTGTATGGGTTCCTTATTAAGAATCGACCACACCGGCTGACCTCAACATTCGGGGAGATGCTTCGCCATTCGGGGACACACAATAGACACCCCTCGGCTACGTGTCCGTGCAATGCAGACGTGGGCTTTCCCGAACCAAGGCTGTTGACGCCGACTTAAGGTTGAAGGGGAAGGAAGTTGGTCCGCTTCCGTCTTCCGCCCTGGCGTCGACGTTGAACCGGGTCTGCCCGAACACCATCGCCGTGATGATATGGACTATCTTCTGCCAAATAACATATAGCAAATACGAATAGCCATGTGAAGTGCTAGAATAAGCTGTCGCTCATAGCGGCAACGTACTATATACACCTCGCAACTTTATAAATTGTGTTTTAACATGTGATGCTGCAGGCCGCCTATCTCTGTACCTCTGGGTAAATGGATAAATATTACTGACCATTCTTAACCAACCCTAAAATATCAAACTCAACTGTTGAAAAGCAGTCAAGATCTCTACAACCATATTTGGATGATACACTTGTGATTGTTGATTTAAAAACTCATCTGGCAATCATGTCCTTGCAAGTTCGACCCGAAACCATAAGGAGCCAATCCGAATTTGCTTCTTTAGATCAGGATATTACCTAGTACCCACCTGCTACAGCAACAGTTCCTTCATTTGTTTTAACTAGTACTGTCACATCTGATAGTGTATGCCCAGGAGTTGGGAGAACTTCAACACTTTCATTTATGGAATATCTTTCACCTAAAATTACAAACACTTTTGTACCTACTAAGTTAACACCACCTTGTAAACACTTCGGTAAACTTCTTAAGAAAACCACAAACATTATTTTATTTGTTTATTGCACAGTAAACATTTTTGTTTGTAAAATTGCGACTGTGCAGGCTTCCTCGGCTATGATTGTTGCTCAAGAAGTTTGTCAGGGTGTATAATAATAGTAAAGTTAACATAGTTTTTCTATGGTCACAGGTCAAAACAGCATAAGAGATAACTATAAATTAATGAAAATCTGCAATTGTTTTTTTAACCAATCTACTAAGATTGAAATTGTGAGTTTATATAGGTAGTCTGAGAAATGTTACTGCATATATATGAGTATTTACCTTGATCAAAGGCATGTAAAAAATATCTTTCCTTATATGAGATACTGAATCCAACAATATGTTTGGCATGTAAAAATAGATTATTATTTCCTATATGATCAGAGTGGCCATGTGTAGAAATAACATAATTAATCATATTAGGCAATATGTTGTGGAACTGTAGAGCTAAAAAATAAAAACAATTAAAATACGATATATTATTATGTTAACTACATACTTAGATTTCGTACTGAATTCTAAAATTAAATATCTCAGCGCAAAACGAATAGGTAGGTTATATAAAATCCTATTATAAAGTATATAAATAACCTTTGATTATTTTATCAGAATCCCATGCAGTCATAGTATCCACTATGATATTATGCTGTCCTATTATTAATGAGCAACTACAATTGGCTAACATTTCCTTATCTGAAGACATTTTAGAATATCCATTAAACAGCACGAAAAGATCACTCATTTCAAGTGTGTAAACAATTAATCGGAGGGTAAACCACAGCCAGACGTACTTCTTAAAAGTGCGTAGGTTTATGGGTTACTACTACTAATTGGATGACTTGTTTGTGTTATTGTTTCCACAATTTCACTTCGTCAGTTGGCGGTGCTTTTCAAGTTCTTTCTATCACAGATCCTTTAAAAAGTACTCTTTGATCACAGAAAACTTTAAAGCCAAGAGCAAGATCTTTCTATCTGGTAAATAAACATGACCTTTTTTTTTATTATTTTATTGGCTCGCACGGTTTGTGCATTGACCACAAAATGAATGACAGTGATTTTTTTTTTTGGTTAAGTTCTCCCTTTTCAGGGAAGGCAAGGGGAACAGTGCCCATACAGCCTCGTCTTAAGTTAAATTATTCTGTTTTTCTTTTTACATTAGAATGTCGGTGTGACGCATTCTAATGTTTCTTGAAGTGTTTGGCACGAAATGTATCAAGCTGGCTTTTTCGATAAGCTTCTGTGAGGTAGTCAATACTACAATAAAATTCTCACGTCCACTTGACCGGAATAGCGTATATTTTGACGATTCTACTAATTCTTCAGTTACGCAGACAACTGTAACACAAAATCACACCAATTTTATTTCACAATATCCACTATGAACGAATTTAAGAATAATTAAAATAAGACGCCAACCACACTCAATGAAATCCCGCCAAAAACCGTTTTTTTTTATATAAGTTTTATGAATGACAGTGAATGACTGACCACAGATCAATAAGAGAACAAGTTTGACTGACCCTTGTTTTTGCTTGACAGCTTGATAGAAATGAGAATATGTCACTGTCATTATGGCACCATTTAGGGACGTAGTGATATAAATTATAATTAGATAAAATATCGATGATTAAACATTGATATTAGAATACCTTTGTAAAACTTTTTATATTTGTATTGTCATTTCAAACTCATAAAAAATCACAAACTATATTATTACCTGCATCATAATTAAAGGCCCTTCTGCCGACCCCGTTCGACAGGGGTATTTTACTCTCCAATTCCAAAGAGAATAGCTTCGGTAGGAAATAGAAAGTAGTGCTTAAACGGTTTTTGACAGTATTTGTTTATCGATGCTTTGATTATTCTTTGTATGAATTTATGTGAGTATAGGCTCACTACATTAACTCCGAATCGTCATGGGATCGCCTCGCTCGCACTCGCAAGCTGTCCGCGCGCCTGCAGCGGGAAGACTACTCTGTAACCACCCGATGCTCGCACGCTTGGCCATGTGCTGGTTGCTGATTGGTTGTAAACGCATTGTGCCTGAGTGGACCGCATGCTGTCTACGAGTTGACAACGCAATTTCTTCGCGTTGACAACGCAATTTCTTCGCGTTGACAACGCAATTTCTTCGCATTGTAGTTAAACCATAATGTACAATAAAATACACAAGTATATTTATTGGCGCGGCTTATAAGTACCTGCTTATGTTTTATATTAATGTTACAGGGTTTCTGCAATTAATAATCATTTTCTTCTACTGTTATTTATCGATAGCCTTCGTGTGCCTTCTCAGTCCCCTATCTCCGTCCCTTAAATCTTTATGATAGTAGTCCATAGAGAAAAGGAAAAGTAGTCTCTCCTTCTCATTCATAAAGGGCATGATAAGGATATACTGCTGTCAAAATTAGCATCTTGCCAATCAAGCCCACTCTGCCTAGGGATGCGGAGTTTAAAAAAATATCGATACATCGATATTTAAAAAAATATCAATATCGGCTTGGATATATCGCGAAAAAAACATCAATAAATCGGACCAATTTTCCTAAAAATATATTTAGGTCAGCCTAGCACAGTAATAATAACAATATAAATTATAATTAAAGAAAGAATTATTAAAGTACCAAGTTGCCGCTACACTACATGACAGTACAGTATCTCACGAAAAATGACACGAGGAATAATAATGGAACGAAAATTATCTCCTTAAAAATAGACCCTATTTTCGAATAGTGAAAATGATTGCAGGGCCTCTCAGGTGCTATCTTTCGTAAACAAGACTAGATAGTCACACACTTCCACAGAATATGATGGATTCAGCACAACCAATTCACCAGCGAAACAGATTTACAAATCATAGACAATACTAAATACAGCACAGATCATAGATACGTTGAATATCATTAATCTGAGATCCAGTTATGATTTTTCCAGATACGAATTTAGTTAGATCGTGAAATGCCGCTAATAATTAAAAAAATATCGTTTTGATACGAATATCGATATTGGTTATTTTGTATCGATATATCGAACCAAAATATATCGACTAAAAATATCGATATATCGAACGAAAAATATCGATATATCGATATATTTTCAACAAGCCTAACTCTGCCCAGCTACTCTTCTCATCGTCGACCACCTTCTCAGCTCAGCTGTCTTTGGCAGTTATTTTTAGGTTGAAATCTAAAATAAATTCACGAAAAGTGTACGTACTTTGTATAGGTTAAAACGTGCCGCGCTACTGTCCATTATTCACAAAATTTGCGCATTTGGATCCTTGTTTTGTCTCGTGATTTTGTTTGCAAGCTCGTTGTATTAACTGCATTGTTTACTCACGGTTATGAAACAATAAGTGAGCCTCTGTCGCTCGGAGCGCCAGATTAAAACGAACCATGTCAGGCGACGTACAGCCAAGGAAACGTAAAGACAAAAAGAGAAAGAAAGGTATGTAGTTTGAAATTTTTGTAAGATACAACTTTTACCGCAAGTTTGTTTGAACTTTTGTATTATCGTGTTAGTACCTTCTTTTCCAGATGATTTAGGATTAGAAGAACCCCGTGGCACGTCAGCTACGTTAGGAGAAGGAGATGTTTTTATGCATTCTCATCATGAACAGGGAACTGGTGGGCACTGGTGTGCAAAGATTATATTCTTTTCCCTTCTTGCTGTACTTATCACTCTAATTGGATTAATCATATTGGAGAACAGAGGTTTATCAGAATGTAAGGATTAATGATTATTTTTTGTATAAAATTCTATTATGTAATAAATGCAATTATATACTTATTTTAATACAAACACATTAATTTTCTCATTGACAGTAGAAGCAAATGCAGTAGAATCTCGATATTCTGGCGTTTTAGAAGGTTGGCTAGAAGATGCGCCAGATGATGATCATCATGATGAACATACATTAGAACTTTCTCATCATGTAAGTATTTGATTGAAGAATATTTTGTCAATTTATTTCAAATGAATATTATTTTGTATTTAAACTTCTCCCTTTGCAATATTTCCCTATCTCAAAGTAATTTTTAAAAAACTTTTTTTTGTCATATGAGCAAGATAGTATATAAATTGTTAAAATATGGAGGTTTCCAAATGTTTTATTCAATATTTAAGAAGCAAAATAAAACACTGTTAAAAATCAGAGAATTATCCCTAAAAATAACAGTTTCATATCACTGAAATTTCAGAATAATTTACTTTAATGCACCAACCATCAGGCTGAAAGTCAATCACATAGTAATGGAGAGAGACATTCGAACTTTCCTTTCATCACATATGTAGGAACTATTAGAAAGAAAAGAATATATCTGTGAACTAAATTAATGGCCATGAACTAAATGATGTTGTTGTTTAATTAAATGGTAGCAATTGGGGTAGCACAAGTTCAAGAATGTCTTGCTTTATCATTTTCAATTCAACCTTTTAGCTATTAACAGGATTGATACCATGTACCTTGTTTTTTATGAGTCTCCAATATTTCGGCACTGTTGCAAGCGCCATGACCACAGAGTAAATGAAGTAATTACGGGTAGATATTATTGGCAGACATATCGGTGTATCGGTGACGTTGTCTATTATTTGATCGATACTCCTACCACTGATCACGTTATCACTACTCACTCGCACTTGTTCCCGACACACAATACTCACAGTATCAGATTGCGGAATGACACTTTTTTGATTTTTGCGATTTTTCCACATATGAACCACTGGATTCCAGACACTTGACAATTTAAAACCATCCTCATGATTGATATTCTTGTGTTTGGTTATTTCAATTGCTTCCCTGACCAATCTTGTTATGTAGTGGCGTTGAGATAATTTGTGGATTATGGAGTCCATTATCAATCCAGTGATTTTAATTAACCGAAGGACCCGAATTAATTAAATTTAAGGTACACCGATATGTCTGCCAATAACATCTATCCGCAATTACTTCAGTTACTCGGTGATCATGGCGCTTGCAAAAGTGCTGAAATATCGGAAACTCATAAAAAACAAGGCGCATGGTAACAATCCCGTTAATAGCTATAACGTTAGTGACCATGAAAGTTTAAAACAATATTCAATTCAACTGTTTACTGGAGTGAATTTTACAAAATTTTTCAACACCATGAAACTTTTCCAATGTCAAATTTTGTTTTTAAAAAGACCCACATTTCTGAAATCTGCTCATATCACAACATGAAGTGTAACTGAAAGGCCCGAATTTCCATAGTTCCCACCACTCCTTCAGGTATCATTCCAATTTCAATATATCTTTGCTGAAACATTGCATTGCCACAAATCCAAGTGTTACTAGTTAAGACTTGGGTAATCATAATGAACTGTAAATGTCTGGTTAAATATTTAATGTTTACTTGATTTCAAAAGTTAAAAAATATTGATTTTCTGCAATACAATTATGAATAAATATAATAGGATAATGATGATGATGACGAAGAACATCTCAGTGATGATGATCATCTAGAAGATGATGCAGAAGATGACTATGACGAGGATGACGATGAGGAGACTGAGCACAGTGATGAAGCTGGCGACAATGATAATCAAGAGGATCAGGACGCAGATAATGAAGATGAAGCTGATGATATTGAAGATGAATTAGATAAAAATGATGAAAATGAATTAGATGATGATGATGAACCTGACTTTTACAATAAAGTAAATATTAACGACGATGATGATGATGATGATGATCGTCACAGCTTAAATGATGAAAATGATACAAATCAAGACCAGATCGAGCAAGATGATGAGGTGAAAATATTTGAAAATACAAACTGATTATCTATAATTATTACTTATTGATAATTCTCACACAAATTAATATGTGACATTCCAACTTTAAAATAGGATGACGAATATCGAGATGAAGATGGGTATTACGAAGAAGACAACGAAAATGAAGAAGAAAATATTAAAAGTGATGAAGAAAGTAATGAAATTGATAATGCTAATGATGACGATAGCATTGTAAATAACGAGTTTGATAAAGGTAACAATGAAAGCCAGGAAGATACAAATGAAAATGATGATGACGATAATGAGGTGCTCAAAAATGATCTTCAAATGTGACAAGAGTGATGCTTTTTCATGAAATGCAAGATTTTAATTTTCATATTTCTATTGGCACTAACAATGTTTACTATGAAATGAGCTTTTTCTAAATTTTTCATACAAACTGAAATATTTAACATAGTGTTCTTTACATTAAGAATGATGCAATAAAAAACAGCTTTATCTAATATATAAAATTCTCGTGTCATGGTGTGCGTAATTGAACTACTCCCAAACGGCTCGACCGGTTTTCATGAAATTTTATATGCATATTCAGTAGGTCTGGGAATCGGACAACATCTATTTTTCATCCCCCTAAATGTTAAGGGTGTTCCATCCTTAATTTTTTTTTGGACTAAATTTTTATTTTTTTATGATACATCATACAAAAATACATACAACCCTAAATTGTCACCCTTCTACCACCAACCCCTATTTTTTATGGCGGTATGAAGTTCGCTGGGACAGCTAGTTTTAGTTATATTTTAATTTCTTAAGCATAAAGAATAGCCGTCCCGTCTGCTGCCTGGTCCGCCTGATTTATTTTCTAATAAAATTTTCTTAAATTTAATTATATTTTTACTATAAAATGTAACCCTGTGAACGAAGTTCTTAAGTTTGTTTATTTAGAATAATTGTTGATGTATTGTATTAAAAGTGTGCATACTAATCAGTTATGTTCTATTTAGGTACCTTGCTGAGCGGGTCGTTGCGGGCTCCTTTTGTTTCTGTTCGAATTTATACAGGTTCTTTACAGAAAAGAACTTCTTTGACTGACTCGGTTTCGGTGGGGTATCGTTTCGTTGTGTTTGCTACGGTTTTGTTTTTAGGTGTGACGGGACGGGCTAGTCGAATGGTTCGGTAGCACTTGGTACAGGAAGATATGTTTCCGCTTGGTAAAGAATCTGTAACGAAACTACTCCGTGAGAAAGGTAAAATTTAATAACATGCACTCAATAAATAATCTGTATAGATTCGGTAGAGAAACGAAGATGAAACGTGCTCGCACCAACCCAGTGAGGAAGGCACCTAATGTAGATAAGAGATGGTTTTAGCTGTAGTTCATTATTTTCGATTGTAGGATGATGAACATGATGATGAGGATGAAGATGTAGAAGTAGAGAAACTCGAAAAAGCGGAACCAGATGAAGATCCTATATCGACGGAATTACCTGCACTGCCTGAAGATGAAGATAATAATGATGATATCGATGATGACAGAAGTGCAGGTAACCTTGAGACTTTCTAAAAAATTTTTGAAACAGTTTTGTCGCTTGCAAAGATGTTAAATTGTAAAGAGTTATTTCTCCTGACCTAGAATTATTAAATTTTGCCAAAACTTAGAGTACGTTAGCTTTCTTCTGTTGTCACTGTGTTTGACTTCGCTTCCGTGGAAAATGTACCACAATTTAAGCATGTACCAACTCTCGTAACTAAAAATTCAAATATATATCAGACAACATAAGCAGTTAAACACGAATCCTGAGACAAATTCAGCATCTGTTTGGAACACATTCCTCTTGTTTTGGTGTTGTAAACATAAAAATAAAGAATGGTTTAAAACTTTTAGGCGATTTAACTGACGAAGAACCAGATCAGGATGAGTATGACAAGGCTGATGAGAAAGATGAATACTTGGAAATTGATGACAACGATGAACCAATGGTGGAGCACATTACCGCACCGCCTGGTAAACCCCTGCCCGAGGTAAGGATACAACAATTAGATTATTATAGTACATTATGATATAAGTGAGGTAAGTTGAGAATTACAGCCGAGGCGATTTTGTTAGCCCGAGCTGTAGTTGAGGGCTTTAAGAAGGCAGAGGCTGTAATTATCAAACCGCACGTATGTCATACGACGTTTTATAACACATATGCGAGGAAATAATACTACCTACGTACGTACTTTCTGAAAATGAATTTGCACCTTTGCTTGTTTTCCGTAAGATAAAATTTTGATACGCTTGACTGTAATTATCTATCCGTGGATTTTTCGGGCTAGAGGCTTAGGGGCCGTTCAAGTATTACGTAAGCACTATAGGGGGGCAGGGGGGTCTTTGCATTGCTTATTTTTGATGACATAGGGGGGTGGGGGGTCGAGATAGTGATTACGTCAGCATCATGGATTCGGGTGTCATGGACTGAAGATTGTATACATATACCAAAAATTCGAAAGAAGTTGGGTTTGTTCGTAATAGGACCTTACTCAATGTTGAATACTGTATCAATAAAGTTTGTTTCAATGAATATTATGTGCGTTAAAGTCCTCTATCCTAAGGCTATTTAAGTACTGCTGCTCATGAAGCTCATGAAAGCTCATGAATGAATAAAAAAAACAGAATACATTAAAGAAAAAATGCATATAGAGGCTTAGATTAAAACAAAAAGGGTAGATACGGTACGTTCATACTTGCATCAAACAAAAACTGATCCCTCGGCAGCGCGAACGGGACGGCAATTTCCGCGTCACTGCATTACCGACCCGAACGAAACAGCACGTTAAGTTTCAACGGCAGCGCGAACGAGATGGCGAGATCCGCGTCACTGCACTACCGACCAATTACGCGACCAGTACTCGCCGTCACTACAGAATAAGATTCAAAATAAACAGCAATTTTTATGAAAAAATATATTTTAAAGTACTTACGAATGAAAAGTGATGCTGTGGGTGTTATTTTTAGTTCTTGAGCAATTTGAGCACTTTTTAAAAACACATTTAGGCATTGTTTTATCATATAAACACAAAATATTAGCAATATTTCTTTTTGGCTTCACATGTACGTCGTTTGCATGTCAAGTTGTGACTAAAGCGATTAGGGTCGTGGACCACAATTCATGCGGATCACTTTTGTGAGGCTAGTGCCGTATCTACCCTTTTTTGTTTTAATCTAAGTATAGAGGTACCAATGTTTACGTAAGCACGTGAGGGGGGAGTAAGAGCTTTGCTTACTTTTGCTGACAAGGGGGAGGAGGGGGTAAATAATTGTAATAAATCTGCTTACGTAATACTTGAACGGCCCCTTAGCGTAGCCTTTTTCGACTTCTGGCGGTGTCAAATTTATAAATTCGTTACTACTTGACAATATTTATAATAAAAACAATATAGCGAAAAGAAAAAAGGAAACTTTTTCACAGATTAACGATGCGCGCGCAACAACTGGCAATGGAACAAAAAACAGGCAGTGTTACTAATAAAGGAAATTAATATTTTTGTGAATTTGTTACCGATACATGGTTGTAATTTATTGTCAAAATGAATCAAATTTTATTAAATGTTTATATAATATATTTTATCTCCCAAAGTTAATTTTATTAAGAAAATGGCTACCTTTTTAACATAAAAACTCTTTGCTAAGATTTAAAAAAGTATCGTTCGTTTTTAGACGGAGTAATGTGATTATGATAGATTATGATATTGAAATTGGTGCAATAAGAGACGCTTTACGAGCAAATGTGTTGTAAACCTTATTTATTTATTTGCAAAGAAACAAACATTTACTTAATTATACAAAAAACAACACAATGAGGATAATTACTAGGTCAGCAAATACAGATATACACACAGTATAATGATCTAATAAGCTATTTAATTAATATACTTTTTAAATCATCAAAATCGGTTCATTCGTTGCGATTTTATAACTAATTTTATGGAAGCCAATATACATCGGCGGCCGAAACGTATGACGTCACAGAGCTCGGTCGTGGTTCACTCTGGTCGAACTTCAGCGCTAGAGCTCTGTGACGTCACAGTCACCACCGCCTCAACCAAAAATTCGTTAAGTAATTTGGTCATGACTTGGTCAATATTTGTCGTAGAACAGAAAGGAAATTGGACATTTTAGTATGGAGCTTGGGGACGAACTAAAGATTTTTGTACATCAATCAAATAAACTTAAAAATATTGCTTATATTTAATACTTTTAGGATTTTTTTATTTCTTTAAAATCCGTACTCTGAGCAAAGTTATTGGACTTTAAAGAAATATATCTACATAACCTTTTTTTACGATCCCCGCTACTATGCAACTACTCTTATCTTAATATTACCTACATACAAACACATAATCACGCTCACAATCCTAAAAGGGATTAGCAGTGCTGCAGGTAACATTTGTTTACACATTTTATTATTTAGCATTACATCATTAGCATTAATTTACACGGCAATAGCGAGAAATGGACTGACTGACAGAGCTGTGAGTTCTGACAGTGATCACAGTGGTACTGACAGACACTGTTCACATTGACAGAACAACGGTGATTTTTCCGAAACGTATTGCTGGAACTTGCATTCTTTTATTTAAGGATTTTTGTTTTAATCGTCTTTTGTAAATAAATCATAGTCACACGAATAATGTGTTATATTATTCTTTGTATATGTATTTTCGTATCTTAGACTAGTTCTAACAATGTTAATAACATTAATAGGTTAACATTGGAAACCTGAGTTAACGTTTCGGAACGCGGGATCCGGATATCGCTTGAGGTGGCGAGACGACCGGCGTCCCGTATAGCAACCGGCTACCAAGCACCGAGCGGGCTTATCACATAGGAAATCATTCTACATTTAAAAAATATCGCATATTTTTCTGAGAGTACGAAAATTGCTGAAATTTGGTATTCAGTCATTTTCATTAATGTACAATTGAGAGATAAAAATCCCTAAAATGCCCAATCTCCTATGTTCTTAACTAAAATCATTACGGATCCTCATTACGAACATTTATTTTTTACCAAATCAAACAATTAGGAATCAATGAAATTTCTACCGCTAGTACTAGAGATAAACTTTAAAATTACAAAATAATAATGAAGAATTATATTAAGGTATTGAACAGAATTTTAAAAATTTTAGGTGGAAGAGGAGACTTCGTCTGAAAAGCCCCCAAACACACTAGCTGAAGAGGAAGAATATGAGAAACGCCAAGAGGAACTTCGTCGGGAGGAAGAACAATCTTCTCACAGTAAGTGTTTTGACTCACTTTTTGCATGAACTTACGATTATTGTTATCCTAAAATGACACACTGCAGCTTCTAATGGCGTAATATTTAACACACCATAACTTAAATGATATTCTGTTATGAATCGAACCAGCCTTTCCACAATGATCGTTATAGTAGTTCACCGCGATCTAAATCCAATAGATTATCCAACGTAACATGAAATACTTGAGTCCTGAAGCCCTAGCACGAGTTTTTGACAGCTTTGTCGTATGTATCGCATCGTCAGTTTCTATGAAAACTCAGCAGCATATCCCCGTCGGTAAAAACAAACTAGCTTTCCATACATAATTCGATTTTACGGAGCTGCCAAAAACTCGTGCTTACGTCTCTGAAGTAAGTGTTGCGTTTTTACACATACGGTGCACGAACAAGGGCGCTTATTCCACAAGACGCAAGTGCGGTACTGTGTGGCATATTGCTCCGACCTGGGATGGTTCCAACATATCATATCTATAAACAAAGTAAATTAATAATGCAACAATGAAGTCTCTAAAATAATGCTGTACAAAATATCATTTAAGTTTATGTTCTAACATTATTTGGCAACTACTTTATTTAACTTTGCTTTATTGTTTTAATTGGCTATTAGTTTGTATTACTCATATCTCTAACGAACCACATAAAATGTGTAAAACAATAAATGGTCATAATAATTTACAGTATCTTTTATTTCACCTATGTAAACATTCTTACAATAATAATTGTTTCCTCAGAGGTAAGTCAGCTAAATAATATGGTTTCGTTTTATCGAATGCGGCTATGTTTCTTAATCACCTACTGTACTGTCCGTTTTTCAAGTTTTGCCAATAAAGTTCGTTCTATTGAAGTTTTTCAAATAATATTATGCAATTTTTAAGGCGATACTTTTAAACCACTTACACAACCTGAGGCCGTATAGTAAACAGTGACGCTGAAACAGGTATAGAACCATGTTACCGCTCTACTGTGCGCATGGTGAAAATTATCTAGCTTTTTTGATAATAGGAATTGCCTCACGTTTATAATACGGCCCTGGTCTTTAACATGTCACATTGCAGGCCATAGTTATCTTCTCGGTTGAACAAAGTTCAGTCACACATACCTTTGCCATCATCAAATATGATGGATTCTTTTACTGTTAGAGACCTCAAAAAAGTGTATTTATTCACTGTCGCAGTTTTGGTCTGTGTACAGTACAAACAGTGGTGTTTTTTATTAGAATTCGTAACAATTTGTCAATGCCAGGATTGTAAATAAATAAAAATAGTAAATTAACGCAAAGTAAACTACTAATTCATTCAAGTAAATGCTTGTGCGTTGTGTTGTCTTTCGCCAGGATATTCGGTCCTGGGTTGTCATCGAATATTTTTTTTGTGATTTTTAATCTCTTTCCGCGGTGGACGGTGGTGGTGGTATGCCTCTAGTTCTTTGTTGTGTGTTAATGTTGAGCACAGTTTACGGAGTAGTTTTCTTCTCGCCTCATCACATGACCGTACCGTCTGACCTCTTTCGGTTACAGGAGCCACCTTAAAGGAACCTCTCACGAAATCGTGTCGCATCCTATACAAGCTCGTCGCTCCAACCTACCAGCGGAGCATTTTTATCTCCGCTGTGTGTAGTTTTTGTTTCCTTATTGAAGTCCTACACTTAAATCCATAGAGAATTGCCGGACAGTTTAATACACCCTCCCTTTGGTTTTGATAGGCATTTTAGGATCGCATAGTACACATGACAAAGATCTCCACTTCATCCAGCCCGCATTAATTCTGTGGCTCACGTGATCATCAATGGAGAAATCCTAAGCCAGCATATAGCCTAACTAGGTATTTAAAACGGGACAGCTTAAGAACGTTGTTGCCATCAATTACGATGTTGCAGCCCATTTTTTCAAGTCCCCCAAAGTTAAATACAAATGGAACTTTTTGCCACCCTAGATCAGTAATGGCCCGTTAAGTGTTCTCCGCATCGTTTCGCTGTCACGCCGCTGATAACTATGCACAATACTCAAATTTAATCATTCTGCCACCACAGAATCTGCCTTACTTCTGCCTCTTTATTATTTGGAATAGAAGGTATTTTTAGACATAACAAACAAAATAGTGTTAAAATAACACGAAAGTAAATTCACATTAATAAAAAAAAAAGGCCAAGTGCGTGTCGTGCCACGCGCAGTGTATGGTTCCGTAGTTGCCTGTCGTCAGAGGTGGCGTAAGGCGTGGGCGACATGGTCCACCGGCCTAAGGCCTCGCGGTACAAGGGGCCTCACGCCTCAAAAATTTTTATGCATTGCTTAAAAGCGAATTTCTCTTTATTATTATTTTATAAAATCCGTCTTCAGGTCGCCACAGAACAGGGCCTCGCGAAATCTGTCTTGCGCACATCAAATTTAGCTCTTGCCCCGCCACTGCCTGTCGTGACCACAATATATTTGAGCAGGAGTCTTTATTTTCTGTATCTGATATTAAAACAAGTAACATAATATAAAAAAAATCTTGTAGTTCGTTGTAACTTTGATCGATGTTTTAATAATAGTGTTTTTTACCCGGCTGCGCAATGCAAGAGCGCGAAGCGCGACGCGCAGACAGGGTTATGTGTTTAACAGTCTATATATGTATGTTTGTTCCTTTGTGGCACACTAGAGACCAAACGCCTGGACCGATTTTGATGATTCATACATCAATCGATTCGTCTCAATCATGGGAGTGCTACTAAAGATATGATTCAATATGGGCAAAATTAGGCGCCATATTGTGACGAAGTAAAAAAAATAAGTTGACAAAATATGTCGAGTGGGGTATCACTGCCTAGATAATCAAAAATCATATTTAGGTTCCTAACACAATTTTTCATTTTATATGATTGTTTAGGATCTACAACGCTTTAAAGTTGTATATTAACCAATTACGCTTTTAATTTCAATCTTACGTTTGTATGGATCTTTGTTACTCTTTCACCTAAAAAATACTGAATGGATTTTAATGAAACTTAACAGTAATATAGCTCATATATGATAATTACATATAAATAATAATTTATGTAGTTATTGAGTGAATTGGTCAATATATAACAATAAGTGTCACATAAGACGGAAAAAAATCTCCTATCTGCGAGGCATTTTGGCCTGCACTGCAAAAACCATAAAAGTTACATGAATGTAATGTAGAGTGAAAATGTATCTCTTAAATAGTTCTAAAAAAAGTCCGTGACACCATATATCTATGTTTAATGTGTAAGTCTTAACCGCTAAAATAGTGAATGAAAACTAAAATATTATTTGATATCTATTTCCAAAATGCACATTTTGTATTAACAAATATTTTTTTATCAAAACAAATACTTTTATCGCTTTCGACAAAGTGATAGCTCGGTGTACTATGTAAAAGAAAAAAAAAGGGTATTCGCAGTATCTGATCCTATACGAAGTATTAACAATAAAACTGAGATACAGTTCCTTCTTATTAAATGATGAAAAATATATTTACTCAGAATTTTACTGTTTTTCATTTTTTTTAACGATATTGCTTTAGGTTACAAAAAAGGTTTACTTAATATAATGACAAATAACCCATTTTTCGCTAGTAAGTACATACTTATTGAAATCCCTGTATTTATTAATCAGCTCGCGATAATATTGGTTTTGTAATAATTCTGCAAAATTCAAAGTAAATAATGTAGATTTTTATAGGTAAATCACCCCTTTCATCACCCTACGCCTATAAGTATTGCGATGTTGTAGCTAAGAACCAAGTTCCCATCTACTTCTATATGGGAATTCATTATATTCGATTTAGCTATTAGGGCACGGAAGCGCAACAAACAAACTCACTTTCGCATCTATAATATTATATTATACTTACTAGTGATCCACCCGGGCATTGTCCGGGCGAAATTTATTTATCGGGATAAAATATAGCCTATGTCACTCAAAATGTATTTAAATAAAGAAAAATGTTATAATAAATAATGTAGCTACCTTATGATGAATTAATATTTGAAACCGGTTCAGTAGTTTGACAGATTATTTGTTACAAACATACAAATCTTGCCTCTTTATAATATTAGTATAGATAGTTAGGATAAGATAAGTATTTAATTGATGAAAAAGATTTAAAAATAAAGTAAGTAATAGGTTTATTTGATTATATTTGTAAAAGTTACTTAGCGTTTGTGCTTAACAGTGATAAGTTATTCGGTATTTTTATAACAAAAAAAAATTTTAGAAAATAATTTGATTGCACTACTACGGGAGTACTCTTCATTCGAGCTTTACACTACCAATAAAAAAGGGTCGAACACAAAGTCTTTGACCTGTTAAATGTGAACGCTTTAAAAGAAAACTACAAAGAGAACTATAAATTGATAATAAATGAGATTGCTATGGTGCTCTACCTAACGTTATGAAAATTTTATTATGCGCCTTTAGTTTAATCAAATATTATAAACTTTGTTTTGGTGATTGCATAATTATTTAATTTAGTGATCTAAGGCAGTTGCCACCATTGTCCAAAACAACAGACGGGAATTACTTCTTTCTTCAACCTGCGACATAAACGTCATTGATTGGTATTGTATATAGGGTGATTAAAAACATTTGAAGTTAAGTTCTGGCATCTACATATTGGATTTCTGTGAATTATGTAGGTATATCAAATTATGAGACTAGGGACTGACACTGAATTTGTGTATATCACAATCTTAGACGTCCGGCATTGACATGACAATGCAGCTACTGCCAATTTTAAATAGTCGACGAATAAAAGTAAATGAATTTTTTTATTTACTGCTAAACTATTAAAAATACATAAACAAAAGATGACTTTTTGAGTAAGTGCTAGTTTACTATAAAATTTACATACATTAGAGATATTTATGTAACGACTTAATTTAACTTCACACATTTTTGCGAAAATTGAGGCCCATCTGTAGCCTTGACCCCGCTGGTAAAGTCTTTATATGTCTTAATAAATCAATCTTTTAGACCGACGCAAGGTACTTAATAATTCCCGCGATATTAATTCTCTTACTGACAAGACTACGGTATATACCGTCTTAAAATACTAACTAAAAAGTGTGAAATAAAAAAGGTAAATTTAAAAAATCAAAAAACCCGACTGCTTAGTTATTCTTCAAACAAAAACTGAAAAGAAAAAAAACAGGTCCAGTAGTCTATAATTCTGTTAATAAGGAACAAAGCTACTTTAACAGTCGGGACCCACTGTTAAAAAATATTATGTATTCTTGAATATCTAATGGGTCCCGACTGTTAAAGTAGCTTTGTTCCTTATTAACAGAATTATAGACTACTGGACTTGTTTTTTTTCTTTTCAGTTTTTGTTTGAAGAATAACTAAGCAGTCGGGTTTTTTGATTTTTTAAGTTTACCTTTTTTTATTAAATTATTAATAAGTAAACACTATAATTAGGTACCTAAGTGTTGGGATTTATATCTAACTATATGCGAGCCCATATAGGCTTGTGATAGCTAAACAAGCTAATATATATTCCAGTTTGGCAAGAATATATTTCCAAAAATATTATCAATTTGTGTGCCTGAATAATAATCATTATTTACTTAGGCACCTATTACAGATTTATTATTAGAAAATAATGGTTGACGGTTTATGCATATGGTTTATATTTATGAAATTAAATGTTTTTATTTTTATTTTTTATATTTGAGTTAATTGAATGAAAGGTAAATTGCTGTTAACGATTTATGATGTATTAAAAAAACTACTTAGTAGATCTCGTTCAAATTTCAATGGAAGTTTGCATGGTAATGTGTCATATATTTTCATATATCTTATTTTAAAGTTACAAGGGGAGGGGGGGGGGCACACTTTTTACCACTTTGGAAGTGTCTCTCGCGCAAACTATTCAGTGTAGAAAAAAATGTTATAAAAAACCTCAATATCATTTTTGAAGACCTATGCATAGATAAACCACACGTATGGGTTTGATGAAAAAAATAAATTGAGTTCCATTTCTAAGTATGGAGAACCCCCTACAATACTGAAGATCATCAATGTGCTGAACTGGCAACTCGTCTAATAATATATTTTTACTTTATTCTTATAATTTTGCACATAATATGCAGTGTTTTCTGTCGTAACCATCTTAATGCGAATATACCTACATGTAGGCGAGAAGCTTGCTATGTTGTCTTTGTACCTCTTTAAATTCTAGGCAAATCACTGGCTTTTTGATGGCTGTTTATTTGTTTTTGTCTTATTGTGCCTACACGAGTTGGAATAACCTAAGTTTTAAATCAATGTTCTAATGATAATATGATATAGAGCAAATATGTTAAATAATAGAATATTCTCAGAGTGACTGATGATGATATTATAGTGTAGCGCGTGTGCACAGAGTACCCCCATCAGAATCTGCAATATTTTACCTATTATTTTTATTTGTTTAAAATCAAAATCGCCAAAGTGTGTGGGAAGGTAAGCCCCGTTTTGACTGAACACGCCAGTGACAAATTAGATGCAAACTTATATAGAGACGTTTGGGAGCGTGTGACGCTTATTTAGTATGCTTAGCACAAGCGGGTGCCCTTGTATGCGGTCTCTAGTGGGGGTGGTTTGTGCGTGTGTGCTAAGCCGCGTATCCACTAGAGGCAGTCTCGGGCCGAGCGAGTAAATGGAGCCACTGACTCAAGCTGAGCTGAGGCATGCCGCTCCTGATGGCAAATTCGTTGCCGCGGTCCGAGCCAGAAGTTGTGGATCAAGTTAAGGTCGCTTCACTTCGATCCGCAACGGGCCTGCCGAGTCAGAGAGGATAGCCTCAGTTTGCCTCAAGTTGAGGCTACTCGGCCCTAAAACTCTTGTGGATACGTGGCTCTAAGCGTGGCGCGTGTGTTGCAGTGTGGCTGAAGCTGACAGTGGGCGGAGCACTGCTCGCCGCCACGCACGCAGTCATGCGGCGCGCTACACAGCCACGCGGTGCGTATTAAAAACATATACCTACATATTAAAAAAAAAACTACTTAAATAAAAGTATTATCTTAGGTATCACAAATTAAACGAGCTGAAAGAATGTAACTATTGTTGTTGAATTGCTCATCTAAACAAGTAATTTCCTTATATAATCGTTATTTGAATTCAACCATTATTCCTGCGGCAGATTTACCAGATGACGAAGAACCTGTGACTGGAGAGGATACTCCTTTAATCGATCGAAGATTGACTTTGATACCCGAAGAACAACCTATATACGGTAGGATTTATAAATCAATTGAACTGACATAGGTACTTATGCTTATTATTTATATACCTATACTAATTAGTTCCAGTTAAAAGTTCTAAAGTGGGAGCTCCAGAGCCCAGTTTCGGTAAAGTCGTAGGAACTGCAGCTCTTCTCGTAAAGCCACCTCTGGTAAAAAAAGAAGAAAGTGATGAAGAGGAGAAGTATTCTGACGAGGAAGTGAGTCTTTTTTTATTTATACTGTAGTACAGAATAAGTGTTATAAATTACTTGCAAGCAATGTTCAATTCTTGTCTACAGGAAACGCAAGAGACAGCTGTCTCTACAGAAGATAATAAAGAATTATATAGTGATGATGAAGAAGAAGCTGAAGAAGACGATCCAATTGTTGAAGAACCCAAGCAAATAAGTAAACACAGCGCCCCTGCTGTAGAAAAACAACCAGCGCTTAATCCTGAACCTGAAGAAGAAGATATCGAGGAGGATGACGTGGAAATAATAGAAGATGAGCAACTAGATGAAGAATTGGTTGATGAGGAAGATGAAGAAGAAATCTCAGATGTAGATGATGCTGAGCTGTTAACTCGACTTGAAGCAAAATATGGAAAGCTGCCTGAACCAGAGCGCTTCGGACCGAAACAATATAGTAAACACGATGCCGCCCTCGTGTGCTCGCTTTGTTTAGCCAATGCATGTACCACCATTAACAAATTTAACAGTACCTCTCTAATGGCTTAAATAACCAAATGTGAGTGGAGTTCTATGTTTTTTTTTGTTACATTGTACTATGTAAGTATGTACTAGACATACTTCTTATCAACATCGAATAATCTCTTTCTACATTTAAATACTGTCATGTTTAAGTAAATTCGAAAATCCTTGGCACTTTTCATATCATTTAAAGGCAGTAGCTTTGATATTCTATTACCCGCATTTAAGATGGATATACATGGCATGGTTAAAAAAAATACCATAACATTGTTGCTTTTGTTCCAAGTGTTATTTGCTATCAATTATTGAGAAATAAACTTTATCAATGGACAAGGTAGTTCAGAAACAATTGCATCTGATGACGTCAACAACATTGTGTTACCTTACTGCTTTTATATTTAAAACAACCAAAATATACTTCAATCAGTCGATAGAAAGTAGGTTTTTGTGTCGTAAGAAGTTAAAGGTCGAAACAGTGCTTTTAGTAAAATCCAAATTCTGCTCTTGATGATACTGCGTGAAGTTATGTTATTATATTCAGCAAGAGTCCTTACAAAGACTAGGTATATTGACAATACTTTAATAAAAAAAACGAGCGAGCCTTACCGTAGTCGCGTATGATCTGTAACATTGGAACCTCACATTATATTAGTAAAAAAAGAAATAAAACCTACTACAAAAGGAATAATCCATTTGAACATTATGTTCTAAAATCAAATAGCGCGCGCTTTTGCGACTTCCTGTTACACACTTCCGTCCCATTTCACGAAATCACTCAATGTTGTTACACATCAATAAAAACTAGTATATTTTTAAAGCTTTGGTTTTTGAACAATTAGTGTTTATTTCAGAAGATGGTGGGAACAGTTTAGTGGACGATGATTGGCCCGGCGAACCCAGTGACGCGTACTGGCGCGACCAATTGGACTCCGCGGAACGAGAGATGCTCCAGGTATTAGTGATGCACTATTTGCTATCATCACCAACAGCCTATGAATGTGACCACTGCTGAGGCACAGGCCTTCTCTAAGGATGAAATAAGGAGTTTGGGCCATGACCCACCACTCTGGCTCAGTGCGAATTGGTGAGTGCTAACGTCTGCAGCTGATACCGGGACCAACGGTTTAACGTCTATAGTCTCTGCCTGCATACCCTCTTGGGAACAGGTCTAAAGTTATTTATGAATAACCACCCAAGAAGACTCATTTTGGGATTGTTAAGAATCATATCTGTTATCATGACAACTTTAATATCTAATCTTTAAGAAAACGAACTTTCCTAGTTTGACTCAAGTTGATTTTAAACCATCTACCGTTACTATTTTCCAACAAAACTATTAATTCCATAATTTGAAAGCAGAACAATGAAGTTAATCAAATATGGACTTATTATTAATTAATCAGGTGTATCAATAGAAGCACAAGAAAACACCTGCGAGACCTACTTTTATCATAATAGATAATAGGTTCATCGATGTATTCGCATTTTATTTCCCTTAAATGTTTGTGTGGCATTTAAATAATGTGTGACAATTTTTTCCGCCCTAAATTAATCTTAACAGCATGTGAAAATTTGAAATATTTTTTGCTTTTGAATTTTATCAATCCTCTAACTAGGTTATGAGCTTTGCATGTTTGTTCATAACGAATACATCGATGTTAAATATATTTCCCTAACTATCTTATGATCTTAATGAAGTCTGTGTTGCAAGAGTTCCAAAAAACGGTCTTAAATTAAATTAAATATATATAAAAATCAATTGCTGTTCGTTAGTCTCGCTAAAACTCGAGAACGGCTGGGCTGATTTAGCTGATTTTGGTTTAAAATGTTTGTCGTAGTCCAGGGAAGGTTTAAACGTTGAGAAAATATGGGAAATTGCGAGGAAGATAGTAAAAATTCAATTTCATTTTTCCATATAAAACTGTTCTATCTACGAGGGGAGGTCAATAAGTTCGCGGAATGGAGGGGTTGGTGGGGGTAGGTTTACTCGTCCAGGTAGGCACTAGTTAAGCACCTCATTAAGAGTATATATACCAAGTTTGAACCCAATCAGGTCATTAACTTTTGAGTTATCGACCTGCAAACAACTGAATCGAGAAGAAGTCAGTCAGTATGGAGAATGTTGAACACCGCGCCGCTATTAATTCCTTACCAAGCAAGGAAAATCCGCTCAGATTATTTTTCAAGAGCTGTTGGCGGTTTACGCGGACTCTGCCCCTTGATAACCATGGTTTACAAGTGGCATGGTCTTTTCAAACAAGGAAGAAAGTCAATTGAAAACGACCCCCGCTCCGGACGGCCAATTGAGGCCACCACACCGGAAATCGTCGAAAAAGTAGAAAAACATGTATTGGAAGATGCCTGGTTGAAGAAGAATCAGCTTGCAGCAATGATTGGAGTATGCGAAACAAGTATTTTGATTATTCTATATGATGATATAGAATATTCAAAATACTTGTTGTGATACGTCGTGTGTCGTGTGTGATATAGAATATTCAAAATACTTGTGAATATCTTGGGATGACTAAGGTCAGTGCAAGATGGGTTCCGAGAATGCACACGCCACTTCAAAAACGCGAGCGTGTCGAGTGTTCTTGCCTGTTTTTGGAGCTCTGTGGAGAAGGAAAGGAAGAAGTTATGGCCCGAATCGTTACTGGTGATGAAACCTGGGTTCACCACTATGAACCTGAGTCAAAGCAAGAGTCGATGCAGTGGCATAAACAAGGCACACCTCCTCCGAAGAAGTTCAAAGTGACACAATCGGCTGGCAAGATCATGGCGACTGTCTTTTGGGGTACAGAAGGTAGGTAAGGCGTGAAAAAAAATTGACGACGATGAATAAGTGAAGTCCGCAATTTCGGCCTATTTTGACACCAAAGACAAATATTTTTTTTTGGATGGTATAAACAAGTTATTTGGGAGATCTGAAAAATGTATTAGGGTAAACCCAAACTATTTTTCCTTTTCAATATATTCTCCCATATATTGAAAAGGAAAAATAGTTTGGTGTTTAATTTCAACCTCCTTCCGCGAACTTTTTGACCTCCCCTCGTATATTTTTGTCAAACATTTGACGTTCGTCGTTTATCATTTCTTCCAAATTATTGTAATCAGTACGAAGTACGATGGGTCAGCTAGTTACCTATAAATTTGTTGTGGTGATTTCCAGGATTGGCTGGACTAATCAGTTTTTCGCTAACTTTCCCATGAATTAACTTTGTTCGTTGTGCCATTTCCCATTGATTCGTCAGAAGTACATCGGGCAGGGCGCGCTGCCCGCACCCCGCGGCGCGTCCCCCCGGTGCCCTTCTGATGACTCTCCCCTAGGATAGCATAGCATAAGATAGCTAAGATCAACCCATATTATAATTTTAATCGATTTACATACTTCTGGTCATTTTGCCAAAAAATCCCTACTTAGAAATTAAAAATAAGGATTGTGGTAAAAAGAATGGATAAAAAATATATTTAGGTACACGTCAAAAACTCGTATCGAAGTTATCAGATAATAACACCTGCTTCTGCAGTGAGTAAACTAAGCCAGAGCAAACATAGATATTACGTCAACACTTTTGCCGCAACCGTATATGTATAGGCAAATGCAGCCGCATACCACATGGCTATAGGCGTGAAATATTTATTTGCTACCTACCTTTTTCAAACGAATAAAATGTACAAACTGTTGTCAGTATTGCGAGCCATCTAAACTCTGTTTAACCATACCATTTGAATAGAAAATACGTACTCTATAGAATACCTTGTTTTGAATGGGCGTGTTGGAATGCTTGCTTGAGTGTGGTTGTAAATACTAACGAGGGCGATTCGAGTGCGGCCGTGGAGCGTACCAGCGCCGATCCGCTGCGTGACAGCGCGCGGGCGCGTTGGATACGAGCGAGTGCACTGGACCGCGCTGCCGAGGAGAAACGCGACAACACTCTCCTGTCGCGCGCCATCACTGCCTACCTGCATCTGCTTAAGATGAACGAACGCCTGTCGGACAAGAAGCTACTGCAAGTCACAGGACGCACCTTGGACAGAATTCAGTTTAGAGGTTAGTGTTCATAGGTTTCTCTATCTCTGTAAGCTTAGTGACGGCGCGCGGACGCGTTGGATACGAGCGAGTGCACTCGACCGCGCCGCCGAGGAGAAACGCGACAACACAGCTGTCGCGCGCTATTGCCGCCTACTTGCACCTGCTCATAAATAAACGAACGCCTGTCAGACAAGCGGTATTTGCAAGTTACTGAACGTACCTTGGACAGAATACAGTTTAGATGTGTTTTAACAAAAAAAACGTTTCGCTATCCCTGTAAGTAAGCATAGTGACAGTGCGCGGGCGACACGGGCGAGTGCACAGATGAACGAATGCTACTTCAATTCATTGAACGTGTCTTAGACAGAATACTATTTAGATTAGAGTAAGTTTTAACAGGTTCTATCCCTGTAGAACTTTTTTTTCCTGTAACGTCCAACAAATGAAGCCTGCAAAATGGCTACTAATTTTGATTTGATTTTTTTTTTAAATTTGTGATTTATACATACATTAAAACTAAAAGGTGTGATTTGGACTTGCAAACATAGAGGTTCTTGCTGTCATATACCTATCTAACTATATTCATGATATAAAAAAAATCACACGTCTTACTATTACGGTGCACGTAATACAACCCCTACATAGACGGTCAAAAATTCCAATAAAGTACAGACTACAGACAGAACTCTTTCATTGTTACAGGAAACTACCTGAATGCCGAGCCTGTGTATAAACTGTTGATACGGCGGTTTCCGAATGATCCTGCTTACCGAAACAACTTGACCATCTCATTCCTCATGGCCAACAGGTTAGTAGCATACTAACTTTATTTTTGTAACTATGAATGAAATTGCTTAGTGAACGTGTTTAAAGCTAGCAAACTTTTTCTAGGGCTGATTTAGCGGAAGAGTCCATAAAGGAGACACTCGAACGCTGGCCCGACGATCGTCTAGCGCTCGCGCACTACGGATTCGTGTTGAAAACCAGACACAATCGCTACGAAGAAGCGGCCGAGGCTTTCCGTAAAGCTCTAGAGGGCGACACCGGTCCCGCTAACGAGGCCAGATTCTATTACCACTACGGGGATTCTTTACTGTTGCTGGGAAGGCGTGAAGAAGCGCACGTAGTTCATAAAAGAGGCGCCGCCCTAGGTCACTTCCTATCACCCGCGCAACGATCTCTCTATAATGTGCCGCGGTTGAAAAGCTCCCCCTGGTGGAGAATCGAAGATACTCCCTACTCAAACCTAGCCAAATCTTTAGAGAAATCGTGGAAGGATATTTTAAAAGAAGCGCAAGCGGCCGAAGCTTCGTATGAAAAAGAGAAGGAAGGTTTGAAGGAGCACGGGGAATGGTCGCAGCTGGATCTGTTCGTGCGCGGTCGAGAGGTTCCGGATAGATGTAAACGGGCGCCCGTGACTTGTTCTATAGTGAAAGGGGAAAATGCGGCGGCCGGTTGTCGCCGGGGACAGATCAAGTTTAGCTCGATGGCAGCCGGAACGCACGTAAGGCCACACGTAGGACCGACCAACTGCCGACTGAGGATGCATTTAGGGCTAAGCAATACCAAAGATACTTACATAAGAGTGGATCAAGAAATAAGGTGAGTTAGTTCATTTAATTGTTGGTAAACTTAGATGAGATTAATAAATAAATAAAAAAATGGGTGCGTGTACTTATGTAGGCGCGTGAGAAGTTATCCTTCTTTGGCATCGTTTAAAATTAGTTTTTAATTGCATGCAAATATTTAATTACAATAAATTAATAAAAAAGTCTGGAAAAGGACACAGTCAATAAAGTTCAGTTTTAATTTGAAAAAATAAATAATCAAAATATTCAATTAAAATCGCTACTGAATATAATTTATTAGAACATATGTGATTTGCACTTGTATGAAACTCAAACACGTATTCCGAATATACAAACTAGAAACATGTGGATAAATATTATAAATATGAATACCTATAACTGTTACTTTATTACAAAAAATAAAGATGTGGTTTTTGGTTCTACTACACCAATGGTCAAGAGATGGCGCTGTAGTCTCCTGAATCGCGCTTTGGTTCCGTTGTTCCAGATTAATAAATACTTTTGATAGGCCTTCACAATGCAGTCGTTAGCACCCACTAAATAGAGATTCTATTTCTATTTTGTTGGTAGATTTTCTTAATGTGCGGTAAACACAAAAAATTTTGTGTTACAGTGATGCGCGCGCATCTTAAAATTTCACTCTCATCATTTTTTCATAACGTGCCTAAAGAAGTATAACTTCAAAAAATAAAATAAATATTTCCAACACTCACACCAATTAGCCTAGCCCTAAAGTAAGCACTGTAAGGCTTGCGTTATGGGATACTAGGGTAACGGACAGAATACATATACAGTACATATATAAGTATATTTATATAGAAATACATATTAAACATCCATGAATGGAGTACATATGCTCGTGTTCATCACACAAACATCTGCCCCCACCGGGATTCGAACTCGGGACCTCTCGAGTAGGCGACACTATGAAACCCGGCGTACAAACCACTCGATCATGGAGGTCGTCAAATCACATCGTCGTCATGGAGGTATTAAATTTCATTTGTGCCAAATTACATCTAAATCCGTTCAGCTGCTGTGTGCTTGGGTAAAAATTTAAGAACTTTTACATTGATAATATTGAGTTGAATTTATTTTAATTTATTTATAAGTACATAATATAAATTTAAAGAAAAGTTTACTAGAAAAAAATCCACGCGGACCAGGCAGCAGCAGGCATGTCTTCATTTGACATTGTGGGTTACCTACAATGCGAAGAGATGGCACTGCCTTGCAGCCTAAGGCTAGAGAAAACTCGATACGGCTGTCAGGGCCGCGGTGGCATGATGGTCAGTGCATGCGTCCGGATAGCGAAGGGTGCGAGTTCAAGTCCCGCCTGCTGCCTGGTCCGCGTGGATTTTTTTCTAGTAAAGTTTTCTTTAGATTTAAAAATGTAGCAGTTAAATGCTTAAAAAATAAAAACATAAGTACATAACTTCTTTAAAATTGGATATTTTGCTTTGAAACAGACAATGGCGGGAAGGTAGAGTGTTGTTGTTCGACGACAGTTTCGAGCACGAGGTGTGGCACAACGGCACCGGCACTCGGCTTGTGCTCATTGTGGACGTGTGGCATCCGTACCTCACCGCGGCAGAGAGGCGGCAACTGCCTGCCATATGATCGCGTTCTATAGGGCCACAGACATAGCTCAAAATAGATACCGCGAGTAAATGTATTTCTCGTGCCAAAGTGAAGAGCATAGCTCTTTCTTTATAGCGCTATTTTATTTCATCGCGTCCCCGTACTCTTAATCGGGAATAGCAATTTAAAAAAAAACTAATTGAGAATAAACCTTATAATGATAATTTGCATAGATGGAATGCTAAAATAGCAACAACATGCATAAGGTCCGCCCTACTTAATTTGTTCTCAAAATATGGCACGCTCGGTTTTTATACAATTTCACATCTACTTATAGCCAAGTCTGTAAATGGGGCCGATTTATAGTGCGATACAAACTTAATGGTCAATTCATACCAGCGCAGAGTCGAAGCATAACAAATCAAATGCACCCTTATCTTCGCAACGTAATACACTTATTCCTTCTGAGATAAAAAGATGTCGCGCGAATTCGTCTGCGCGCGACCAGCGTTGATTATCAGCTCAAAAGCCATGAATTCACAGAAACGCAATAAAATTTATTATGAGCTAATTCCCGAAAACTATGCAAGAAATCTGTGGCAAAATTACTCAATCTATTTTGAACCTTGTATCAATCTTGTTTCAGTTAATTTCACTAAACCTGCATTATTATTTATTAAGCAGCGTAACTATGCACTAACCGTTTGATTCAAATAAATATGCAGCAGTTCAATTCGATTCAAAATCATTTATTCAGTCTAGGTGAAAGTCAAACGCTTTGCCATCGGCTCGTACATTTAGGGCGGAGACCCTGTACTGAAAAGAACCAGCAAGAAACTCCGCAAAGGCTATTTTTTTTCTCTCTGTTTGTTACATACAATGCCGTCAATCGAAAGATGACATCTAAACCTGAAAACATGTTTTAATGCCAACTTTTTTCACGTTTACAGTATTACAATACATAATGTTATAAATAAGTTTGGAATAGAGGCTGTAAGATTTTACTAAGATAATTTGTTCACTTCACTTTAACTACCTATACTAAATGTACCTACTCGGAATTGGGAATATTTTTGTTAAAACTAGTCAAAAAACTCAATACCCTCTGCGTGTCGTACTGCTTGCATGCGCAGTCGAGTAAAAAGGCAGAATTTCTATGTTTTCTTTGTATTAATCTCGCAATCACAATATGTCGATCGTTCCATAAAATTATATAAAACCCAGTCCTATCAATGAAATTGAATTTTATTATAATAAAATGTTTAATACTAACTTAAATCAACATTAAAGATTAAAGTGTTATGTGTAAAGTGCCTAATTTTAGTCCATTTTACTTGAATTAAACCTAAGTGTGTATTTTAAATATTATTTTGTCAGAGGTCTTGAAAATCACAATCACATTACTTGCATTTCTCATCCACCACTAACACCTCCAAGTATTTTAATTACCTATAATTAATGTATGTACTTTTGTGATATGATTTTTAATCGTTGTTAATGATTGTTACGGTTGTTATATAATAAGTACCATGATTTTATTATGAATATAATTTCGATGCTCAAACATGGTGTTTATGAAATTTTACGTCACCAGTTGGCGCCACTGTGACGAGAGGTGTTTTGTATGAAGTTTCAGATCCATAAACTATGAGAAGATATGCGAATTGACGGATGAGTAAACCTTTCGTCACAGTACTGCCACCTGGTGACCGTCATTCCAGAAACCCCTCATTAAAACGAGTCTGCTACATAAATATATAGTATATACAGGGTTCATTTTAAAGCACGAACAACCTCTTAGGGGGTGATTCTACCCATCAACAGGAACAACTTTTATTATGAGACGAACGCTGAAATCGCGATCCCGTAATAAAAATTGTTCCTGTTGATGGGTAGAATCACCCCCTAAGAGGTTGTTGGTGTTTTCAAATTAACCCTGTATTACCGACCATGCATTTGAACATTACAAATATTTTCTATTGAAGCAGTTTATAGTAAGTATTACATCAAAATTTGCTTCAAATGCGTTAAATTCACAAACATTGATTAGATACCTGTCGAAAAAACAACACTTTACATACTACAAGTTTTTTTCGCATTATTTCACAGAGCTCAGCGGCATGTTGACTTTTTAACGGTCCGCGCATGACTGGGCCAATCAGTGCTTGAGTGGAGTTCAAGCATTTCTTGATTGAGACTCATTTTGAGCGGACGCGGTGTATCTAGGGTATTTAATATCGTTGTGATACGCGCATTTCCCCATGGGGAAATTTCGCTACTCTCAACTGTATCGTATGGAATGTTTTAAGGACTCGATATTATTATGGTTTTAAAAGCATGCCATAACATGACCTTAAGAGGTCATAATCGAGTAGCAATAAGATGTTCGGGACTGGATGATAGCAGTTAAGGCAAATTTAGCAGCGGTAAAGAAAATTGCCGAAACCACGCTACGCCACTACAGTCGCTCTTTCATAAATGAAAAAAGACCCAATAATAATAATTATGTCGTTTTGTAATGAAAAATCTTGTCAGTAAAATTTTTCTGTTACTTCCTCTTTTCCCGAGGTATTAACTAATAGACTTGTCAACAAACTGGATGATGCACAGCAAGTAGAGCACGCATGCAACTCACACAACAAGCAAACCTCAAGATTCTCTACTATTAATAATCACTTTCTGAGCAAGGTAAATAATTATTTGGTTTTTTTAGTGGTTATTTGTATAATAATAAAAAATAAGTTTGTGCAGCCTTCTTAGACTTTGACAAGGTCGAACAATATGTCATATTCAACGCTCTATAGCGATGACGAAGATTGACTATCTTACTTTTACAGGGGTGGCATTTTACAGATCCAGCTATACAGACTTGGTCGTAGTTGAAGTAAAAAGAGGATTTCGACAGGGAGATACATTATCGGCTAAGTTAAACTCGTCAATATAACCATGGTTGGAGTGAACAAACATATATGGCTAATAGACTTGCCAACAAACTTTTGTAGATCACATTATCCTATTTGCGACATCTGTCGAGTTGCTATCATCCTGGAGGAAGAAAATTTTGATAGACTCGAACCCGCCCCCTCCGCTATCCGGGCGGATGACCGATGCTACCAATTATGCTACTGCGCTATAATTAATGATGAATTTCTTTTAGTTAGGCTGCAAGGATTTTCGATTTATGTTTGGAAATTAAAATATAAACTCCTGGAGGAAGTTACACACAGCGTCACATTCTTAAGGACAAAAAAATTAACAATCAAAATAAACGCAAACAGCCACAATTTGAAGCAGATGGATAGACGAGGGAGATTGACAAAATCCAGCTAGGTTGGACAGCATTTAGGAAGCTCGCTGACGTGCTAAGGAGCAAACGTATCTCAATCTTCTTAAAGAGATGAGTGTATATGCAATGTGTCATCCATGTACTCACTAATGGCTCCAAAAATTGGACACTCGTGATAAAGCTGTTGCGCAAACTGCGGATAATCCTTAGTAAGTAAGATCTTGCTCAGATCAATGTTACATAAAAATAACAATGCCAAGCCAACAAAACATTTTACAATTTGTAGTATTGTACCAGTTAAGGGCCTGCGCAGACGAAGGACTAATGTTCGCTATGTGCATTGCTGCGCCTAGGCACACGAGTACTTTTTTTTCGCCTGTTCCCAGTAGTCTTAGGCGTTTAACAGACGACGGGGCGGGGCGGGCTTTTTGTCCGCGGAGCAATAAAGACCGCGTCTGCCCGTCGATGTCTGCGGCTGCCCGCGCCGCGTACACAAAGCACACGACGGGCAGAGGCGGTCACTTCAGGACGTTCGTTCTAGTGAATAGTCCATCACTAATAAGCGCGTGACATGCTGCGCCGCCAGTGCCCGTCTTTTTGCCCTCTGTGTGCGTTTGTAATATAAGATTCACTTTGTGCTATCGTTCGCGGCGAAATTGACCGGCCCGCCCCGCCCCGTCGTCTGCAAAGCGCCTTAAGAGTTGAACTACTGGAAATTTTCTAAACTCCTAATAGTCGTATTCTCATGTAGACCTAGGTAATTTCAGATTTAGAGGGAGAGACACATTCGTCAATAAAATATAGGCTGTTTTTTCTGACAAAAGCGGAAATACTAGATTTAGGATTTAGTTTTATGGCCAAAAGAAAATGAATCAATCCGAGAAGATCCTTAATAATAATGGAAATTGTGAGATTTTTTTAATAGATCCTCTTAGTCATGTATGCTCTCCTGGTACTTTTTCAATATAATTATTTTATAAATGGAAAACTTAATAAAGCTTATCTATAAATTACGAGGTCTAAGTTTTTTTAAATTTTGATAAATTAAAAACTAATAGGAAAAAAATATCACCAGCGAAGTCTTACGACCAGTAAGTCTATTGGGAAGGAAATTCCCAGTAGTGCAAAAGGGAACAGGGGTTTTTTACGGGGACTACCGCGTACTTTAGACGTGTCCGGTCTCTCGGTAGTTTGGGTGACTTTTTGTACGGGGTACCTACTATAAATCCCTCGTGTCCGTTACCCGATGCAGTTGTAAGCGATCTATTTTGTCCGCGGACTTTGGTCCCTCGTCTGCGCAGGCTGTAAGAAAGGGTAGGTATTTTTCGGATTGAAACAAAACAAGATATAAGTAGGTGTATATTTGGTATAAAATTTTTACAGCACAAATATAACCAATAAAAAAAAGTCATTTATTTAACAAAACTAAAGCTCGAATTCCAGTTACATTCTAAGAATAAAATTGGTCAATGGATCGACAACAGATCGAAGTCTTCTTATTAAAAATTATTGATTGGTTTTTATTTGTGAATAAGCTTTCATAAAAACTTTTAAAAAGTACATATTTCTTCAATAATGGACGGATAAGTCAAACTCTTACCTAGGCACATACATATTGAGAGATGGCAAGAATGTCGTTGCTTTATTCATTTAACTACATAAATAAACTAGTAAAAGTGATGAAGAGCTAATTTAAATAATTCAGATCTTCATAATACGGTAAAGTCGAACATTGTAAACAACCACATTTCAACAATAGAAAAGTTACAAAAATATAATAATATTATGTAATACAAAAATTTAAAGCTTAATTAACTTAAAAATAATAAGCAATGTATTTGATACATAAAAATATGACTTATTCTTTAGTAGTTAGACGTGAAAATACTAAAAAGATACAATTAAAGTCCATTTACTACGATTATTTTCTTATTAACTACTATTTAAGTATAACATTACAACAAAAGCCTAGTATACATTACTAGAGAACTATTGGAAAGTCACAACAGTGGAATGTAGGTACATAATATATTTGTAAAAATGTATACTGCAAGTAGAGTAACATTTAGGAATTTGAAAAGTACATAATATATTTGTAAAAATGTATACTGCAAGTAGAGTAACATTTAGGAATTTGAAAAGTCCTGGCAAAAAGCCTGAATTGTCAATAAAAGTCCGGACTTTTTAGTAACAAAATGGAAACATTACTCAGTTACAGTATGTTAGGCAGGTAGCAGAAAACTGGACAAATTCAAGAGCCGGATGAAGGCCTAAAAGTCTCGTGATGTCCGGAATAATCTGGACGGATGCTAAGCCAAACTGCAAGCAACTTAATTGGAAACAACGGTAACATTTTCACTGAGAAAAAATAAATTTTCTAACTAAATTCTTTTAAATTCTCAGTGGACTCAATTATACGAGAGAAAGAGCCAAATCTAACATCATACAATTTCTATGTTTAAACAATGAAATTCCAATAGCACAGCTATAAAAATAATTGAGTTTATCGTACTAACAATAACATGACAGGCTACAACGCAATATCAAAATTTTGCAATCGATTTTAGACTTTGATTTCACTAATAAGGTTGAAAATCGATTGAACAATTTTGACATATTTGTGGTCTGGTCTGTGGCAGCTGCTTGGTGTATTGTATACAAAACGAACATGTTTCTAATATCCTAATATAAAGCTGCTTGTTGGTATGAAACATAATATAGTTTGAATTTGAACACGGTTTTAAGTTTATCACTAAAAATAAATTAAAATGAAGTCTATTATTATAAACACTGTTATGATTGACAAGAAATGTACATAACATAGTAAATATAATTAAAAATAATCTTAATTCAATTAATTATCTACTATAACAGTATCACTTGTGGAAGGCACTTAAGTAAGGGCCTATACTCTATAACGACAAAACGTGTTTGCAGTGACCACCAAGCCTGCAACCTTAGTTGCTCTGTGTGCATATTAAGTTGGGCTTAATGATGCAACAAATACTGGGAAACTATACAATCCCTGTTAATCCTATACTCAATATTGGTGTCGATTCTGGCGTGATTCTCTAAACTTAAAACTAAATTTAATATCAATTTCTCCTTTTCATTCCGTATAGAGAATGACAAGGATACACTGTTGTCAAATTTAAGTTTAGGTTTAGAGAATCGTTTCAGAATTGACACCATTGTAAATGCTTTGATTGTGTACCTTATTAATAAATATGTAAGTGTTCCACATATTTATTAGTAAGGTACACAATCAAACTATAACAGCCCACTGTTTTTAGTTGTAATATATGCCAGTAAAATGGGAGATTCTGAAGTCTACACAACATCCTAAATAACACATTTTGCTTGTAGCACATTGAAAATTCGCGTTCATGTTTTTTTTACAGTTACTACTACGTTATTTACGTCTTCAACTACAATGAGCAAAAGTACTAATTCCTTTTGATATGTTATTTTTTTAATTACCACATTTCCTTTCGGTGTAATGAGCAAATATCAATACTTATTAGGTCATGTAGGGGTCGCTTGTGGCTTGATAAGCAGGAGGGCCCGGTGCTTGTGGGGTCGCACGAGCACTATACGGGGGAGCGGGCGGCGGCGGCGCCTCCCACCCCCCCTCCGCGCCGTGATACCCCCCCATCGCACCGTACACTCCACCACCATAGGGAGATTCACACGGTGACACCGTCTCTACTTTACTATCATAGTTTGACATCGCGTCGTACCCGCGTCCCACGTTATCATATGACGGAATGTTCTGTTCATAATTTCTTGACGACTCGTAATTCCTGTTCGGCTCGTAATTCTTATTGGTCTCATAGTTCTTATTAGACTCGTAATTCCTATTCGGCTCATAGTTGCGATTGGACTCGTAATTCTTCTCAGTATCGTGGTTTCGATCGGGCTCATTGTATGGACCGGCGACATCGTAACCGGTATTCTTGTTTAAACGGCGTATAGTGTCGTATCTATTCGTAATTATGGGCACTGACTCAGTAGGAGGTGGAGGGTCGTATGCGTCTTGGGAACGCGATCCGCCGTCTCTCTCGAGAGCGTGGTATGATGAAGGGCGGGCTCCATGGAAATTGGAGTAAGAGGAATGTGCTGAAGTGGGTCGAGATGGTCTCGACTCTCTTGGAAGTGATGCGTTAGACGCCAAGTAACCGTTATTTCTGTATGACCGTCTATGTGATCTTCTTACTGATGACCCAGTACCACGAGAACCAGAACGACGTTTAACGCGACGAGGGGTCATTGGTTTAAGAGAACTTTCACTTACTGTTGTTTGGGTGGGGCTTAATTCAATTGTATAAACAGGGCGACGTGATAAAGTTCCTTTATCTAAAAACAAAGTTTAGTGTCATTTAATGTTTACTACAAAATAATTTCAATTATTTTCATAAGATGTACTTACCTGATGCTATTTTTCGTTTATAAAAGGACTTGTAAGCCAGCAATATAGCTAATGGCAATGCCAAGGTAGTAAGTAGGGCAGCTAATCCTGATTGTGCTAATTCCACATGATGCCACTCCATAAAGCAACCATCAACACGACTTGGTCTCCATGTCCCAGGTTTAGCTGCTTCCCCCCATACAGGTTGACATCCCCAACCATTCCACTCCCACCAGCTTACGCTGTCAGTACCCAAAGACAGCAATCCGCTTTCCTGATCAATAAGCAATAACGATTAATAAATTAATCAGATTCTTTTTACCATAACACAAAATATAAGTAACTGTAACTACGTACTCTGTTCAAAGATCCCAAATTCAAATAATAACATATTAAAAAGATATTCCATGTCAACCACATAAAACTCCAGATTGCATACTGTAAAAAAGATTGTATATATATATACATTATTCATATATTTATATTTAGGTAATCTAAGTTTTGATTGTACATACATATGTTTTGAAACTGAAAAAGAAAGTAATATTTTGATGACCTCCTTGGCCGAGTGGTTTGTACGCCGGGTTTCATGGAGTTGCCTACTCCAGAGGTCCTGGGTCCAAATCCCGGTCCGTGCAGATGTTTGTGTGATGAATACAAGCATTTGTACTCCAGTCATAGATGTTTAATATGTATTTCTATATAAATATACTTACTTATATATGTATTCTATCCGTTACCCTAGTATCCAATAACATAATCCATACAGTTCTTACTTTTGGGCTAGGCTAATTGGTGTGAGTTTTGGAAATATTTATTTATTTATTATTAATATGTCAAAAGTACTCAGAAATATCAAAGGACAATGGGCAAAACACACCCAGCTCCGCCAACAATGTAATTAGTATGAATTGATATATCTACGAAAAGCTAGCCTTTTTTATTATGACACCGAAAAAAAATATCCCGGTAGTCAAAAGATATGACACCCTAAATAAATATCCTGGTAGTCAAAAGATATGACACATGGGCATATTTAAGTAGCTAATTAAATTCATTTTATAGTACCTTCATTTTATATTATTAGTAACCATAATAATAAGACATATAAGCCATATACAACCAGATATACGACAAAGCCTGCCGACCATCCTGCGCTTGAACTTACTGAGACACCTCAAAACAATTTACGGGGGTTGAAGCACTTGCAGTTGCAAATAGTCGACACGTCTTACTTCGTTGTGATTGTGCGCTCCCTGTCACTTGATTGATTTTTATATAACACGCTTTGGACATTGGAACACGATTATCGGTTTTGTGAATTAGTATGGATGAACTGGAATCATGTTTTCTCTGAAGCGTGGACAATTTTGTGTGATTTATGGGCGCTTCGTTTAACATAGAAGACAATTTACTATATCAAAAAGAATGTTTGAAAAAACCCCAACCCATGCGGGGATTTTTCGATTTAATCTAGCGTGGCAGAATAACATAAGGGGGCACCCTTGCACCTTGTGAAGTACACCCATAATACCAGAGCCCCCTATGTAGAGTCGAACTATGTAACTAAATTAATTCCCTTTATTTCATTATGTTCCTTCATTATAGTACTTGTACCTATTTAACTTAAAATAACTAAAGACCCCCGGGATGGAATTTCATGCGCTTTGGCACAGATATACATGACTATAATACCTTTCAAATAAATGTAGTTTAAGCCATGGCGGATGTGGGTGCAACGTCCATACATTTTTGCCCATTGTCCTTTATTATAATAAAGATATAAATAAAGATTTTGGTTTGAATAAAGTACCATTTGTACTTTTTTATTGCCTTTTCTGGTTACTTTAGGTACAGTCCTTTTATTATCTTCGGATTATTTTAAGTACAGTATCTAAAATAGTAAGAAGATAATAAAAGTACTATATTTAAAATAGTCAGAAGAGGCAATAAAAAAGTACAAATGGTACTTTTTGAAAACCACAATCTTTATTTATGCATATATTATAATAAATTTGATATTTTTTTGTCAACATGTTTGCAACTGTTGTAGAGTCAAAGAAAATTTGAATATTCCTGTCAGGCACTGAAATGGCTATTATCAATAAGTAAGGTCAGACTTAAAAAAAAGGTGTGCTATGTAATAAAGTACAACTTCTCTTTGTACTTGCTTTGAGGGGCAAAACCTGTGGACTTATGCAAACACACCCTGTAGACTAGTCTTGATTTGTGGTCATTTGACCACAAACTGTGAAAGTATACAATAACTTTAATGTCTTAAATCTAAAATTGACATATTTTTTAAAGCCCTTATGAGCTCTCCTCACCATCTCCAACCTCACCACACTGCTTCAAGTATTTGACAACATTGACCCACATTTGGGTTTATTATACACAAATACTTACTGCCAAGAGGTAATTGGTTATGTATTGTACAGCTCCGAAGGAACCGAATATAATCAGTAAAATATTGACAAAATTTGCTATTATTGGCAACCACATATACCCCAAAAAGTCGAAAACTTGTCTTTGTATAGTAACAATCTGTGAACAAATTAGAAGCAGATTAGAGATTATGTTATAAAGGAATAAACAGAAATTAATAAAGTTCACATTCATAACATTGCAAAGTACCAATTCCAGGATGCAAACGATCAACAACAGTGTCCTCAGACCACATACAGCCATTGTTGCAAAACAGCACGTTATTCTGGAATACGTAGATTTCTCTCGTTTTCGATCCTCAAAAATAAAGTCATTTTCATAAATGTTATGTTGCAAATCATGAAAATAATAATTTTAACTAGCAAAACATGATTCAAATCGCAACTCGATCTGTGTACAGTACAGGTACAGACAGAGTACAGCAGTGTTGCCAACTCGGATTTTGAAAAAGGCGTAGGCCCGATGACAAAATTACGTAGAATTAGTAAAATTTGCATATGAAAAGTTCGTAGATCTACGTATTTTTCTCTTAGAGAAGTTCGTTATATTTTGTTATACAATTTATTTAAAAAAAGGAGATAGAACATAGAATTCTTGGAGAAGACGCTACATTGGCAGCATTTACCATGCTGTGGTAGACATTTACCATCAGACACAGACGCGGCTAGGTGTCAATTTTGGCATAATTCTCTAAACTTAGCACTAAATTGAACATCAGTCTCTCCTTTTCATTCTGTATAAAGAATGACAAGAATGCACTGTTATCAAATAGGGTAGTTGACACTTTGAAATTATGTTTTAAATGGTTAATAATTGTTATATTAGACCGAAAAAAATGTATTGTAGTAATTATCATGATTAGCGAGAATGTAGAATCACAACGTTAAAGACTCCAGAAAAGTTGTGGTTTAAATTGCCCAGAGAAATAAACATATCTACACATGAACACATGTTTAAAACTTGCTAAATCCTGTAACTTTATCGACTGAAAGTCATTTCTTTTTGCAAAGATCACTTCGGTGTAATGCAATAATATTTTTAGTTTTTTTTTTTTTAATTTTATTTACTAAGTAAGAGAGCTTTGTCGTTTCTGCTTTTACAAATTTGGCGTCCAGCATTAATTTAGTCAACAAAACCAAAAAATATGGGTGCGTGTACTTAAGTACGCGCGTGAGAAGTTATACTTCTTTTTGGAATTATTAAAAAATAGTTTTTAATTGCATGCAGATAATTAATTACAATAAGATAATAAAAGGATTGGAAAAGGATAGTCAACGCAGTCAATAAAGATCAGTTTTAATTTGAAAAATTTTATAAATAATCAAAATATTCAATTTAAATCACTACTGAATTTAAGTTATTAGTCCATATGTAATTAGCACTTGTAAAGTAACTAAAACACGTTGTGTCTATATAGAAACTAAAAACATGTGGATAAATATTATAAATATGAAAACAGTGATCAGAGGCGACGAGCGTGCCAACATTGTTTTTGACAACGCGATCATCTTATGGAACTCCGTGGATCGTTCAAAGTACCTTTCGAACAGATGTCTAATAATGGTGGATTATTAACCACTAAGTGGTTACAATTTAATTTAATTTAATTTACACTAACATTCATAACGTGCCCGCGGCCAACTTCATGGTGTTACTATTGTGTTACAGTGATGCGCGCGCATCTCGAAATTTCACTCACATGATTTTTTCATAACGCGCCCGCGGCTAACTTCATTATGTTACTTTTGTGTTACAGTGATGCGCGCGCATCTTAAAATTTCACTCTCATATTTTTTTCATAACGCGGCTAAAGAAGTATAACTTCAATAAACGGAAACTCTTCTACAAGATATAAGAGTCTTTAGATATATTTTAATCCGACGAAAGAAACCATAGTAACACAACAACGACGTTTAGTTGTTTACAAATTTTGTGCCGTCGCAATCATGGCGGACAGCGTTTTCAGTGTTTAAAAAGTACAGACTAAATTTTTTTTTTAAATTAGATTACTACAGCCATCTTCTGATTTTATGAAGTGAAATCGATGTATTTAAGTTCCTCGTACCAAAAACTATAAGAAATAAACATTTGTATATAGTTTATAAGTAACGGAAAATATGCTTCCGTATTCTAGTTATATAGTTATGTTATTTTGCAAATTTGTACAAATTAAAGAAAATACGTAGATTTTGAGACTGAAGTTAGTAGGTTTGCAAAAAAGGCCTAAAATACGTAGATCTACGTAAAAAGATGTAGAGTTGGCAACACTGGAGTACAGAGAACCAAGTACGAATTTTGACAGCTCCGTTATCGAGTTGTCATTGCCAAAATATGGAAGGAGCCAGTTTGTTCCTACGTCCGGTAGGGGCGCTGTTTCATGTTCTTTTAATCAATCGATGCGATAGTGTTCGGCCACAGAGCAGGCTGGTTCAGACTCAGAAAACAAGCGCGAGAAATAAACAGTGTAGTTTCAGCAGGATGCCGTATGTCTTGCACTTTTGCTGGGGTTTTCCGTGCCCTTTTTCGAGGAGCGGGAGATACATTTTTACTGGTAGGAGTACCCGTTCTACTTAACTTAGGAATATTTCCTCTAGACAAGGTAGTTGTACCGGGATTACTGATACTAGGACGGCCTCTTTTTCTTGAGATGCTTTTGCCAGCCTTGCAATAACGTTCAGAAATAGCGAGCTTGAAGTCAAATAGTATTAAGTTTTATATTTGATGGGCAATTAACATAAACAAAGTTGGAAATATAATTAAATATAATAGTTTTATTTGATATTTACATAAAAGACACACAAGACCTAAATATATTTTTACAAGACAGCTGACAATGTCAACTACTCTCTTTTATAGTCTTAGAGATCTATGAAGAGTGTAAAGACTCTTTATTACTCGTGGTATAATAAAGGCTGTCCTCTTAACACCCCCAGGACTTTTAGGGACTGATACAGTTCAAACCTTGGAGTCCAATTCTTTTACTTAGATCTCGAAGTCTTGGTCCAAAGAGAGGTTTTGTGATCATATCGGCGAGTTGCTTTTCCGAGGAAACTTGTTTCACAGATAGTTCACCCTTGGTGACACATTCTCTTATGAAAAAATGCTTGAGCTTTATATGTTTTGTTCTTTTATGATATTCGCAGGGAGGATTTTCTGATAATTTTATCGCAGATTCATTATCTACATATATGACTGGCTTTTTGACTTCTGTCAGTTCTTCTAAGAGTCCTTGTAGCCATATAGTTTCCCGGGCAGTTTCGGAGAGCGCTATAAGCTCAGCTTCTGTAGAAGATATGGCTACAGAAGATTGTTTCTGACTCTTCCAGAAAATTGGTCCAGAAAACAAGAACACCATGCCTGTAGTAGAGTGTCCAGTAACAGAGTCTCCACCGTGATCTGCATCGCTGTAGCAGATTAGCTTTCTGACTTTTTCATTTCTAAAGATTAGTCCGGTGTCCATAGTTCCCTTCAAATATCTTAGAATTCTTTTTACTTTTAAAATATCCATCTGCGTTGGATTTTCAAGATGTCTTGAAGCCATACTCACTGCATAGTTGATGTCAGGTCTTGTGGCGACCATTAGATATGCCAGCGCACCTACCGCTTGGCGATAAGGAAAGTTTATGTTGGTTCCTTTGTCATCATCCTCCTTCAAGGTTTTTACAGCAGGAGATGGAACGCTTTTGCAGTCAATCATGCCAAACCTTTCTAATATTTTCTTGGTGTAAGACCTTTGGTGTACAGTTGTATCACCATCTTTAGATTTACCAATTTCGAGACCAAGAAAATAGCTGGCTGGTTTTCTTGTGATTTTGAACCGCTGCTTTAATTCCTTTATGAAATTAACGCCTGTTGCTTCACTACTTGACGCTACTAATCCATCGTCAAAGTAGAGTGCAATTAGTACTTGGTTTCGTATATAAAGGCAAGGGTCATTAGTGCATTGTTTAAATCCAGATTCCACCAGATACTGCGATATACAGGTGTTCCAGCACAAAGGCGCTTGTTTTAGGCCATAAAGACTTCTTTTCAGCTTGCATACTCTCTCTGTGCCATCATTGAAGCCTCAGGTTGGTTCATGTAGATTTCCTCTTTGACTGTTCCATTGAGAAAAGCTGTAGACACGTCAAATTGCTGTAATTTTAAATTTTGTTGTGCAGCAATCCCCAAAAGTGCTCTAATTGTGCTCATCCGGACTACTGGACTAAAAGTCTTTTCGTAGTCAATGCCAGGTTTTTGTGAAAATCCTTTGACAACTAGTCTCGCCTTATATCGTTCGATTGTACCATCTGGGCATCTTTTTATTTTATAAACCCATTTGCAGGGTAGTGCTTTTCTATTCTTAGGTGAGTCGATGAGATCCCAAGTATTCATTTCATTTAGCGAGTTCATTTCACTCTGCATGGCTTGTTTCCAACTGCTATATTCTTTGCTTTTCATAGCGTCTCTGAATGTCTGAGGTTCTTCCATAGCATCCTCATTTATAGCAGTTAAAACATAGTCCTCAAATCTTTTTAGTGGGACAATACGCGACCTGTCACGAAGATTTCTTCCATCCGATTCAACGTTAGTCGCCTCATTTAAAGAATTATTTCGTATATCTTCTATATTCTCATTTGTTTGAGTTTCCATTTGTGACTCTGTGTATTCATCATTTTCAATTTCTTCAGGACAGAGTATACCGGAACTATCAATCGTCTCATTTTGGACAGGTTGTTCTTCATCATTAGTATTTCTAGGTTCGCTGTAAATTTTTACTTCTTCCCATCAATTTCGGGGAAATGATTACTTCTGCAAGATCCTTTATCATCGTCATAGAACATTTTTCTTAAAACCCGTACATCTCTGGAAATTAAAATTCTTCTTTTGGATGGTACATAAATTCTAAAAGCTTTGGATACTTCTGAATATCCCACGAACATTCCAGGGATGGCTTTTGAAGCAAATTTTTGACGACCTTTTTCTTTTATTAAAATGAAGCTTTTTTCACCAAATATATGTAAATGGTTTATGCAGGGTTTTCTTCCTACTCACAATTCAAATGATGCTACTTGTCCAATACTTTGATTAACGCTCCTGTTTGATAAGTAATTGGCTGTGTGAACAGCTTCTGCCCACAGATGTAATGGTGCTTTCGACTCTAACATCATACATCTTGCCTTTTCAATCAAGGTTCTATTTTTTCTTTCGGCAATGCCGTTTTGATGAGGGGTGTATGGTGCTGTCAATCTTCTTGATATACCATTCTCTTTCAGGAATATGTTAAAGTCTCGGTTACAATATTCTGTGCCATTGTCATTTTGTAGGAATTTTATTCTATTTCCAGTAAAGTTTTCAACAATTTTCTTATATTCCTTAAACTTTTCAAGTACTTCATTTTTGTGTTGTATAAAATATATATAACAGTATCTTGAAAAATCATCAATGAATGTAACCATGTATTTATTTCCATTTAATGAAGCTGTTTGCATGGGTCCACATATATCGCTGTGTACAATTTCGAGTCGCTGATTGGTACGGGTAATTGTGCTAGACTTGCTAGGTATTCTACTTATTTTTCCTTGAATACAAATTTCACAATCGACCAATTTGTTTTTATCGTCAAAATTCAACCCAATCAGTAAATTATTACTCAAAGCATGCTTCATGTTCTTCTCTGACATATGTCCTAATTTTCTATGCCATAATTGTATATCATCAGATTTGTTTTCTTTTGTCTGAGTAACATTAGCTTTTTCCCGACGATCAGTATTATTATTTTTGGTACGTAGATAATATAAGCCATCGTTAGATCTTTTAACGTTTATTTCAACATTGCACTTTTTATTCTTTATGATTGCTCGTTCTTTAGTAAATGTTACAGTATTTCCAGCGTCAGTTAGCTTTCCGACTGATAGAAGGTTAGTACATAGACTTGGTACATAAAGAGCATTTGCTATGCCTATTAGTCCTTGCTTAGTCTCTATTTGGGCCGGACCTGATCCTTTGATTTCAGCCGTGTGCTCTTTTGACGCTAATTTTAATGTTTGGTTCACATTTCTCATATTTGTAAATGGTTTATCTGAAAATGTCATGTGAGACGTGCATCCGCTATCCAATATCCAACCGTTTTTCATTTCTTGTTGATAAAAAGAAAAACATGTAAAGTTATTCTTTTCCTTTTGATTTAAACTATTTTGTCTATAGTTTGAATTTTTCTTGTTCTTTTTGTTTTTATTTTTATTTTTATTTTTATTTTTATTTTTATACCAACATTTTTCTTGTTCATGTCCCTTTTTCTTACATATTTTTCAGAATGCATAAAATGTTTCTTCGACATTACTTGAACTTGTATTAGGTTGGATGTTTCTATTGCGAGCATCACTTTCTTCAATTATTTTAATTTTTAACTTTTCTGGACTTATTAGTGAGTCTTGCGATTCTATTGCAATTCTAAAATTCTCATACTCGTTTGAAAGGCTATATAGCATCGTTATGGACAATAAGTCACTATTGATTTCTATATCTAAGTCTTTTAGTTTGTCTACCGTATCCATGAAGTCCTTCAAGTGTTCACGAACATCTGCATCAATGCCTAGTCTAGTCAATATCAATTTCTTTAATAGAGTTCTTTTCTGGCAGGCCCTTGACTGGCATATACCTTTTTGAGTTTTTCCCAAACGTCTTTTGCGTGGAGACAGTTCTTTACTTCTTTTAATTTAGTTGATGAGATCAGTAACAGTAACTCGGCTTTCGCAAGTTCATCATTTTCTTTTTCAGTATCTGAATTCTCATCAGGATACTTCGTTACATATTTCCATAATTTGTTTTTTATTAAATATGCTTTTGCATGAATTACCCATGTGTCATAATTTTCTTTTCCAAGTGGAAACATTTTTATGATCGACATTTTCTTTCCTGTAAACGCGGTAGCAGTGCGTTTTCATTATTAATTTGCAGTTTCTGAGAACATTTACCATAGTAGTGTATATTTTTTTTATACCATCAGAAAGAAGAGATTTCAACAATCAAAAAACACCCCAACTTTTTTAAAAAAGCAGATATTTTGACGTGAGAATTTTCGATTGAAAATAAGGGTGCTTTTTCGATATTAAGTCAAAATAAGGTGAAAAAATGAATATTTTAAATCAAAAAAATTACTGTATATTTGGGACATACAAAGGTAAGTTTTCACTAAATTTCGTGAAAAAATATTTTTTTTTGCAAAAAATAAAAATCAAAAACCAAAAACTCGGTTATTCGCATTTTTCACATAAATTTTGAGGTTATGTGAAAAAAGTGTCGAGATAAAAGTTGTAGATCTTTTTATTACCTACAACTTTGCTATTTACTTTTTTTCATAGGACTTGCAGTTTTTCCGGAAATCGAGATTAACCATTTTTTAACCTTAAAAACTCACCCCCTCCCCCTTCCCGACCTCAGATCGCCCGTAATTTATATTTCCTTTCATTTTTGTTATATTCTCTACCTTTTCTAATGGGTTTCATCCTACTATAATTTTTTTTGGTCTCAAAAGTTATCGACCCTGGTCTATATTAAGTTTTATATTTGATGGGCAATTAACATAAACAAAGTTGGAAATATAATTAAATATTACTATAGTTTTATTTGATATTTACATAAAAGACACACAAGACCTAAATATATTTTTACAAGACAGCTGACAATGTCAACTACTCTCTTTTATAGTCATAGAGATCTATGAAGAGTGTAAAGACTCTTTATTACTCGTGGTATAATAAAGGCTGTCCTCTTAACAAATAGTGACATGTATAGGTCAGTCTTGCGTCGCCACAGTAACCAAGCATTAACTGCACATATATCAACCAAGTGGACTGTTCCGGATAAATATTATCAAATCTTCTGTGAAAAAAAAATTATAAATTCGGCAGGTGATTCTAGTTCCTGAGTAAACTCCAATAATTCCAGGATACCACTAAAATTAAAATTGTATTCATCATACGCTGGCCTTCGGATCAGATTTTTACTGCTCGCTTCTGTTTGAAAGTTTTAGGTCTAGGATCAACTATTTCGTCATTGGAAGTATCGGTATCGGATGGTGGAATAATTATAAGTTCTTAAATGTTTGATTGCGTAAGCGCGTAAGCGGAACATCGTCATCGGAATCAGATAATGAATCATCGTTACTAAGAGAGCCATCACCAGGAATAGGTTTAATGCAGTTAGCAGTGCCATAAAAGCGTGATGGAAGCATTCTGGAAAGCTAGAAAAAAAGAACTCTGAATGCATGCGAAGCCATTTTAGGCGCAAGCATACTTCATCGTAAATGCATACGAAGCCAAAATTGGCTCCCGTAGAAAATAGTGTAAATGAAGTATAAGGAACAAATATTTCAAATAAACTGTGATAGGGGTCAAAAACAGAGGTTTTGCAGAATATTATTTACATTTTTTAACATCAATTTTCTTACCTTTTATATTTAATTAAAGCTGTACTAAATTTCACAAAGAACGACTTCGCGTACGTACCGGAGAAAAGTGAGCTTAATGACATACAACGTTGGCCCTAGATAATAAAAATTAGGTTTCGTTTCAGTTTGAATTTCTTAATATTACTATAGTAAAATTTTATAAATTTTGTTTAAAATTAGGGTAGAAATAAATTATTAAAGTTGAGCAGCCTAAAATGTAGAGGTGTAAAAGTAACGAAAAAAAGCGTACCCGTATGTATTCGTTACTTTAACAATTAGTACCCGTTACTATAGTATCTTTACGTTACTCGTTACTTCTCATAAAAAAATCGGTTTTACTATTTTGAAATTTTTAACCGTGAGCTTATGTTATATCACAATAACATCGCAATCCATTATTCATCAATTATAATGATAAAGCAACAAATAGGTGTCGAAAATTATTGTATTGATAATAATACTTAAATAGCATTCTAACGATAAATCAACATAAAAATAGTTTTGTTTAGAATGAAATTAAACATAACGAAAGAAAGAACTACAGCAAAAATCGTTTGTTCTCAAAATAAAATTATAAAAAAAATTAAAATATTTTAAACGAAATCTATCAAGTTTAGCGGTGGCTCGTTCTCAAATTTTCTGACGACGAAACGCAACCGTTTTCTCTTAAACGAAAACTAGTCCTCGAAACGGTTCTCGTTCGTAACTGGTTATGGTTGCGGCCGGGTGACGCAACGAAACGACACGCGACGGTCGAACGAATGTAACGCAACGAAATTGAACTAAATGAAATCTTGTTGACGTTCGTTTCGTTGCTGCGAACGAGACGACGAAACATCGAAATAAATGTAGTATTATACGATAATCGACTTTAAATGTTCAATAATAAAGATTATATTATTGTAAAAATCAAAGCTGAATTATCATAGAACGAAACGGCCTCATATCATTGCGTTCTATTATAGACTGTATTTACTGCATTTTACAGTACATATTGGCGTGCAGACAATCCGAGAACTAGTTGTTCGACGAAGACTGTTTTGATCCGAAACGTAAAACGGTTCTATCGTCGCGGAACACAAAACGGTCCTTGAAACCGGTTCGTCTTTAGAACGCTGACACCTAATCAAGTTGGCTTTTTCGATAAGCTTCTGTGAGGTAGTCAACACGACAATAAATTTCTCACGTCTATTTGACCGGAATAGCGTACATTTTAACGATTCCACTAATTCTTTAGTTACACAGACGGTTGTAACACAAAATCACACCAATTTTATTTCACAATATCCACTATGAACGAATTTAAGAATAATTAAAATAAGACGCTAACTGCACTCGATGAAATCCCGCCAAAAACTCCAACGTACGTTTTTAAATTCTCCGAATATGCTCGCGCATGCTTAAAACATACGATCAGCAAATGTTTCTATACACACATCAATTATAAGGCAGGCTTGTTGAAAATATTCGATTTTCGATATATCGATATTTTTTGCCGATATATTTTGATTCGATATATCGATACATCGATACAAATAACGAATATCGAAATTCGTATCAAAAACGATATTTTTTTAATTATTAGCGGCATATCATGGCCATGCACCACTATTTAAGCGGATCACTTTTGAGCCGCGAGTGCCTTATATTGGAGGTATTATTTTGGGGAATAAAAAAACAGTTTGGGGGAAAACATAAAATTTGATCTGGCAACCCACCCTGGTTGATTCGTTCCACTAAATAGTCTGTGATTCGTTCAATCAATTTCGTTCGAGCTGATTTGGGTTTGTGAAAAATTTGGAAAAAAAAATTAGGAAGGGGGGCATCTCAACTTTAATTTACGTACACAATTTGCGGTGAAGAAAAAAAACACAAACCTGGTAAATTTAACAATCAATGTAAATCTCAATTTGTTGTTTCCATCAATCTTTGAGCCGGTAACCTTTCATTTCAGCTAAAATGGCGTCCGAGACATTAATTCCACTTGAATCTAATCCCGAAGTAATGAATAAATTTCTTCAGAAGTTGGGTGTTCCAAATGCCTGGAGTGTAGTAGATGTAATGGGCTTAGATCCTGAAATGCTTTCTTGGGTACCTCGTCCTGTTGTTTCGGTTTTGTTACTTTTTCCTACATCTGATGCTTATGAAGTACATAAACAAAAGGAAGAAAGTGAAATATTATCTAAAGGTCAAGAAGTTGATAAAGATATTTTTTATATGAAGCAAAATATCAGCAATGCTTGTGGAACTGTTGCTCTTGTGCACAGTGTTGCTAATAACACTGATAAAATTAATTTAGAAGAGGGTTACCTGAAGAAATTTTTAGATGAAGCTAAAAGTCTCGATGCTGCCTCACGTGGTACATTGTTAGAGCAGTCGCAAGGTATAATTGATGCCCACAAAGAACTAGCACGAGAAGGTCAAACAAATACACCAAGTGCTGAAGAACCTGTTAATTATCATTTTATATCTTTTATACATAAAAACGGAGTTTTATATGAATTAGATGGCCGCAAAGCTTTTCCAATAAATCATGGACCTAGTTCTCCAGACACCCTGCTGGAGGATGCTGCTAAAATTTGTAAGGAATTCATGGCTCGTGATCCTGATGAAGTTCGTTTTACTGTTATTGCATTGACTGCTTCAGATTAGGAATATGTAATGCAATAATTTATAACAATATAGCAGTTATAATATTATTATGAGCTTGGCTAGAATATGAAGAATAAATAATGCATTGCTTTATATGTGCAAGGCTAACCAAATTCTCTTATTAATAAAAATTGTGATTCTTAAGCAAAGTCAAGCTTCGCAAAGCAAGCAATTGTGATACTTAAACATTTATTTTCTTATTAAATAAATTATTAATTAATTCTTTTTATTTATTTTCAATTGAATAATGTTTTATATTATCTTTGAGATGACATTTACCATGCTTATTGATACAATTTTGGTACTAATACAACATAAAGGCTGCATCATAGTAAGTGGCCACCCACCAAAAAACTCACAGGTGCACTTGCAATACTAGAGCAGCACTTCAGCCTACTGTTCCAAAGGTCCTGGGTTCAAATCCCGATAGATATTTAGGTAACATTTGTGTGCTGCCATTTGCCATTGTGAGCATGCCATAGTGCAAACTGCCTTGTTTGGGACTGAATGTTTACATTGTCTGAATAACAACCTGCCTGCCTTCGTCATTAACACTTCGCTCAGCATCTATGTTATCATCTGGAAGTAAACAAGGCTTTATTATATGCCACTGCAAAAGATACTGTATTGATAAAAAGTGCAAGTGTCGCTCCAAGAATATAAAATGCAACTCAAAATGCCACAGTAATAGTTCCTATAAAAATATATAGCAATCAAATACTTATTTTTCACAATTATAGTAATTTCTAATATAAATAATTGATTTAAGTATATTGTTGTTGTTTATTGGTGATCAATAAACATTCATGTTTGTGTTAAATATTTTTATTAATTAAAAGAACTTGAAATTGTCATAAATAAATTAAAATCCCTCGTTATTTTAAGTGAATTATAAGTAATTTACAAATTATTAATATTTTGTGTTCAGTAATTTATTACTTAATACGTTGATTTTTTTAAATATAAAGTAATCTCAATAAATAACAAATTTCGTTTTATTTTAATTTATATAATTATATATATTTAATAATGACAAACACGTTATGCATTGATTTTATAAAATAAAAAATATTTCCTAAAGACATTTAACAAAACGTTTCCAGCCTAGGCCTAGTAGGATCTATATCGGAAAGTAGTGTGCTTCGTAATCAAATAATATTCCATACGCGTCATGGCTTTTCTTTAGGCATGCGTCCGATATATCAAAACGAATCCAAAATCCGATTTCAAACACAAATCGATACCGAACGATTTCTCAACAAGAAAATCCGATTTCAGAAATCTAACCGAACCAAAACGCTAGCGATCTAATACCACAAGTATCCAAATGTAAATCGGATTCGAAATTCATGCTTTCGTTTTCAGAAGTCAGATTTCGTGCTCGGAAGTCCGATTTCGATTTGCTGTTTACGGAAATCTATTGCTCTTCTCTGAGGCGGGATTATTTATCACTGAAAAGATATGTCGTCTAAAAACATCAAAAGTCGAGCATCTTACATTTTTGGACGCTAACCTGAAGTAATTAGGTTTGATTTTGTAAATGGTTTGAAAAATAATAAAAACAAACAGAAAAACAAAAAAAAATACTAAAAAAATATGTAAAAAGAAATCATTGTATAAAAGCCGATTTTTAAATGCGCCGTAAAAGTTTTACTCTTAACCCTAAACATAACTTTTCTGCTAGTCCTAAGCCTAGATTTAAAGCATGAAGGAAAATCGCGAAAATCTACGAGTATCCTTGCTTCCTACAATTAATTGTTTGTGATTGTCGTTAGCTAATAAAACCAAATCATAACCACAAACTAGTGAATTGGCTAAGTTCGGCACATCTGAAATCGGATATCTAAAAACGGATTTTAAAATCGATTTTGAAATCTGAAATCCGATAAATATCCGTTTGCGTTCAAAACCAAAAACGCCCATGTCTACTTTTCTTCATTGCCACAACGCGTTGAGATCGAATAGCATGTCAGCCCCGACGCGAATTTCGCTATTTCGTCTTTCTGTGATTGCCACAACGCGTCGTGCGCGTTTTCATTAGAGCCATAACACGAATTTCGCCATGTGGATGTTTTACTGTGACCACAACGCGTTGTGCGTTGTGAGCTATTTTTCCGCTCACTGAGCGTTTTCGATCTTTGAGTTCTGTGAGCGTAACAACTGCATTATCAAATCTGTCAAAACCAGTGTTTCCACTTTAATGATTTCCTTTTTCCACACCTCAATTCAGATTTCCCCTTCTTAGGACATTTTTCCCCTCAAAAATTATTCTGCTGTAGTTTTAAGATTTGGCACTAGTGTTAGCAACTAAAGAAAAAAAGGTCTTAAACTATAACAGATAAATAAAATCTGCACGTGCTGCCACAGTTTCTTTTATACGGCAACACTATGGTCCACGGTATAGTCCATAAAAAAATTATTCCGTGCCACATTATTTTAGGCTAGGCTTTAAGCCCGTCACAGACGTAGCTATAATATATATTAATATATCGAAATATATACTATATGATAGCTAACTACCACAGACGGGAGCTATACTATAATATATATTTTGCCCTCACTCGGTCTGCGGTCGTTTTTGCAAGCGCACGGTTTTAAAGCTTATTTTCTAGCACAGGGTGTTTTAATTTTGAAATAACGTTATAATCGATCTTACCGAAATGAATTCGACAAGAGCACTACTTTTAGATTTAATTGAAAGTTCCTCAGAGGATGATTCCGATGCTGAATTTGATATGCATGTTGCCTTGTCAGGAACGAAAAATAGAAGTTGAATATTCCGTATTATACTAATATGCCAAAATATATCCCGTCACAGACGTAGCTATATATATTTATATATCGAGATATTATATTATACAAACTAGGATGGTTGACCCTATAGTTGACCACGCACCGGTTGTTGACCACTTGCGGCTTTGAGTGTTAATATTAAGCTTTCCCGCGATTAAGCGTTTCATTTCATGTTGGCTACATCTTGTTGGTACTAATACAAATCAACCAATCACATTACGACTAGAAAGAGACAACCAGTGAAAGCTACAATTTAATTTTGTTTTGACTTGTCGCTGACAGTTGCCATTCAGCCGCCATTGTAGTAAGGATAATGTTTAGAAAGGTAAGAACACTTTTAATTTATTTTGTATTGTTTTTTAATGAACTTGTTCGGATGATTGTTTTTTGTAATCATTTTATGTTTATTATAAAGATTTCCAATGAATTTCAAATGCAAACGATATATTTCATGAGTTATTTTACTGGTTAACAAAAGGTACATGATTTGATTAGGTGCTCCGGTGATTGACCAATTGGTCAACGATTAGTACACTGAAGTGGTACTCTTTTTTTTACTTTTTTTATCAGTTTCATGTCCAGAATATGAGATGTAAATCGACTATCAATTTTAAAGCAGTAAATTGCTTACGTTTCCATTAGTTGACCAGTGGTTTGACATTGGTACTGCATACAAATCCTATAATTGACCAAACTCTTAATATGAGTTTTGTTTTCTTGTTTTAGATACAATATGCCACCAAAAAAGAAATTAAAATTAATAATAATGCTTGCAACTTGTCAGATCCTCAATCAACAGCAGATATACATAATAAACGGGACTTTAGTTCTGAAAAAGAATGCACAATGCCTGCAGAATTACCACTAAAAAAAGGTGGTAATAAAAGGTTCAATAGAAAGCGATTGCCAGATGTAGTAACATCAGTAGAGTGGATGCAATACTGGAATGAAAAAAATAAGGAACAAGAAGAAAAGAAAATAGGAAATTACCAAGAGAAGAAAAAAAGAAGTTTCAAGAGTTGAAAAAAGTTGAGAAACCTAAAACAAAACGAGTAAAAAAGAGAGTTTAGAATAGAATTGATTCTGATCCCGATGAGGATAATTTACCTTTGATCAATTTAATTACAGTAATAAAGATAGATCAGACGAGGAAATATGATCATATGTTATAGTAAACTACGAGGGGAGTATTTTCCCGGGATTGTCAAAAATATTGACCAAAAGAGTAAAGAAGTTAGTACGATGGTGATATCAACTTCTAATACTTTTAAATGGCCAGATAAAGAAGATAAAATTTGGTATGCTAATGACAGCATAGTGGAGAAAATTAATGCTCCTGTGTCAATTAATAATAGAGGTTCATATAAAGTACCAGAAATGGCCAAGTATCTTTTTTGGATCTGATTCCTTTTTTAATTTTGCAGTTTTTAATTTTGAATCATTACGTGAATTTAATTATGAAATTAATTTTAATTATTAAAAAAAATATTTAAGCTTGATATTAACAAAGAATTACTTCAAAAAGTTCAAAGTTTAAGTGAAGTTATGATTCGTTATTTTATGGTGATTTGAAAATTTGCCATTTAGATTTAATTAGAAATTAGTATTACTATTGTGATTGTTGAGACTGACCTTAATTTAATTTACTTATTGATCTCAATTAGTTCTAAGACCAAACCATAAAGTTGATTATAAAATACGTCTGCTTTTAATTGTGAATGTAGTTATTATTTCACTTTTTTATAAATGGTCAACCTCTGGTACAAATCTTCATAACAACTGGGGCCGGCTGGTCAAATTAGGGTACATCCCAGTTTTATACCGATTATCTTGAATAATAAAATAAACAAAAAGAAATCAAATATTTTCCTTCTTAAATACAACTTATAACTAGGTAACTTACAATATAAAAAATAAATTACCAATAAATATCGCTGTTAGGCTATATAGCAACATTTTAAAGTTAATAATTTCCTTTAATTGGTTTGAGACCGGGACATCCACCCTACCACAGACGGGAGCTGTACTATCTATACTTCTATACTAATATTAAAAAGCTGCAGAGTTTGTTTGTTTGTTTGAACGCGCTAATCTCTGGAACTACTGGTCCGATTTGAATGATTCTTTCAGTGTTGGGTATTCCATTTATCGAGGAAGGCTATAGGCTATATTTTTTTCTTTCAAAATTAGGGATCCGTAATAAAATAGCTATTTTGTAACACAAGGTGTAAAATCGAAAACCTATTTTTGCGTGCGCTGCAAAAACTATTGACAATAGAACTGATGTACTACGGGTTTGTAGATCCCATTAAGACCTACAAAAAAGTCTGCGAGAACATATATCTAGCTATCATGGTTTAATCACAATAACCGATTTTGTGTTCAAAATAATTATTACATCGTCTGAAGAAAAAAAACTACGTTAAATATGTATCGTAATATTAATATTTATCGAAATTAAGCATTATGTTATCAAGAGTATTTATGTAGAAGTATAATACTTTTTGTTTCATCTCAATTGGATATTTCGTTTAAAAGTTATCACGTGTGTAAGATGTTAAGAGTTGGTACCTATTAATGAGTTATGGGCCATAGAGTTTTTTATTAACATAAAATCCTGTAATAATCTTTTTCGAAATATATTTGTTGATGATTGTAAGTATAAGATCTTTGAAGAGTATAATAAACACATTTCTAAAAAAACTCTGCTAAGGAAATCCACGCGCGCTTGCTTGCATATTTTATCTCAGTATTTCCACGGAAACGAGAAAAACGCGGGTGAAACCGCGGGGCACGGCTATAATATATATTTTGGCAGGCGTTCGGTGAAAAATGAAACATATCGTATCATAAAAATATATCAAAATATATATTAATATACCAAAATATACACTAATATGCCAAAATATATCTGTCGACATATTTTGGTGACGTCATAGAAATATATATTATAGCTGCGTGTGCGGTCACTCGAAAATTTATATTGAAAATATGTTGTAATATGTCTTGCTATACTTAACTTAACGTCTTAAAGCCCGTCACAGACGTAGCTATAATATATATTAATATGAATCATAGCAAGACATATTACAACATATTTTCAATATAAATTTTCGAGTGACCGCACACGCAGCTATAATATATATTTCTATGACGTCACCAAAATATATCAACAGATATATTTTGGCATATTACTGTATATTTTGCCATATTAATATATATTTTGATATATTTTTATGATACAGTATGTTCCATTTTTCACCGAACGCCTGCCAAAATATATGTTATAGTACAGCTCCCGTATGTGGTAGTTTGTTTAATATATTATCTCGATATATTAACATATATTATAGCTACGTTAGTGCAGTCATTGAAGCATTATTGCTCCGAATTTTTTCACTGTGAACCGAATTGCATACAATTTTGGAATTAGGTTCAACTTACCCTTAACTTCAAAAGTGAAAATGATTTGAACTCCGCAACCACCCTGGGGGTGGTTGCCACCCCTTCTCGGGGGTGAATTATTTTTTTTTTCAAAATAACCTCGGATATCGATAGAAAGCCTAATTTTAAGCAAAAAATCATCTATAAAGTTTTTCAAAAAATCCAATACTTTTCAAGTTACTGGCAATTGAAAATTCAATTTTTTTTCCCGTTTTTCATCGGCATTTTGCAAATATCTCCAAAAATATAAGTTTTATCGAAAATATAATAAAGCACAAAATTGTAGCAGATAAAACAATGAACAATTTGGTTTTTTATAAAGTATTCTAAGTGCAATATTAAGCTAGATATTAAAGATCATAGCCGTTTTTTATTTTGTCTGAAATTTAATCGATGTGGTCAATGCCATCTAGCGGCGAGCAGATGCATTTTATGCATTCTAATACAAAAGGGGTTTGTAGTGCTTGAAATAAGCTTTAAAATGAGCACTATTAAAAGTCTTTTGCACGTAAAATAAGTGAGCTGTATTGCAAATAAGGGAAGCATCTAATGTTTTTTCTTTTAAATCAATGGGTTTCATAAGTGCCATTTCCACCAAAATTAAAATTAATCGTATTCCGCCTAGAATTAACTTTATTATGAAGAGTTTGATAGATAGTATCAGTTTGGCTGCTTCAGGACACATATTTTTCAAAAAAGTCATGATTAAAAGAAAAACCAAAATTTCAAATTATTAAAAATCCCACTTTTTTTTCATAATATCTCAAAAATGACGACAGATACGTATAAAAGTGTACGATTTAAAAATTTAGGTATTTTTCTGATAAACAATTTGGTTTTTTTGTATTTTCTGTCAAAATAAAATTGACGGAGATATGATTGTTTAAAGAGCGCGTGGCAGCGCAATCATAGCCTCTCTTAAGCCCTTTAACCTTTAATCGATTTAGAAAAAGGTTTTTTAATATATATTGCTATAAAGATGTTGTAGCTCTCTTAATTACCTTTACAATGGTTTTTCATAAATTGTGATAGCATGAAAATTGAAGGAGTTATGGTCCAAAAACTTATCATATTTTTTTCTACTTAGTAACTGAAAATTTCGGTGTGTGAATATTTGGAGCAATGTGAAAGTACGCAATATAATAGAGACCCACAACTATTGTAATGTGTATATATAATATGGCTCATATATTTTGGAAACGTAGGCATGAATACATACTAACGTTCTTAAATGTATATATAACACATTTCATCATCATCATCATCATCATTCATCCAACGGATTGGGGGTGGGTCATGAATGACGGTTTATTAAATCCACTTAAGTCTGTAGATCCACCCGCACCACAAGAACTGCTGAAAATGATTTTTTGCAACTGCAAAAAAGGATGTGGAGCGTCTTGCGGATGCAGAAAAGTTGGTCTGTTTTGTAATAGTACCTGTGGAACGTGCAGTGGAGATAACTGCCAAAATAGCCCTCCAATTCAGCCAGAAGATGTTGAATGTGACAGCGACTCAACAATTTTTATCAAGGGATAGTTTTCAAGGGTTTTTGATAATTATTATAGAGAATATAAAATATTACTTACTCTATACTTACATCTTTTTATATCATACCAAAGTATTTTTTTGTAATTTTTTAATTTAGGGGTTGTTTGCAAGGGTTGAAAGATTTTCAAGGGGTTGAAAATGATTTTAATATGAGGTAATTATGTTAGAAAATACTTTACAATTTCATCACTTACTATTAGACATGTTTTCTAGCGATAAAATGGCTCAATGTCAATTTTTCCATTAAGGGGTTGTTTACACCCCTTAAAAATAATAGGCGGAGTTCAGATCATTTCCACTTTTGAAGTTAAGGGTAAGATGAGCCTAATTCCAAAATTTCATGCAAATCGGTACACAGTAAAAAAATTCGGAGGTAAGACCGTATTTTTCGCTTAAATGAATGCACTACGTCTGTGACGGGATATATTTAAGCATATTAGTATATATTTTTAATACGGAATGTTCAACTTTTCACTTAACGCCTGCCCGATCTCCGGCTCAAGTGTGCACTGTTGTATTAGAAACTTTTTTAATTGTCATGTCTTTTATAAAAAAATATATTTTGTCACTTGACAGAGATAACTCAAAATGTAATGGTTTTATTTTAAAAACTTTTACTTTAAATTACATATATTTAACATGGCGCAGCCGGTAAACTAATATTTTTTATTGAATTAAGATAGGTGCGTGTGAAGAATAAAGTGATCATTTTTCAAAATGCCACAATCTTCGCAACTAGCCGAAGAAAGGAAAACATTAAATCAATTCCCGCATATAGCACTTCCTTCCCAATTATCTTGGGAAGGTAATTTATCTGAAAATTGGATGTTTTTCAAGCAAAAGTTCGAAATATATCTGCTGGCATCAGGAAACAGCGTAAGTGATGATGCGATAAAAACAGCTTTGCTACTAAGTGCTGTAGGTGATCGAGCATTGAAACTGTACAACACTTTAACATTCGAAAAAATCGACGACAAAAGGAATTTTAATAAAGTAATTGAAAAATTTGATGAACATTTCTGCCCAGATAAAAATGTGACATACGAACGATTTTTGTTTTTTACCCGGAATCAAAAAGAAGAGGAGACATGAAAACTATGTAATGGAATTGCGTGACTTAAGTGCATCTTGTGAGTTTGGACCACTAACTGAGAGTTTAATAAAAGACAGGATTGTATGTGGAATTTTAGACGTAGCTGTGAAAGATCGTCTTCTACGTAGGAAGGAATTGACATTGTCTAGAGCGCTAGAAATATGTTGCACTTCTCAACGAACAAAACAGCAGGTTGAAGCCATTACGTCTCCAAGTGCGTGTTATTCGGGATTGCATAATTTTTTATCACAAATTGACAAAAGTGATGAAAAAAGTTTGAATATGGTTCGCAACAACACTAAAGAGAATATTTATCCATCAACCTCTGCAGTTAACACACATGTGGATATAAAACGTCACTCTACGTCACAGCAGCAAAAGAAACGAAATGGATTTATTTGTAAGAATTGTGGTTATTCTCATGACAGATATAAATGTCCGGCTTTTGGAAAAAACTGTTTAAAATGTGGAAAACGAAATCATTTTTCTACAAAATGCAGAAGCATTAGCGAAATAAAAGAAAACGATGATGAATGTAATGAAATCGATATGCTATTTTTAGGTGCGATTTTTATCAACGCTGTTGTCAACTCAAATGATTGGTGTATTACTTTAGAAATTAATAATTTTCCTTTGCAGGTTAAAGTGGACACAGGTGCACAGGCGAATATTTTATCTGACGATTCATTATTTTTCCTTGGTATAGATAAAAATAACTTAATATCAGTTAATACTAAGCTCACCACATATACGGGCGAATGCATTCCGTGCCTAGGTCGATGCTCTCTTTCGTGTAAGTACAATGACAGAATATTTTATCTTAACTTTTATGTTGTTTCTGGACGCTATACTAATATATTAGGACTTAAATCGGCCATTGACATGGAACTTGTAAAACCTTTGCGTGAAATAGAGAAAAAAGTAGATATTTTTCAAGAATTCAAAGATGTTTTTGAAGGTTTAGGTTGCATTAGAGGAGAGTATGATATTAAAATAAAAGAAAATTCGGTGCCTGTCATACATGCATGTAGAAAAGTACCCATAAGTATATAATCTCGATTAAAAGAAAAGCTGAATGAAATGGAACGACAGAATGTAATTATGAAAGTGACACATCCAACTGAATGGGTGAATTCGTTAGTGATTGTTTACAAACCGAACGGTGATCTGAGACTGTGTGTAGATCCGAAAGATCTTAATCAAGTGATTATGAGGCAACATTTTAGCTTACCCACGTTTGAGGAAATAACAAGTAAATTAGCAGGCGCTACTGTTTTTAGCACACTGGATGTTAAAAATGGCTTTTGGAATATCAAATTATCAGCAGCTAGTTCTGACCTTTGTTGTTTTAATACTCCGTTTGGTAGGTACAAATTTTTGAGAATGCCGTTTGGTTTGTGTAGCGCTTCGGAAGTTTTTCAACAAAGAATGAGAGAAGTATTGGAAAATTTAGAAGGGACAGAAGTCTTTATCGATGATGTTTTGGTTTGGGGGAAAAATCAGGTGGAGCATGATAGACGTTTGCGTTCAGTTTTGGCCCGATTAAGACAAGAAAATATTAAATTGAATAAAGATAAATGTAAATTAAATTTAGCTGAAGTTAAGTACTTGGGCCATATAATTAGTAAAGGAGGATTAAAACTTGATGAAGGAAAGATTAGGTCAATCGTTGCAATGAAAAGCCCTCGAGACAGGAAAGAACTAGAAAGATTTTTAGGTGTTATCAATTACGTTTCAAAATTTATTCCTAACTTTGCTGATTTAAGTGCTCCTCTAAGAAATCTTTTGAAAAAACATTGTGAATTTAATTGGTTGGAAAACCACGAAAAGATTTTCCAAGCTTTGAAGAAAAAGCTGGCCTCGGAGCCAGTTCTTCAGTTTTTTAATGAAGATCTTCCTGTTATACTGTCCGTTGATGCTTCAAAAGATGGCCTTGGAGCAGTTCTACTCCAAAATAACCTTCCTGTTTCATATGCTTCTAAAGCTTTAAATGACTGTCAAAAGAGGTATGCTCAAATTGAGAAAGAGCTACTCGCTATCCTATTTGCTTGTGAAAGGTTTAATCAGTTTATATTTGGTAGAAAAGTAACTATTGAAACGGACCATTCCCCACTGATTTCTATTGTTAAAAAACCATTAAACGCATGTACTGCACGTATTCAGCGAATGTTACTTAAGTTGCAAAAATATGACTTTGAATTAATTTACAAGCGTGGCAGGGAATTGTATTTGGCTGACACTTTGTCGAGATCTTATGATGACAATGATTTTTTAGAAATCGATTTGGATACTGACGAGATTGAGGCACAGATTGATTTTATTGTAAGTAGTATTAATGCGTCAGAATCACAGTTAAATTATATTAAACAAATGACAATGGAAGACAGTGAATTGATTCTTGTTAAAAAATATATATCTCAGGGTTGGCCATCTCACAAAAATTCAATACCGAGTATAGTTAGAAAATATTGGCCCGTTAGAAATGATTTGACCTTTAAATCAGATATTATATTTAAAGGTAATAGTATTGTTATTCCGTTTGGACTGAGGCGAGAAATGCTAAAACGTTTACATTTTCCGCATCTGGGTATTACAAAAACGCTGTTGAGGGCAAGAGACTGTCTCTATTGGCCAGGCATATACAATGACATTAATAATTTGGTTTCTTCTTGTAATATCTGTAAACTTCATAGTAATAATAATAGGCAGGAGACACTGATACCACATGCTGTCCCACATTATGCTTGGCAAAAAGTTGCAGGTGATTTATTTGAACTGAATGGTAAAATGTATTTACTAATTGTTGATTATTATTCCAAATATCCGGAAATATCTTTATTAAATAGCACGACAAGTGAAGCTGTTATTAATCATTTAAAACAAATTTTTAGTCGTAATGGAATTCCTGAAATATTCGTTAGTGATGGCGGTCCTCAGTTTTCTAGTGAAAAATTTCATTCATTTTGCAAAGAATGGAATATTGACCATAAATTTTCTAGTCCTGAGTATCCTCAATCCAATGGTATGGTGGAACGGACAATTCAAACTGTCAAGAACTTACTTAAAAAAGCTTTTTATGAAAAGAAGGACCCATATTTAGTCATGTTAGAGTTAAGGAACACTCCTATATCTCTTGAAATCCCTTCACCTGCTCAAATTTTCTTCAACAGAAAGATAAGAGGTATTCTGCCTTTGTCTTCAAATAGTTTAAATCCAAAAATCTTTGATAATTTAAGATCCAATTTAGAACAGAAACAATATAAAAGTAAAGTATATTATGATAGAAATAAGAAAGACTTAAGGCCACTAGTAAGGGGAGAAAAAGTTATTTTTAAAATTGGGAAACAATGGAGAAATGGTGTAATCATATGTGCATTGGATAAACGAACTTACAAAATTATTTCTAATGGTGTTCACTTTATCCGTAATAGAATATATATCAAACCTTTAGCGTTTGTTCCTTTTTATATTCCGGATGATATTGACGTTCCTCATAGTGTAAATAATTTACCACCAGAGCAGGCCGGAAGTAGGCCATTGATGAATAGAAATTCAGATGGATATTTGGTAACTTCATCAGGTCGTGTAAGTCGCCCGCCTGATCGATTTGGTTTTACTTATAAATAGTTTTATTGTAAGTTTTGAGTGTGTTGTGTTATAAATATTTTTCTGTTGATATAAAAAAAAAAGATTTTTTTTTGTTATTAAAGAAGAAGGATGTTGTATTAGAAACTTTTTTAATTGTCATGTCTTTTATAAAAAAATATATTTTGTCACTTGACAGAGATAACTCAAAATGTAATGGTTTTATTTTAAAAACTTTTACTTTAAATTACATATATTTAACATGCACGAGCATTTCTCCCCCACCCTCCCTCTCCTAAAATACTGTGCTAAAATAAATTTATTGGATGACAAATCACGATACAAATTAAAGTCGCCACAAGTTTTCTTTTGTTTTATATGCGGCTCTACCCAGATGGTTCTATTTTTCGTTCCTGACAAGTCAACATGCATATCAAATTCAGCATCGGAATCATCCTCTGAGGAACTTTCAATTAAATCTAAAAGTAGTGCTCTAACGTTATTTAAAAATTAAAACACCCTGTGCTAGAAAATAAGCTTTTCATCCCACCACCTGTAATTTTGCGCTTCGAAATCTGGCTGGAAAATTCTATTTTATTCGCTTGAGCGGCAAAGTAGATTTGAATTTAGAACATCACATATAATGAGTACTCAATATAATTGTAAATTCAAAACGTCATTAAACCTATTTAATGTAACCTCTATGGTGCCAAATTTATGATTAGAACTTTTTAAATTGTGAAAAAATTTAAATTTGGAACCTTCTTGGTTTCTTTGTTTTATTTGCGTGCTTCGCGCCATTCTAGTTTTTCACGTTTTATTGCTTAATATAATTAACATAACCTAAAAACTGTACAAAAAAATCAACTAAAATGAGTGACATTAGCGACGATGAAGTTTATCTAACGCCAACTGAGTTAACTGAAACAGTTAATAATGCGCAAATGAGCCTTCTCCCTCAGCAATCACGAGAGAAGTATTTGAAACAGTACGATATATTTAACATGTGGCGACTAGCTAAAGGAGCAAAAACTTTCTCCGAAAACGTTTTGCTGGCATATTTTATAGAATTATCTGAGACCAAGAAAGCAAGCACGCTATGGAGTACGTATTCAATGCTAAAATTAACAATTAAGATGAAGAAAGACGTTCATATCGACACCTATCATAAATTAGTGGCATTTTTAAAAAGAGCCTCATCTGGTTATAAACCAAAAAAATCGAAGGTTTTCACAGCATCTGAAATTGCAAAGTTTATTAATGAAGCACCTGATTCCGTATATTTAGCGGCAAAAGTAAGTCAATACGTGTAATTTTTTGTTGTTGATAAAATTGTACATAGTACTTACAATATTTTTAATTTGATTAATTTATTTACGATTATAAATACTTCTTTTGTTACAGGTTGTTCTTATTATTGGTATAACCGGAGCATGTCGAACAAATGAACTTACACTACTTAATGTCAATAACGTATCAAAATATTCTCATAATTCTGATGAATTGCTATTAATTAATGTACTAAATACCAAGACAAAAAAAGACCGCAACTTCGTTATTCGCAAGGAATATGTAAACATTGTTCAGAAATATCAAGCTTTACGTCCTTCTAACACCCCAATTGAACGATTTTTTCTACAATATCGCAACGGAAAGTGTATCCGACAACCTATGGGTCAGAATAAAATTGGCAGTATTCCACGAGAAATAGCAACTTTTCTCGGACTTTTAGAACCCCCGTTATACACCGGTCACTGTTTTAGAAGAACCTCAGCCACACTTTTGGCCGAATCAGGGGCTGATCTTCTATCGCTTAAGCGCCATGGAGGCTGGAAGTCTAATTCGGTTGTAGAGGGATACATAGAGGATTCAATCCAAAGTAAATCAAAAATTTGTAATAGTATCGTGGAGGCCATAACGCTGAAAGAACCTCTGTCAGATTCTTGGTCTCGCCCTTCTACATCTAAAATGAGCCCCCATAAGATTGGAAACAATAGCCCTCTCTCGCCAACATTTACGCCAATAGAATCCAATGAATCGGCACAACTATTTAAAATTACTGATACGAGTAGTTTACCACAAAACAGCGCACAATTCACAAACACCAACATAACATTACCTAACAAAAATATTAAACTTAACATAAGTAACTGTAGCAACGTTACATTTAATATTTCTTAATTATTTTCTACTTCTTATTATTTTCTTCAATTTATAGATTATCTTAATGTGTTTTAATTGAAATAAAAATATTTTGTCATTATAAATTGTTTTCTTTTTCATTTTGTCATTTCCTCGCTGAGGTGGGATGAAAAGTTACGTATTGCACTCGAGTGGAAAGATTTTTCACCTTGTGCTCGTTTGTTTCCCTCGCTGACGCTCAGGATTCTAATTTAGAATCACTCGCTGCGCTCGTGATTCAACTTTAGAATCCTTCGCTTGCTCGGTCATCCAAATCGAGCACGCGGTTAAAAAGGAACTTTCCACTCTTGTATAATAAATAACTATTAAAACCGTACGCTTGCAAAAACGACCGCAGACCGAGTGAGGGCAAAATATATATTATAGTATAGCTCCCGTCTGTGGTAGTTTGCTATAATATAATATATATTTCGATATATTAATATATATTATAGCTACGTCTGTGACGGGCTTTACCCATAATTTCCCCTTTTCGTGTCTCCCCTTTTTCTTCCCCTCTAGACCCTAATTTCCCCTCATTGTGGAAACACTGGTCAAAACAATGTAGTAACAAGTCATTTAATCATACAAAAACTTGGGCAGTTATAACTTTGTTTATTTTGAATTTGAACAAAAGTATTAGAAGCCTAATTTTTTTAAGTTTTTTTGTTTGTATAAGTACCTATACAGATTGTGTAACTTCTGTTTGAGGAGCTCGATGGTCCAAGTGGTTAGCGCGTTTGGCTGCGGTCGTTGAAGTTGAGCAACTTTCGCAGCGGTCGGTCATTGGATGGGTGATCAAAAATTTATTATCTCGAGCTCCACCGTGCTTCAGAAAACACGTTAAGGTAGTTCATGGCCTAGTCACCCTATTCCATCTATAGAGTATACCTGTGCCCCAGCAGTGGGCACTTAGAGCAAGAGTGGTGATGGAAATTGGGCTGATGACGATGGTGAACTTTGTTTGTAACGCTATGGCACTGCTAGGTACGTACGTCCAATTACTTTTAGACCTAGGTTTACTAAATAAGTAAATATAACAAATTTTCAACAAAACTTATTTATTCAATTTCACATTTATTAACACTTAAGTTAGCACAATACTAAATCATTGGTTGTTATAAAGGAATGCTTGTCATGAGATTAACATAAATAGGTACTTTCTGCTACTTACATCTGCTACAATGAATTATACACTACCTAACTAAGTATAGTGTCATATATTTTCTGGAATTGATGAAGGTTCTGTTGTCGCATTAACTGATGTTTCTGTAGACAAATTGCAAATAATTCAGCTACACTTAACTGTTAAAAAAATAAAGATACTTCAATGTACACCTTAATCTATGATATTCACCAGTTCAATAACAAAATGGAAAGGCCACATCTAATAAGGAATTGAACCTTATTACAAAATATATAATTATGCCTACATAACTAATAATAATTATTTTTTATATGTTAAAGGTCAATCGCCTACTCTGCATGGAGCCCTGGAACCTAACTCACCTACAGAAACACAAACGACCAAAAGGTATTGTTATTTTACTGTGGTGTTCTGTAAGGTGGAAGTTACTTTCCTAGACGGGCGCTCCACATTGAGAGGGAAATCCGCTACGTCCTACCTTTCTCAAAGTTAGTTAATACCGGTAGATTTTTGATATATTTATTATTAACCAAAAATATACATATTTATTTGTCCATACTGATTATAAGTGCAAAAGTGTAGAGGAAAGAATGCTAATTTGGAATACTGCAATATACAAATATACTAAAGCGCCATGTATGAAGCAGCCATATTGACAGTTCCGTGGCAAACTACATCGGAGTGAAAGTGCTGGCAAGAAAATTTTCTAAAAAGTAATAAATCGGCTTGCATCTTAAGTGTGACTTATATTTATGTATTTATATTTGTACAAATCTTATGTCTAGTATGTTGTTGAATAAATAGTAGAGTCCAACCGAAACTCAGTTTACCCATTATTCAGCATTAATTAGGACATGAAATGGAAACACAGTAATTAATTTTGTTGTAGGTAATCATTTATTAAATATAATATAAAAAGATATTAATAATATTTTTATTATTTTTTCAAATTAAGTTCTCATAGCAAAATTTTCTTTTAACATTAAATAGAGTGTTCACTTCTTTATCTCTTCATCCATGTTTAATACGATTTTTTTTAAAAGTAGTATTCCAAATTTGCATCCTTTCCCTATATCTATCTGTTACCTCTTCTCTCAAACCACTAAACCGATTTAGACCAAATTTGGAATAGATAGATTTTATTCCAAAAATAATCCTTAATTTTATGGGGATGGAAATTTGTATGTATGGGCAAAGAATTTCACCCGAAGACGAAATCGCGGGACCCACGAGTTATTAATGAATAACATTCATTTCTAATACACACCATTTAGCCTAGCCCCGAAGCACGAACTGAAAACCACCTTATCGTATTGCATCGTAAAGTTTCTGAAATCTAAGCAGCGCTCCTACCGGGGTAAGAACGATCTGACTCGTTCCGTACAATTCGCCGATACGAATACAGATCTGCCAAAGTTCGTGCCTGGGCCTTTGGTCCCCCAGTTTACACGCACATCTCTAAGGCTTTTGTAATGGCCAATGGGATACTACTAGGGTGGTAACGTATAGAAATACATAAGGCTAGGCTAGGTACCCACAATATATGTTTATATACTTAAACAACCGGAACTTGGCAAACGAGCGTATTCATCGTACATTACATCCCACCGGGATTCGAACCTAGTGTCTCTGAGTAACCACTCACCTTCAAAATCGGTGATGCCACTCACAACAAGGAGGTCGTCGTGAGGATATTATGAATATTTATTTATCTTTTACTGTAATCCAACCAAAATATAACAAAATGTTAGTGTGTATGTTGTTACTCAATCACGAAAAAACTACTGAACGGATTTGGATGAATATTGGCACGCACACACATAGTTAATGACCTGGATTGAGACATAGAATATCATTTTTTTTATCCCGAAAAAAATATAGGTTCGGTTCTGTAGTTAGGTACAAATGAATGTTTCGTTTACCATTTATTATTGTTTCGTTGGCAGGAGCAAATTTAGGTAATAAAACTGTTAGAGTCAGGCCCAGGAGTGTTGCGCCACCGCAGACCCACGATATCACGTCCTTGTAATATGTCGTTTCGGCTGCCTCATCCGCACTGTTCATAAAATAAGTATATTAAATAGGGTGAAATTGAATGTTTTAATGACACTTCGTGGGATTGTTGGGTTACGTATATAGAGTATCTCTGATTTTTTAAAAATGATTTAAAATAAAATTTCTTTTTTTTGTTATATTTTAAGTCCTTTCCTCCTTTTGGGTACTAAATTATTATTCTTTTTAAACACGCATACAGAGAAAGTAAAAACAACTAATAAGCACTAATAAAAAAACGTAAAAACAGAAGACGAGCGGCCGGGAGCAATGACCGCTCCCGCCGTTGAATCGGTTGAATACCTTCCTACCTACCTATGCGCGGTGCAAAGCGCAGTGAGCGAGCGCAGTGTCAAGTCTATCCACCGCGCGTGCGTATCTTTTAAATTTGTGACAAGAGAAGATTTGCAAATAATGCCTTGATTAGTTCTTGTTCTGTGGCCTCAATATAAGAAGTTGGATATGGTGTGTTGTTATTGTAGTGTCACGGAGAGCAGAGCCACAAGGCTTTACGAAAGTAGGTTTGGTGATTGATTGTGTTTACAAAGTGTATACGGGAAGTTAAAGTGAAAAAAAATAATAGGTACATCGGTCTCGTAAGTACTTTTGAATACCTGGTTATAAATTTCATTCTGACCCAATTATTGAACTGCAATAAGTATTTCTTTTTTTAAACATTTGCCTATTTCCATTCGTAAGAAAATTATTATTAACTTTTAAAGTTTTTCTTTGCTTAAGAGAAGATGACATTTGTGTTTATTATTTCATTTTCAATAAAGGCATCTAAGACGATTTTATTGTATTGTGTGGAATCAAAGGAGTCAGCTGAGCTCTGTGTAGAGGTACCTACTCGCTCAACGGCTGGTGGGCGCGGGCGGTCGTTGACCCGCGGTGGAATTTTAATGTTTTTCCGTTCTTTAGAAGTGCTTATTTATTAGTTGTTTTTCACTGGATATGTAAGTTTGTTTGTTTAAAATGAATAACTTCTCAAAAGGAGGAAAGGACCTAAAAATACACAAATTATAAATAAATACATGAAAAAAATATACTTCAAAAAAATTCGAAAAAAATCAGGCATATTCTCTATACACGTAAGGGTGCGGCCAGAGTGCACTCAGATTCAGATTCAGATTCTGAAAACAAGCGCGAGAAATAAACAGTGTAGTAGGGTACGGCCAGAGTGCACTCCTGATTCAGATTCAGACTCAGAAAACAAAGCGCGAGAAAAAGCAGGCAACCTGCTTAGACTACACTGTTTATTTCTCGCGCTTGTTTTCAGAATCTGAATCTGAGTGCACTCTGGCCGCACCCTAACCCAACAATCTCACGAAGTTTCATTAAAACATTCAATTTCACCCTATATATATTCAATTCAAGTATACAAGAATAATACATCCTTTTATAAACCAGTGGTGAGAATGTGTCATACATATAATGAATATGCTTGTGGCAATAGGGGCATGGACATATTTAATGGAAGATTTTCACAGTACAAACGAGTCGTGACCAATATTATTAAAGCCAAATAGTCCTCAGATAGCAATTACAACCTACATTATTAAGTAAAATTATATTAATTATATAAGTTAAGATTAAGCTTTGTCTTCAATTAAGTATATAAGTTACTTAAGTGCTGTTCGAAATTTTTAATAATGTTGTGTACACATTCAAAGGGGTACTGTCTAGATTATATCAACTATAATTCTATGTTAAACATTTATCGACTGTATTCTGTTAAGTGTACCTATAATAAATAAAAAAAATATCAACATAAAATGACTTTTGTAACATTGACTCATTGGCACTACACTAACAATACAGTACAGAGCTAGATAGCGCATGTGTACCTACACACAGTATTAATTAATGTAAACTTCCAGTAGGTTGAAAGGCGCATATACATAAGCCGCGTTAATATTTCTATGTAAACATTTAATATTTTCCATGCATGTTATTATCGAATGTGTTGTATTGTTCACTCAGGTGACTCAACAAGCGAAAACGAGACGATGAATAATATGCAATTTTAAAAGAAACCTAACTAGGTAGTGATACCGAGAGGTAATTTTTAATATACTGATTTATATTAAGAATATAATTACTAAATATTAACTACTACATTGTTTTTTAGCTTAGCTTTTTTACTATAAAACTCAAACAACGGATGTAAAACAGTTATTAGGATTATTTTTAACCAGAATCGAGGGTTTTTATAAGAATACTACTCTATACGACACACTTCGTAAAGAAAGATTATTCATTATTAGAAGCCTTGATATAGGTATGCCTGTTATTCGTGAAATCGTGGTGAAATTATATACCAATTTATGATCGATTCTTCTTGAAATAAAACAACCACAAAATATCTTATAGTAGAATGAGAGATGAAAACCTATTGAATAGAATATATTTGACGCTCTGGCAACAAACAATACATGCTTGTCATTTGTCAATCAATAATTATGTAATTATAAATTGAAAAAGAAACGGGTATAGAATCAATTCTAGTTTTTGGTCAAACGATTTACAATTAAGTGCACTCAATGCCTACCGGAGACTCAATACCACCCTCAATACAAATTTGAACCGTATCCTTTCATTTTAGCATTTTATGAATAGAATTTACTCACTAATTTTGGATGACAGATATGGCGATACCACAAGCGAGCTTGTCCGTAAAACTCATAATGCCGTATACAAAAGCCGACGCCTCTGTGGTGGCTCCGATCAGATCCGCAGTGATTGTGAGGCTGGTCACCAACATTACTGCACCACCGAAACCTGAAACATTGGAACGTCACACTTTTCCAAAACTTCACTGTACCTATCACACATTATTGCGTACAATTCTCTGTCAGCAAGTGACTAAATCACTTAAGATACATAATAGAAATTGAGAACATTCTGTATCTACTAATACCACTATCCAGACTCAATGAAGGTAAAAGTTGTTTCCTACATGTACCTAACTGGGAATCGAACCCGGAGAACTATCAAAGAGATTTAGAATATTGAATTTAGCAAATGTCAAACTGAAGTTAAAATATTATAGTACTTATACCTGTATCGGTAACATTTAAAATTGGATAATCAGGGAACATGTTTCTCAGAGAGATACAGCACTGCAATGGCATTTTAGAAAACAATGTACTTAATTAATTTTTTTTTACTTACTTAGTATAAAGTAAGTAAATAAAACTATCTGAAAAATAATTGTTAGTATCTAAAAACTCATTATACAAACCTATTAACACAGCCACTACATAAATGAAATACACTTTGTAAACATCGTCCGATCCTATATGTATCCACACGAAACCGGCTAGAGCACATCCAGACCCCACCAGATAGTTTAATTTCCTCGTGAATGATCTCGGAATGATCCTCAATATTCCGGCAGCGGTCAAACTTCCAAGGTACACTGCTAAAGGTATAACAGCTAGTGAGCGCGCCGCTAATCCCAAAGTCCGATGAAGGTAAAGAGGAATAAGTACCTGTGACACATTTACAACTAATCTCGTGCTCATGTATACACCGGCAACCTGAAAGGACCACCTCAGGCTCAATTAAGGTTTTTATTACGGAACGGAAGAGGGATTGTAAAATTTTATATAGCATTTTCACCGCTCATTGTGTACGTCGTCAGGTCTCCCCTAAGGATATCCACACTGATTGGGCATATATTTAGGGGCTATTAAAATGATGCACAAAAGTTAAAGATCTAAAAAACGATCATCCTATGAATTCTCGGGAATGGTGAAATAGGGTAATGAGCCTTATTTGTATGAATCTGGAGCTCGATACGCTTTCTAAATGATTTCAAGACTTATCATCATCTTTTAGATTGTAGGTAATGTGAATTATGATTAAGACAGACATAATATCGTTACATTGATTGGTATTAGAACGATTCTTGCTAGATCGTACTGGGACCGCGTGATGCCGTGTCCGAGTCTATTGTAAGCCTTATTGTACCTTTTGAATCCTCATTAATACTTATAATATTTATAGAAAAGTGTCAGCTATGATGAATCTTAATTGGTTGTCTTCATATTGTTGAGGTTCAGATATATTTATCTCCCTTTGTTATTTTTCTCTCGCCTAATTTTCTTTTTGATAATTTATTCCTGATGGCCATGAGAGGTTTCATTTAATCCTAATTTCTTTCTCAGCTATGGAATGAATGGGATAGTGGAAGGAGAAAAAGGTTACACAAAAGCTCCTCTAAAAAAGTGTATAAAATGAGTTCAAAGTTCAATGGTTCAAAAACGATAAGTGTGACGTTAAGTAGGTATATCACTTACGCACTTACTTTTATAAATTAAAAGCTATAATTTAACGAGACATTGACACGGCACACAAGATACGGTCTCATTCCTCAAAGCTGTTAAGGTCGCGGACGATTTTATAAAAACATATGTCTATGGCCGCACTGCAGAAACGACAAGCAAAATTTATTTGTTCATACCGTGAAGAAATTTTCAAATGTTCTACAAGTAATGAGCGCGTCACCTGTCGTACCAGTGCGACGGCCTTAAGACGTAAGACGGCTGTTTGACCAACTAAGCAATTATGTATGGCCAATAATCAATTTCATACCATTAATCCTACATAAAAAAATAATATTAAATACTGTCCTACCTTAAAAGGGTGACAGAAGTCATAGTTCTAGCAAATCTTAAATTATTTACCGTAGCCCTATATAAAATACACGTCACGTCCCTGCATAAATTTAAAGGCAGATAGGAATAATAGATCTTATTCATAATTAATATTCCAGTTTGCGTGTTCTATTTGGTGTTGATGGCGCTGTGCAGACTGATCACGGGCCCCCTGGTATTGTCCGCAAACGGACTCCTCTGATGCCGATGCCCCAGGGTATAAAGGCCATTAATTAGTCATCCCAGGAACCAGTGCCTGACACATAAGTGGCGATCATATGGCCAAACGTTATTATATTATGATTTAAGAAATTTCAGTTATTCCACTAATTGCAGTATATTCTTATTGCTATATTTATATAAATATGTAATGGTTGCGATAAGTATATATATATATGTTTCTGCTGAAAATTAATTAGATAATAAAATAAAAGCAATTATACAACGAATTACCTGATACAAAAGCGGTTTCCGGAGGAAGTCATTATGAGGATTTGTTTCACTATTATAGTCAGTGTCAAACAGTGCGTCTTGTCGTCTATACGAATACTTTTCTTTTACTGAGAAATGAAAAAATATGGTAGCCAATAATCCCACGCTCATTACAACATAAACAATATGCCTGAATTTCCAAGCATCGCCTGGTCCAATTTGCTGAAAGATGATAAAAAATTATATAAACAAAAGCATATGTATAACAATATGATGAAGTTGATAGCCAAACATTATTAATTAACCTACTTGTTTATCGCATTCTCCCGTGACATGTAATACGATCCATGTGATAACATATACAAATAAATTAGAAAAAACTGTAAATCCATATCTGAAAATAAAAAATATTCATAGTTTAGGCTTACCCTACAAGACCAGAACAAATAATGATGCGTTTGTCAACATGGTTATTATGGCTTGTCCCCTCGCTTTCCCTACTTTATTAAAAGCCCAATCAAGCTAACTTAGGGAATACCCATGGGGCAGAGAGGCCTTACTTGACAGATATGCTGTTGGTTTAGGCTGCATAAGCAGTCGAAAGAACACCCACTTATCAGCACGTGGCGAAACCATGTGGAGGTTTATGGCATGAATCGAAAAGCTTATGTCGCCACAGTGAGAGTAACAATAATATGATGATGATATCTGTAAATGTGACGGTAGGCATGGCAAAACTGCCTTTAAAAATATGGTATCTATCTTAAATATTAACATTGAATCCTTATATTAAAAATCATTTCATTAATAGCTTTAATGTTAAAGTTATTGCTGTTTGCGCATTTATCTCTAATTTCGCCTGGTAGAAAACGAGAATTTAGGGACTTAGATGGAGCAGACACTGACCGAAAATGCTTGTTCTCGTCATAAAGACACGTAAATATGAATATTTCATATCATACCTCACAGCTGTCAAATGGCTTCTTGTGTGTTCATCTTCCGCCAATTCAGGGATGAGACTCAAGTGTGAGATTTGAACAGCCGCCCAACCAATTTGAAATATTAAAATAAAGGCAGCAAAGTAAAACATTTGTGCCCACTTATGTGCCATAGAACAACCAATACATACAGTGAAGATGAATGGAAATGACGTCATAACACAAGCAGTTCCTGAAAAAAGAGACAAATGGACCCCCTTAATAAGATATTGACTTACTTGTCATTTTTCGGTATGCTGTATGAAAAGGAAATTAAAGCTAAATTGGCAGTCAGCAGGCAGAGAAAATCCAATGACCGTTGGTACGGAAATATTCTTGCATGATGACCGTACATTCGATAGTATTGGGTGGGTAGGGCTCCCATAAGGTCTAATAAAGCCAACTAGCACTAGACAAGCACCGCCTCGTTTTTCGATACCCACGCGTTGTCCACAAGTATATCAGGAATGGATACCACATTATTGTCAATAGATATCCTATGGTCAACGAGTGAATGACGCTTTTGCGCCTCTGATGGGCGATGATCTGAACTGATCTGATGAAGAAAGCGGGAAGTTTACCATTAATAGTACAAATCAATGGTACTATAGACACCAAGTCTGTTATTGGCTGAACTTTTGCGAAGACCGTTGGGGGAACTTTACGCAGCAGTAGGGGTTTGTTTGGCTGAGACGATGATAAAGGATTTGCAGAAGATTAAGATTGAGAAGGGCACACCATGCGCGCCAAGTTTTTTTATAGATAGGTCCGACAAAAGACTCCACCCCACCTGATGTTTAGTGACGATGGAGTCCAGATGCGGAGATAGCAGGTACAGCAGTTCTAACTGTCACAACAGCCATCTCCACCCTGCCGGCCCGCATGTTGCTTCTTCACGCCCCTTTTAAAAAATTCCATGTTGTAGAGGGGTAGGGAATACGTTAGCGGGCAGAGAATACTATTTGCGGATAGTGCGACAAAGGAATGAGTCACATAATTTCTTTGTACACGTTGGAAAAGTGGTCCTAGTAAGTCGGTGACGACTGAGGTCAGCGCGCGTGGTCTTCTGGAGAAATGTGAAATAAGAGAGAATAACTCCTCAGACTACTCGCCGTGGTAGACGATGGAACACGCTTAATGACGCCACGTCACGGCGTAATTAAAAGGCTCAAGGTGTTTAGTCACCTTCTCATCGCCTATGATGCAAATCGCGCGTCGCTGTAATTGGCGGAGCCATCCCAGAGGTGCAAGCAATATTCCACGCAAGACCGCGCTTGCGGCTTGTACATACAACAAGCACAGTTGCACAGGCGTGAAAAACCGCACCTTATTCAGGACTACGAGATTGCGTATGGCTGTTTTTATCAAGGTTTCTTAGATCGTTCTTTAGATTTAGGTCACAGTCACAGCGAGTTACAGCGAGTTTCTATATTGTGCCCTGAAGAGAAGGAAAGGAATGGCGACGTTTTGCCATGAAAGCGCAGACAATTTAAAGAAAACCCAATTTTCTTAGTATTAAACTAAACCAAGTACGTAGGTCATTCGTTAATTTGATCCAAGCCTGATTGAGTTCAATGACAAGATTCTTTCGTTTCTTCTTGGTTTCCGGCTGTCCAGCCGTTACGTGTCCGAGATATCCCAAATGCACTGTACTATTGTCTGCATAGCAATGAATAATCCCTAGAGAAATTTAATCATTGATATGGAGTAGAAAGACTGTGGGGGACAGATCGGAGCCCAGAGTAACACGAACACTACTACTAGTCACTGACATGAACCACAAACTACTACCATCACTAAGCACACGAATTCTATGGTCATGTAGGAAATCAGCTACCCAGGAACAGAACTGAGCCAGCAGACCATATGCCGGAAGCTTGGAGAGCTTGTCGATAACCTAACCCCAGATTTGGGTTAAATACCAAGTGGTATGTACTCTGGGTTTCAGAGATCTCGGGTTCAAATCTAGGTGGGGCAAATGTAAGTATGATGAATACGAGCATTTGTACCTAAGTCATATGTTCATATACATTTCTAGATAAATATACTTACATTTTTTTTAAGGTTTTTAGTTTTAGGTTCATTGTTATAGTATATTTTTTGTTTTAATTATTCTATTAAGGATGATTATGATACCAACATAGATTTTACTTGTTAAACATAAAGAGAATTGTGTTATTGAATAATAAATAAATGTCTTACATAAGTATATCAGTATAATTATATACTCTATCCGTTAGGGTTGGGTAGGGTTCTTTGAGGCTAGGCTCATTTGTTTGAGGGTTAGAAATATTTATTTATTAATTTAGGTACTGTTTATGTACAAAAATGTTTATTATTACAATTAAGGTAAAAAAACTATAAAGGTAATATTGAACTTACCAAATAAATGCCATAACTTTCGTTTCCCATACCTCGCACTTACAGAATTATCTGTTCGGTCTGAATGAAAACCAATGAAAGGTGTAGATACAGCATCAACAATTTGTCCTATTAGCATTAAGTTACCAGCTTGTGAAGCACTAAATTCAAGTACTAAGTGGAAAAAAACTAGGAAATAAGTGAACCACAAACTAGCACACACATCATTCAATATATGTCCAATACCATAACCCAATTGAAGTTTTAAACTTGTTGATATATCTACAAACTCGTTATCCATTGTTGCTGTTTGCCTAATTACTACTCGAAAAGACGCAGATCACCAAATTTCTATTTCTGGACTAATGCTGTCAATGATAAGTTGGCTTACAAAATAAACCCAATTCAATACACTTCAAGAAAACAAGGCAGAAAAGTGTAAACACACAACAACGGATTGCGCTTTTAAAAAGTAATTTTACACTTGTTTGTACATTGACAGTGTAATAATTGTAGCTTTAATATGCATGTATAAATAAAAGACAAATCTTGATTTTGCGTTTTTTGGTTCTGTTTTTAAATTACAATGTTTAAAATGATACATTGATGTATGAAATCACCGTCATCATCACAACAGAAGGAAAACATTCAACAAAAACAACAAGATCTGTCAATGTCAAGTCAAACAGCCAGGGCTGTATTAAGAATCGGTTTCATAAGTACGTGATTATTCTAGTAAGATACTCAATGGGCCCAATTCTGGCGTGCCAACTTATATCTAAAACTAACTAAAATTAGATATAGAGTTGTCAAATTCAATTTGGTATTCTGTAATGACACACTATCTCTAAATTTAAAATTGACGTCGCTAAGTTATTCAACTTAGATTTAGATGATTAAATGGTATTCTGAAACGCGTTCTAAATGTCATATTTTCTCTAAAATTAGAAATGTCACACTAAATTTAAGAAGGACCTACGGAGGTCCTCTCTAAATTTAAATGTGATTAATTGGGGCCAAATATCACGTAAATGATTGCTGTTCTTAAGTTTTGAACTTGATGTTAAGGTTGGTTAAGGGTTTATTTCGTTAAAAAAATACATACATTTTATATAATAATGAACAATGACGGTGATAATAATATATTAGCTAGATCTTTTATTTATTTAAAAAGGTAGGTAAGTCTTTGTTTCGATGCAGATTTATTATAAGCTTATTAATGTGTCATGGCCTAATGCGGCTTAGTGGGGGCTAACGACTGCAGGTGCAACGAGCAGTAACAAAGGAACTCGATATAATACATTTTGGGTTGGTCACCCATCCTAAGATCGGCGATTGTGAAATTTGCTTAACATTCACGATCGCAGAACAAAAGCGTTACACTTGCGCTATTGTGTTCTTTCGTAGGTAATGTACACGTATATCTTGTATATAATACTAAATAATTTAAGGAAAAATCTTTTATAACATACATATAAATCCACTTCACATAAAAACAAGCTAAAAGGGTAAGAAATCTATGTACTAATTCTTTAAGTAATACCTGCAGATCCTACTTATTTATAACTAAAATACATAGTCCAAAATCCGCTTAATTCTATAAAAAACAGTGATCTAAAATTCGTATTCGTTGCAAACTCCACTATAATCCACCAAAAATGCACGGACCAATCACAGCATAGGATTCAAATCACGTGAACAACTTGGTTATGTCCTTTAAAAGGTGTTATGCAGAATGGTGCGATGATGGGTGAAGGCGTAGTAGGTTCCAACACAGTACATGGCACCAATTAATAAAATTGTGTTGTTTTAAAACATTGAAGTTTGCAAAGCTAGGGGGCATATATTTTTTCTTCATGTGTTGTGAAAATATTATTTCTTCAAAAATTATTAAACGCACGTGCATTTATTATATTGCTTCATAAAAAGTAGTTGATGAAGAAAATATGTGTGAACATGTTGGGGAAGAAGTTATAATGTTTGATAAAAAAATCCTTGTTTGTTATTATGGGTTTGTACCAGATAGTACAAAAAAAAATGGTTGCCTGTAAAGTCGGTTTTACGGGCGAAGATTTTACGTGACAACGTCTTTTTCTCGGTAGAATATTTATTGATAATTTGATATGAATATAATTAAATTGCACAATAGGAACAAGGAATTGAATGAAAATAAGAATTGCACAAATTTTAACTATAGAAATATATTTTGTTTACTAAAACATTGTACATGTAAACTTAAACTTAACACGAGAGACTCATCGTAACGTTACCGAGCGTTACACTTTTTCATAAGTGACTCCCAGCCGCAACCTAATTTAAGACGTTGTCACGTCAAAAAATATTTTAAAAAACCTTAACTTTAACATTTAGATAAGAATATCTACACAGTGGATTATTTTAATTCGTGCACGTAAGATAAAGCCATCCATACCTCAAAATCTATTCAAATCAAAACCCGCCTAAATTTATAATAGTCGTTGCAAATCCCGCTATAATAAAAGGTTCTCATCAAAACCCACTAAAAACAAAATTCTTTTAGCACTTTATCCGTTAAAAACCGTGTTTTCCTTGGTAAATCATGTTACAAAGTGTTTATAAAGCACAAATTAAAAATGTATGATGCTTACTTTAATTGAACTGACCTTTTATTTAAAATGAGGTAGTTTTTTTTTGCTAGCTTATATTTTCTGAAAAAGATTTAAGTGGATTTTGAAAGTAGACTACTCAATTGAGATTTAGGACGATCTCGCCAAAAACTGATAGAACCCAAAAAGATAAAAATAGGTTACGCATCTCAGATTATACAATAAATGAGAATAAAATCTTCACAAAACAGAAAATAACCGTAGGTACCTACGAGTAGGTATTAGATAGATGTGCTGGATTGGGAATTTACGATGCGAGAGATTTTCAAGGATGATATGATTCACGTTAGACCGCTCGGTCCCACTGTTGTCAAATTTAAGTTTTAATTTAATTAATGAAATGTCCAAAATGTGGTCCGTTGTTATTTTACTGTATGAGAAATTATGAATCAATATTAAAGAGTGAATACTTGCCTACATTGTGGTACTTAGGGTTTCTAGATTGGGAGTGTTTATCCTTATTTTGGGAAAAATATGAACTTGGGGAAACTTTAGGAATGATATTTTTTCTTAGAGCATGCATAAATAATTTTTTTTTGGCAAAAGGTTGTAGAAAGCCACCACTTCTAAAATGAAATGCAAATATATTATATTTCAGTACCTAACAAGTCTATTGAGGATGATAAGTGACGAAAGACCGTGTCAAGTCCGAGACGAGCTTCAGCCGTAGTACGGTCACCGAGCCGCTCCCGTACCTGTAATTTACAAAGACGGGCCTCGACCGAGCAATTAGTTAGGTACCGTTGCGCCATGATGTAGTCTACTCATATAGATAAAGTAAATAGGATACCTATATGTACTCGTCCTAACAAAATCATTTATTTTTATCTGAAGTATCACTACGATTGCCCGGCATGCACTGTATTCATGCAACGGGCCGTGACCGGGCAGAGGCTACCAAGTTTTTTCCGAGCGTTGTTCGTTTGTTGCTCAGTTGTCAGTCGGTTACCGCCCGAAATAGCGTGAATGTGTCCATAATCCATGTAAAATATACTATTTAATATTAGTTAACTCTGCTATGGCCGACACCGGGTCCATTGTGACCCACCAATCAAACAAAACTATATGCTTCTTTTATGAAATTCTAATATCTGTCAATTTTAGTTCAAATCCATAGAGATCACTAAATCACAACTAATCAATTGTCCAAGAAGTATTACTTCAACAGGAATATCCAAAAACTACGGGAATAAGTTTGCATTTTATCATTAGTTGAAGTACATTTTTACTGTCTTCAAACTTGCACCTGTAGAATTAGATCATTCACTTTTAAATTGCCGTAGGATGCTTTATTATATACCGTGAATTATGAGTTACCAGAGAAACTTTCCAGCTAATTGAGACAATGATTTAGATTATATTTCCGCAAAAAAACTGTAATATATTTTTCGAAAATGTCTCTGCTTCCAAGTAACTCGTTATTTCAGCAATTATGAAACCTTAACAATTTTATTTGTTATAAATTGATTGAAATAAAACTACTTTTAGGATGTACGGCCTACTTACTTTAAACGTATAATAATTCTACAATGGGTATTTTATTTACTTACTTTGTGCCGATCTTTGTGTATCTAATAGATACTCAAAGGTGCTGATTTACGATATTTTGTTTACAATGAATATCGATATTTTTGTATGGGGGTGTAGTACAATACACCGTACCAGGCGTTACCATATGGGGATACGGTACTGCCCGTAGAAAAGTACCCCTAGCACGAACCAATATTGTTTGCGAGTCCGAAATGTCATTGTCAAATGTGTACTGATTTTTAGTTCTCGTTACGTACTTTGTGCCGCTGCTGTTCAAGTTTCCATACAAAATTTGACATTGACATTTCGGTTTGCAAACTATTCGAATTCGATAATGGTTCGTGCTAGGGGTACAGGTCGCGGTACTACGCATGGGTACGACTGGAGAGCTAATCGGCGCAATGCACGCCCGCGCACCTCGTTTCCCCCCAAGACATCTTAATTTTTACTACTAAAGTTTCGTGCCGCGACTTAAATATACTTCTTTCTGTATGTCATTACTCACTCACAAAACAACATATGACGACAATACGATAATGTGCACCATGGTGTTTTGTTTACGGTGTTAGTGGTGCACTCAGCGCCGAACTTTGCTCAATATTAGATATATATTATATGCTCAATAACTATTATAGAATCGGAGTTTTTGTAGTATTTGATATTAGGTATCTACCTTTTTGTCGTTGCCCTTTTTAACGGAGTAGTGGACACGATCTTCTCGTTGAACAAGATAGTTGATGAGGTTTTATTACTTAAGTTATGGCTATATTTCATATGATAAGCCTTGTATGATAGTATAGAACCCTGTGTGTGTGATAATGACACGCGCTGGGTCAGCTTTTTTTTATTAATGATAAATCTTTATTTCAGATTAACTAAAATAACATTCATTTAATACATATGATAAAAATAACTTTCAAAATTAAATCAAATTAGGTAGTCATTAAAAATGTATAAAAACAAATCAGATTAAGGATTATTAACTACGGTTACTATTACTATTAATTAAGGTACTCGGAGTTTAATAAAAGATGTCTGTAATCTCAAAAAGAATAAAGAGTCTAATACTGAACTGTTAACTTTGAAGGACTCTCCTTATAGTTCATCTGTTATATAAACAAATACTTCACATTAGTGGGACAAGATTTAGCAAATAAAACACTCGGGACATTAGGAAAAACGAGTACAGAAATAGCTAAGCAGGCTTTAGAGTTTAATGCACAGTCGCAATCACTAGTGTTGTTTCCGACCGATGCTTGCGAAGTATTGAATATCATTTCATCCCTGAAAGCAAACAGTGCACCGGGGTTAGATGGAATTACTACGGACATGCTGAAATTTTTTAAATATATCTTAGCAGAACCAATTGCATACCTGTGCAACAAGAGCTTTGAAACCGGCGTAGTTCCAGTACCATTCAAAAAGGCTATTATAGTAACAATTCATAAATCCGGTAGAAAAAAGGTACCAAGCAACTACACTCTAAAATATTAGAGAAACTGGTCAATAAAAGACTGGTAAAGTATCTAGAGTCTAATAAACTCTTATCTCACAAACAATACGGTTTTCGACAATGTACTTCCACGGAGGACGCGGTTTTGAAACTTACCTCACTAATCACGACACACACAGATAAAGGTAATAAATGCATTGGGATTTTCCTCGATTTGCTAAAGGCGTTTGATACCGTTTCCATACCCATACTTATTAACAGATTGCAAAATGTGGGCATACGTGGCACTCCATTGTATGGTTTGAGGATTACCTATCGGCAAGAGAGCAGTATGTTAGAGTTGCAAACCATACAAGCACATCAGCAAACCCAATCTATGGAGTACCACAAGGTAGTACGATCGGACCTACCCTATTTTTGCTCTACGTGAACTCACTCTGCAACATAAAACTCCGGAATGCTGATTTAATCATGTTCGCCGATGACACAGTCTTACTTTTTCATGACACCACTTGGTCTCACGTTAAAAGCGCATCTGAGGAAGGTCTTGCCAAAGTGATGTCATGGCTTGAGGATAACATCATGACACTCAACATAGAAAAAACTAAATATATCTGCTTCAGCAAGACAAAAATCTCATCGGCAACAATTAATATCAGGATTCATACATATCCATGCAATCGTGTGATGACCAAAGTTGACTCTGTATGTATGTGTAAGGAACTAACACGCGTCCAGCATATAAAATACCTCGTTGTCTATTTAGATGAGAATCTAAAATGGGACATACACATCGATCAGGTTGCAGCTAGAGTTAGAAAATTCATCTATATCTTTAAATCGGTGAGAACTGTAGCACCTCGGGAACTGGTAATCCGCACATACAGAGCCTTATGTGATATGTTGGTCTCTCATTAGCTACAACATCTGTGTCTGGGGAGGAGCATCCAAAACAAAGTTACTAGGTCTGGAACGCTCACAAGGGGCTGTCCTGAAAGTGTCGATGTTTTTACCATTCAGACACGCCACTTCTGATACCTACCATAGGTCCGAGGTGCTCAGTGTTCGTAAACTGTTCCTGTATCTGTGCCTGCGAATATATCACAAACATATAGTCCCGTTCCTGACAGATACTAAAAACAAGAGAGTGTGTACAGTACCAGTTCCAACAGTGAAAAGTGCTTTTGCACGAAAACAATTTTATAATATTACTCCTCGAGTATACAATAAGCTTTTGAAGACTAACAGAAATATAAAGCACGTCAATAACTACTCTATAAAAAATATATTACTAAATTGGCTTAATAGACTAGAATACAATGAAGTAGAACAACTTCTAAATATATAACATTGACAGAAAAAAGCGATAAATCAAATGCACATACGCTACACAACACGAACACAGGTACATATACATACACACTAACACACACACACACACACACTAACACACACACACACTAACACACACACATTCACACACACATACACACACACCCACAGGTTAATGCTATACCTAGCTACTTTTTTTTAAAATTATTTTTATATAATTTTTATTTAGTGGTTTTAAATTATTGTAGCTCTAAAGTGACAATAGTGGGGAGAGCACTGTCTTCTGGTCTTCAGGGTAACCTTTTCCAGAGGACAGGGTTCACATTATCATGTACTAAAATGTGAAGTGGTTCCAATAAATTATTATTATTATTTCCTTTATTTTATTAAATATACATACAAAATTATATTTCTAAATATTAGTTTTTTACAGTGTATAACTATTATTATTATTAACTTTTTACAATTATCAAATTAGATTTAAATTAACACAAAAAACACAAATATATATCAGTTATTTTCAGACAAGCACATGTACATAATATTTTATACACACACATCACACAAAAGAGTTACACAAAAAAGGCAGTTTACAAATAATATTGGTAGGTGGAAGTTCCCAAGTGTCTATCCGCCAGACTACTATTAATTAAATTTCTAGATGCCTCAACTCTAGATATAAACGATGCAACTCTCTTTTTCTGTATAGCTTTAAACGAGTCGACACGCCCTTCTGAGAACATTGCCTAAGTCAAGCCAAGACTATCAGTTACTTTTTCGGGTTTTTACCATAAGACCAAAATTTTGTGGTAATGCAAGATAGTCACCTGGCAGCACTCCTCAGGTGGCTGTCAGCTGAAATTTTTGTATTACCTATGTATGCGACTGAAATGATTGATTCCATGGGCATAAATAAATTAAAAAAAAAGAGAAAAAATAGGACTATCTGCTGGAGTTTTTGGCGGGATTTCATGGAGTGCGGACGGTTGGAGTCTTATTTCAATTATTCTTAAATTCGTTCATAGTGGATATTGTGAAATAAAATTGGTGTGATTTTGTGTTACAACTGAAGTATTAGTGGAATCTTTAAAATATACGCTATTCAGGTCAAGTGGACGTGAGAACTTTATTGTAGTGTTGACTACCTCACAGAAGCTTATGGAAAAAACCAACTCGATACATTTCGTGTCAAACACTCCAAGAAACTATATAATGCGTCACACCGACATTCTAATGTAAAAAAAAATGGATGCGTGTAACTTATGTACGCGCGTGAGAAGTTATACTTCTTTAGCATCATTAAAAATATTTTTTAATTGCATGCAAATAATTAATAATTACAATAAAATAATAAAAGGACTGGAAAAGGATAGTTAACACAGTCAATTAAGTTCAGTTTTAATTTGAAAAATTAAATAAATATTCAAAATATTCAATTAAAATCACTACTGAATTTAAGTTATTAGTCCATATGTAATTAGCACTTGTAAGTAACTAAAACACGTTGTGTCTATATAGAAACTAGTAACATGTGGATAAATATTATAAATACGAAAACAGTGATCAGAGGCGACGAGCGTGCCAACATTGTTTTTGACAACGCGATCATCTTATGGAGCTCCGTGGATCGTTCAAAGTACCTTTCGAAGAGATGTCTAATAATGGTGGAATAATCCACCATTATTAGACACTAACATTCATAACGCGCCCGCGGCCAACTTCATGGTGTTACTATTGTGTTACAGTGATGCGCGCGCATCTCGAAATTTCACTCACATGATTTTTGCATAACGAGCCCGCGGCCAACTTCATGCTGTTACTTTTGGGTTACAGTGTGTGATCATAACGCGCCTAAAGAAGTATAACTTCAAAAAGAAGTTTAAGATTTGATTTTATGTATACGAATGAAGGACTTGTATCCATGGTCATGAATAAAATAAAAAGGCTGGCAGCTGTCACTGACAGCCTGTCAGTGTCATTCTTTAAGTGTCTACTGTCTATCGGACAAAGTTGTAAAATATATTTTCAATTTGATAATGCTAGTAAGTAATGATAACAGATAAACAAGGTCCTTTAAGATAAATTACTCAATAAGATTAAGTAAATGAAAGTGCAATGGCTTTTTGTATAATATTCTTGACTTTAATATTGGGAGCCTTTGGAGAGGAGTTCATAGAAGAAATATTCATCAAGCCCTTGCCCCCTACACATCTCTATTCTTACTTCCAGTTTATTACTTTAGTTGATACTGAGTCCTGTAAGTTTTATATTTAAGCATTTGATTGATTTTTTTAATATAATTTTATAATTACTAATAATAATTATTAAACATTTTCAGTTGTTCACTCTAATCTAGCTCCAAGATCTATTGGAGAGGTTATATCCCGCTTTCAGGTGGATGAATTACACATGACTCTTACTGAAGGACAATGGAGACATAGTCAGTGGGGATATCCTGTTCTTGATGCTGCACCTGGTGCTGAGCTCTATGCTTGGTTTAATCCTGAAGTTAAAGATATAGATTTAGAATGGCGTAAACTGAGTGCAACACTATCAGGGTTGTTTTGTGCTTCACTTAATTTCATTGACAGCTTTAATACCATCACACCCCAGATGGCACTGTGGCCTACAGGGGCAGTGAAATCTAATTTAAATGTAACTACTTTACTCAGATATGCATCTCTTCCAAGAGAAATTGTATGTACTGAAAACCTTACACCATGGAAGAAACTACTTCCCTGTGAATCCAGCAGGGGCTTTTCAGCTTTACTAAATTCAAGAATGATACACAATACTAATTATCACTCAATTGGAGTACATGTCAGAAAAGTTTGTGCCTCTGAAGATTGTACTGAAACAAAGCTGGAAATAAAACAAACTGTAGCTCTTGTATATGACTATAAAATAATTGGCAGTAATGATTGGTCATTCAGAAAACTATTTGGACATGGCCTGCCTGGAGCTTGTCCACTTGCAACATCCAGTATTATTCATGTGGATATAACATCTAATACTAGTTACCCTTTCCAGCTCTCCCCTATGCCTGATAAAGTTGTTCAGTCTCGTAGAGGAGGAAGTGATTTAAAATTAGCTGTGTATGAGATTGATGCTTCAGTGGAGATGATAAATATAGGTGTTAAACACAGCACTAAAGAGAAATTAAGTGTTATCATTCCTCCACCTCTTCATTTCAACCGTTACGTGTTAGGGTATGGCAAGGAATTTGGTGGTATTGTTACTGAATTAGTTAATAACTACTGGACGGCTATAGATGTTGTTGTATTAGAGAATGCTCCTTGGTGGCTTCCCATTCAATTAAGCTCATTGAGAATCAACTCTGAGGCAGAGAGTAAACTTGTGAAATCTCAATATTACTCACCAGGAAGAAGCAGACAGAAGCCATACCACCTAGAGTTACTACTCAAGCTTCCACCACGCTCGACAACAACAATAACAATAGACTTTGAATTTGTGTTTCTGAAATGGCAAGAGTATCCTCCAGATGCCAATCATGGATTTTATATAGGATCAGCTATTATTGCTGCTAACCTTCCAACAGCAAAGAATTATACCAGTCTGCCTGTAACAGGCATCAATTATCATTCTACAATTAATGCATCACAATCATGTAAGCATATAATGAACTTTTTGTTTATTTCATTATCTTCTTGTATTTTTTCTAAATCCATTTGTTTACTGTTGTTCCAGGGTATCCTGCAGTTTTCAGAACAAATGGGGCTATGGTGTCACTGCCTACTCCTGATTTCAGTATGCCATATAATGTCATTTGTCTTGCATGTACAGTAGTGGCCTTGGCATTTGGACCACTTCATAACATTTGTACCAAAGAACTGATTCTTAAACCAGTTGGTACACCCCTGTCTCTTACACAAAAAATATTGAATTTTTTCAAAAGGAAAAAGGAATAAATTGTATGAAATGATTCCTCATTATATTCTGTTAGAGATGTGTTATGTAACATAAATATCAGAAAAAAGGCTGTCACTTAATTTATTTTTACCTGTGTAAATTATTGTAATTCATAAGCAGGTATATTAGGTCTTCCAGCCCTAGCATGAGCACCGCGATATAGTATAAAGGTAGCTCGTTTTTATGACCCTCAATTGTCAAATTACTATGGAGATAAAAAGTAAGACTCGATAAAAAACTTGATCTATTCTAAATTACAGTGCTCATACTAAATGGAAAGCAGCTTTTCACCAAGAAAAAATTTCATGAACAAAGTAAAATAGGTGATTCATAGGATTCATAGCATAAATCTTTTGTGTATGGTGAAGTAACTTAGCCTAAGTTACTTCACTATAAACAATTGTCTATAATGGTTGATTCTATATGAAAAGTTATTTTTGAAGATGGCAGCACTGCAACAGAATGTTGCTGTCTTAAAGATGAATGCAGTAGGTATAATTATTATTTTATATTTATTCCAGACAAAGTCCATAAGTGTTAGTGACAATAATCATAAGTTAATGTAGATATTTAAATATTTGAACGGCCACAGCTTAAATTTTAAGATTGATTTTTGCTATCTAAACTTGAACTTGGTTTCTAAAAAAGGGACATTCAGAGTGGTTTATTAAATGAATAATGCTAGTATTTCAATATCTTTGGGCATAATATATAGGGTGAAATTGAATGTTTCTATGAAACTTCGTGAGATTGTTGGGTTATGTGTATAGAGTATGCCTGTCTTTTTTCGGATTTTTTTGAAGTATATTTTTTTCATGTATTTATTTATAATTTGTGTATTTTTATGTCCTTTCCTCGTTTTGAGTAGTTATTCATTTTAAACAAACAAACTTACATATCCAGTGAAAAACAACTAATAAATAAGCACTTCTAAAAAACGGAAAAACATTGAAATTCCACCGCGGGTCAACGACCGACCGCGCCCGCCAGCCGTTGAGTGAATAGGTACCTAACTCTACACAGAGCTCAGCTGACTCGTTTGATTCCACACGATACAATAAAATCGTCTTAGATGCCTTTATTGAAATTGAAATAATAAGCACAAATTGACAAAAGATGACTCTTTTCTTAAGCAGAGAAAAACTTTAAAAGTTAATAATAATTTTGTCACGATTGGAAATAGGCAAATGTTAAACAAAAAGAAATACTTATTGCTTAATACTTGGGTCAGAATGAAATTTATAACCAGGTATTCAAAAGTACTTACGAGACCGGCGATGTAGGTAGGTACAACGAGGAACGAGGAACATATTCATTTTTTTCACTAGAACTTTTTATCAAATCAATCACACTGGTAGTACACAATTAGTTGTTTCTAATCAAAAAGTATTTACACTAGCAATAAAAAGAGACTTAAATTATTATCTGCAAAATTGTTGCTCTAAACCACCATTTTGCTGCAAACAAAGGTAGGCATGTTTGCGGACGTGTCTTTTCACCTTTTTTAAAGTGTCCCTATCACTACTCACTGCACAAAATGCAACTTCTATGGTTTGGGGACTCATTCGTAAACCAAACCTACTTCGTCACACTCGCGATAGCAGTACACCATCTCTAAATATTCTTGATTTGTATACCGAGGCATAATGAAATTATCACAGTGTATGTCACCAAGTCAAAAGATGCGCACGCTCACGCGCGATTGATATACTTGCGACTGCGTTTTGCATGCAATCAAAGCAAACGTCCGCGTGCGGGGAAGAGGGGAGGTGAGCGGAATTCACATCATCAAAGACGCCGCAACCGGCGCTAGTTGCCAGCGTGCGGCGCGCCGCCCGCCCGTGCTTGCCGCAAAACAACATATTATTATGTGTGTGTGTGTGTGTATGTGTGACTGTGGCTGTGATTAAATGTGTTCGGAATTTCATGACGTGGGCAAATCAAACACGAAGAGTTCCTTCCTTCACTAAGCTCGTAAGTTATACCGATTTGCTCTTAATTTTAAGAAGATTTATTTTATTGATTAATTACCTGTGCTTTATGAAATAATATTCAAAGGTATTGTGTATCAGTGAATAAATAATTATAATATAGCATCTTAGACTATTTTATTGTATTGTTTTTAAATAGTGTGGATCAAAGCGGAGAGTAGGTAAGCGCCGAGTCATCTGTGCGTGTAATAGGTACCTACAGGCGGCCGCCGGTCGTCGCCCCGACCGGCGCTGATCTCGACTGGAGGCATAATGAAGGCATTCATTAAGTTTCTGTTTTTTTAGTAGTGCTTATTTTAAGTTGCTTTATAACTTCTATGTAGACGTGTTTAAAATGAATAATTACTCATAAGGAAGAAATGACAAAAAAATAACCAAATAAAAAATTAAAAAACGAAAAAAAATATTTTAAAAAATCCGAAAAAAATCAGGCATACTCTATACACGTAACCCATCAATCTCACGAAGTTTCATAGAAACATTCAATTTCACCCTGTATATATTTGCTATATTGAATGAAGTTAGACCGTGCGCGCACTACCTACGATACTACTGCACAATATCAAGAAATCTTATCGTCATCCAAAATAAAGTTACAGGCGTACAACTATAATATACATATGTATAAGCCTTACAGTTTACGCCGTAGGCATTCTTAACAAGATCATAAGAAGCCGCATTAACTTCCACAAAATGTATCATTTGCTCTTCTCAAATAGTTAAAACTAATACCTACTATTTAAATAGGCACATCAACGTTATTAAAAACCAAAAATATCGTTGAGGTACCACACCTAAATAGTAGGTATTATGATCAATGTGATAGATGATGATTAGACAAAATATATTATTTCAACGGGAAATTCTTTTCAAAAGTAGGTACCTAAATAAATACCAAACATGTTTTATTCATTCTGTTAATTTATGTCTTTATTATATAGGGCTTTTTGTTATTTTTATTGACTGACTGAATAAATAAAGAAAAAATTGTTATTTACTTTATATTTTTTTTTACTTCCAAAATACTTGATGAATGTAAGGGAGAAATAAATAGAAAGTAGCCTTTCGAAAGCGAATGCAACAGACTGACGGTAAAGTGCGTGGATGCGGGCCTGGAAGTTCGCACAGTTCTACTAATAGGTTTAGAAAAAAGTTCTGTTCACGTACGGTCACAATACAAATAGTCAATGGGTAGTAATAGTACAGTAATAGCACGGTAATAATATCTATACAGTATTCTATCTTCATACAAACGGTCGGAAAGCGAGTCATACCTAGGCCACTCGAGTTCGAGGGACTCTCGGCGGGCACCCAGTCGCGAATGCGCCGCCGCGCCGCAACGAATTGATTTTTATGCAGTTAGCCGTGCTTAAACGTGCGTTTCGTATTGTAAATATTTGATAGAATTAAGTAGATACCTATATAATTTAGTATGGAAAAGAACAAACGACGATATTGTGCTGTTTTTGGTTGCTTGAACTCTGCAATAACACCCAGAGATATCATTTTTTAAATTACCTGAAATATTGGAAAGGTGTCTTACCTTTATAGAATATTTTTTATATACCTATCTACTAGTACGTAATTTGTTTCTAATAATTAGGTATTTCAATTTTTCCATCGGGCAAAATATCTGGAATAATATTATAAATAAGTGGTTAGGGTGAAAAAAGCGTTTACACTCGCGTTAAAAACAAAACTACATAATAGGTAGGTAGTTTCCTAGACTAGGCTATCTACTTACTTAACTACATACATTATTGAATAACTAAACTACATACATTATTGAATTAAATTAAATATCATTATGAAATAATTTACGAGAGTAATAAATGGTAGGTATTGTAGTGATCGGATCTTTTTGGTGTATAGGCAGGTTATAAGGTAATTTGGAAAAGAGACAGATTGTTGCCAGGAATTCATAGCTGGAAAATAAAAAACAGGAAGAGTTGTGCGGAGTTTTAAAAAACAGTATTTTGTTTACTGATAATAATAATGTAATTTCTTGAAAATAAAAGTGTTTCAATGACAATAATTAGTTTGCATGAAACGATCCCTACAGTACAGTTTGTCTATAAAGTCGTGACATTAAATGATGGCGCCACTAGTATGCATGTAGCAACCCTATACAGTCTGACCAAAATTATTTTGATAATTCATTCAAGTAAAATAGGTAATTAATAAGACACACTATACAGTCGTATTTTGTTTCTGTTTTATATATAGTAGGTACCTACCTATGCAGCATTTAGCATAGGTATGCTTATAAAAAGTTTAGCCAAGTATATTTAATTGAATCAGAATAAAATTATTATAGATAAATTTTTTGATTGATTTTCCTGAAAAAAAGTAAAAAAATATGTAACGGAATAGAAACAATAACTTATCGACATGAAGCAATTAATTCAAAATTGGTAGAAAACCTGACCGAGTTGAACCATAATAACGTATCAAAAGAAATGGTCGTACTACAATATTACCTATTTACAATGTCAATCTAACCTAAAAATGTGCAATGTAAACAATGCCTTTTTTGGTCTCAAAATCGTAAATTGAGTGAATTTGTAACTTCAGGCAGATTACAAACAAATAGTTACACGATTACATAGTCGTCATAGATGCTGTTCGCCCATAAATATCATCCAAATCCCACAAAATTCGTCCAGCTTGGTAGTCTTCGAAACATCGCTGGAAAACTTTAAAAATCACTTCCCGCGTGCCACTCCGATTTACTTTAATCATTTTTATACCTTTCTGCGTAGTTTCGTCTTAATTTATTACAGTTTAATCCAAACAATAAAAAATACAAAAGGAAAACTGTTCCACAACTGAAACTAGATGACAGCTGATGTACATAAGTTTGGTGTTGCCAGACACATGAATAATGTTAGTTCCTCAAATATTCATGTCACGACTTTATAGACAAACTGTACCTACCTAGTAAGATTTACCTACATTGTAGGTAATTTCCTTACCCGATTGCGCCATGACTTACAAATAAATATAACTTGTATGTTTAAAATAATATTCTTTTATTGAATTATGTAAGAATAAAAATCAGCAGTCTGGTTTTTTACAAGCTTTTAATTAACTTGCAATATAGGTAGGTTAATTAACTTTGTTTGTTCGGGTGGAATCTTGAAACTCAATTTTGAAGCAGATATCTTCAACCGGTTGAGCTGAAATTTTGTATATAGGTACACGTTTTGATAAAAAAGCACGGTTAGCTGTGTGACGTCATTCTAAATCCAACATGGCGGAATAGTTACTTTTAATGCATTCCTACGATATGGGTATATGGGCTTGCGGAGAATCTTTCCATATAAAATAAAATATTTACAATCGCAAAACTAGAAAGAAACTCAATTATGTAGATGAAATTAAAATACTGTAGGCGGGCGGCCCTACCCCGTGCTAACGCAGCGCTCGGCCGTAGGCATTTATTTCAAGGATAGGGCGGAGTTACAATACTGTATAGATAATATTACCGTGGTAATTATTACTAGTACAAAATGTGTGGTAGTACCTACTGTCAATTTGATAGAAATTTACGCAAGATGACGTCTCGTGCTTAATTACCTCGTGAGAGTAATCAAACATTGGCTTTAGCACTAAAAAGCATTAAATAACAATTTATAAATAAACAAAAACATGACATGACCCTCCCCTCCGAACGGAAAAGTAAAAAACAAATCGAGTAAAGTAATTGCAAGCAATCGAGGGATTT